TGGGTCCCATATTCAGCACTGTACAGCCTCCTGGAAAAAGGCCTAAAATATGTTACATACAATCTAGTTTTATTGAATAATATCCCATCTATCTAATTACACTGCTTAAGTTTTTGTTTATCCCTTTTTTTCTATTAAGATCAATGAAAGTGAATGTGAAATTTTTGGTTAATATTAACTTTGATGGAGCAAAGATATCATCATACAATATATGTACATCTTATCATAATTCCTGTTTTCAGTATGAATGATGTTCATAGTTTTCAGAAAAGATATTTTGCTTCTGATCATCTATGAAGGAACATGTTTGTAAAACATTTGAAAAAATAAAACCATAAAGAACAAAAACAAAAATAAAGCAAAAAAAATGTGGTGAAATAACATGAGGAAATACTGGCATGTCTATAGAATATTACCAAAAGAAAGATTTATATGGAGGTCATTGAAATGGTATAATGAAAACAAAGCCAGGTTTTTCATTCAATCCAATTACTATAATTTTACATGAAAATGGTCAAGGTTAACAACTACAAAACTATCAGGAATAATTATTAATGAACAGTGTTGCATCAAACACCTTAATCTTCATATATCAAACCAAATATTTCCCACTGAGACTTATGTGACTAGCTAGATAACCATTAATTCATCATTCTACTATATCCTACATGTAATTATATGTTCATGGTAATTCTATCTGACAGATGTCAACAGCTACAAAGTTATTTTCTATTTTGAAATGAAGTCTATTGAATTTCATATGTTTGTGCTTTATATCATGTATGGCACAATCAATCCTAAGACACAAAGAAGTCTACTTAAATCCTTAAATCAAGATCTCAACCATACTGATGGTCTTCCCAGCTTAATTTCACAAAAGAAATTCCTCGTCAGTGTATGATAAAACATGTGGGAATCAACAATAAGATATCTTTATTTCTTACATACATTTACTGCTTTCTAACTTGAAAAGCACGCAACATCATGAACAGATGTTTATTGATTTTTCCCCAGAGGCAACGCTGTATTTTAACCAAACTCAGTAAGCCGTCATACAATTCACACATTACGAGAATTGTGTTCGAGAATAAGAAAATATGTTCTTTCCATTCAAATTACAATATAGTTGTACGTTAGTAAATGTGTGTTGTCCAATTTTGTCTCCTATTACTAGGGAGGTCAGCTCAAAAAATGAACCACCTAGAAAACATTTTAAAACATGTTTTTTGGACAAAACTCAAAGAAAGAGGAATTTTGGTGCAAAAATTTTGGAAATCGGTTGAGCGGTTCAAAAGTTACATCAATTTTTGTACCTCGAAAAGCGACCCTTTTTCTGTTTTTAGCAAATAGTCTCTAAAAGAGGCATGTTTGAGGCCTTATATCTGAAAATGTGGTTATGATATGTATTGTCTGATTGTTGTAGGGTGCCAAGTTCCCCTTAAGCTTCAAAAAGAAACATTTACTTAGTTTAGGTGGGGACAGATAAAAAAAAAATTGGCAGCTGAACATGAGGAATTATTCGTTTGGACTTAGTTTTTTTGAGAAATGTGTCGGCACCCCTCTTTGCTAGACTACCACTTTTGAAGAACTTTATCTTAAAAAGTAATCACCCAATTTATCCAAATCTCCTTATTTTTACAGATCACAATGCATTTTCTTGAAAAAAAATTCCAGTTAGGGTTTAAGATCATTATTTTTTTTAATATTTTGATATCAAATACCCTGCGCAGCCCCTTTTTGAGACAAAATCGAAAATTTCAGAAAAAATGACTTTTTTGATGCAGAAAGCTCAAAAAAAATCTGGAATTTTTTTTATATGGTGTTTCTTGTTGATCTTTGTATGTTTTATCAGAAAATATGTAATATTTCCCCTAAAAAATTTTTTTGAAAGCAACAGCTCCAAAATACAGCTGCCAAAGAGGTATATTTTTAGCCCCGAAAAGACGAAAAATAACATTTTTTCAGGACAAAAAGATCTTCAACTACTCCCAGGTGGTAATAAAATGACAATTTATATAAGAATGCTTATTTCTACATACAAATGATCAAGTTTTAACTCAAAACAACAATTTTTTGCAACATTTAAGGTTGTTTTTCTACGTTTTGAAAATTTTGGATAAAACCTGAAATTTGTGTTTAATCATGAAATGCGAGAAGAATATAAACTATTGTATGGTGTATAAGGTATCATTTTAAAGATAGAAATATGTAGAATGCAACTAGCACATATTTGTACCTCTATCTATTAACAGCACCAAGTATTTCTATAAAAACCTAGCCCTACCCCAAAATCAAACATTCTCAGAAGGTGAACCCCCCCCCCCCCCCCAATTTTTTTTTTACTCCTACAAACAATATCATTTAAGAAAAAATGTTCCTGTTGACATTAGTTCACCTTTTATAAGCCTTAAGAGTTGAAACACGGTTATTCTTGTCTTTATAAGTTTATCCTTAAGATTAAGATAAAAGCACAAAAAATAGGTAAATCTGTCATTATCTAGCATAAGTTACTTTTAACATCAATGTTAAAATTTAACGGTCATAAAAATTGTTATCTAATTAATTCATTGATAGTGTTGAAAAAAAAAGTAAAAACAATCATCACATCCTTATCAAACTGCAAATAAAAAAGTGTATTGGATTGTAAATAAAACTTATCACACTTACCAAAAATAAAATGAAAATCAGTATATCAGAGCGTGTAAACAAACTAAAAAGAAAATAAATCAAAATAATTTTTTTTTTTTTAGAAAAAGATTTATTTAGATTAAAAATTAAATAAAATAAATCACAATTATTATTCTTCCTCTGAAAAATTTGACAAATTAAAAAGAAACCAAAATAAGGTAAAATAAAACTTAAATAAATAAAAGAGATTTTAAAAAGTGTCATAAATTAGCAAAACAATTAAAAATATAAAGAATTTCAACAAAATAAATAAAACAACTTTCTTTCACTTCAACAATACCCCCTTGCATTGATAAAGAAGGGCAGTTCTTACATTCAGAAGGAATTTAACAACCAAGATATAGACCAAAATCAACTTTCTGAGTTAAGAAGTATGGGCTAGTTGAGAGGGAGTATAATCATGATATTTGACAGAGAAAATTGTTTTCTCATCAAATGTTCATGCATTTATTTCATGGAAAATAATTTGTATTTGTGAAGTATGGTTCTGTGTTCAGAAAATGTTTTTTTTATACCCCCAAATATATTTTCTTAACCACAGCAACTATCTCCGTTTTTTCTTTTGTTCTAAAACATACTTTTATATAAATCCTAAAGATAATCGAATGTTTCCTTTGATATTTAACATAAAACCCCAAAAATGTTCCGAATGGACATACTGATGTCATGAACGTGTCCCATTGGTCAATTTTGTTTACCGGGTCGGGAGGATTTGCACCCGGCCTGCAGCAGCAGCAAAGTTCGATAACTCATACGAACAAAACATTGTGGCAAAAGTCATTCAAATATCCAATGATTTCCGCTGGCTGCTCTTGTTATTTTGTTGAAACCTTGGTTACCAATCGCTAGAGGAAGGTCCAGGCTACCAAAATCCGAGTGATCCCTGTTCGCGGCGAAGTGATATCACGGTAAAAAAACACTGTTTTGCAAATTTATATTTTTTACAGTGTGATCCCTATACTTTTTCAAAAGAGATCACTCAGTTTCAAAAACTAGACTATATTTCCTAAATTTTAAGCCATTAATGGTAAAAATTGGTCCAGTAATAGCCAGCGGATTTAATTCTGAACTTGGCACACTTGTTGACACATAAATCAACATGGCGGCCGAATTTTTGGAAACGACTTCACTTCGAACTCCATGCAATGGTAGGAATTTATATCTTATTACAAAATGATTACCAAAATAGGAAAATATAAGTCTTGAACTTTATTTTGATATATTTTTATCCCCCAACTACGCTTATTTGATATTTTAATTTTAGTGTGAAAAACCCGAAAAAATGGGGTTTTTTGCTCCAACAGAACGTAATAAGCCTGTAAATGACCGTCGCCGACCTCCCTACTAATGCATAATTACTTACAAACACGACAGAAGTATAGAGGAAATTATTGGATAACTGGTCGACGATATTGTTTTCAGGTTTAGTAGCATGACTAGCTACCTACCCATATAAGTTAGGGCCGCAGGCTGTCAGATCTGTCATAATCATACACATGTAATACGTTCCTACCTTCCTGCACTGTCAAACGGTTTAATTTATTGTGACTGCGGGCAGGCGTTCCTGTTGAGTGAACATGTTTTCTTTTTAAAGTTTAACTCGACATCATTTAGTGTAGTAAAAGTGAGTGTGTCTTTGTATGTGATTTTCATTTTACCTTCTGTACTTTTCTTTCATTTGAAAACCGCAGTCGATTCCTCGCACCACCAACCCAGTTCATATTTGCCGCTAGGACACTTTTGATGCAGACGACGGAAGTCGGTCAAAGGTCACAAACTCGTTTTGATAAGAAATCCAACATGGATGACAGTGTTACGAAGTTCAGGAGATGGTGTTGTGTATTTAACGTATATGGCGTGTAAAAGACAGTTGAAGCCTAAAAATGTCGAAATTTCTTTACTTAGCCAACAAACGAAACATCACACCAAAAAAGGTAGCAGCAACAGCGGCATTATGTGTGGTTGCAGCCTACGGAGCTAAAAGATGTTGTCCGGAGGTGAAGAAAGCGCTTTCTTGGCTTCTGGGAACAGGAGATGCCATTGACAAGGATGAAACATTGTCACTCAACAAAAGTTACCGGGACACACATAAGAAAGGAAAGAAGTCTACCCCCACTGTCAACAAAAGGTTTTACAAGCAGTTAAGACATCTGTTGAGAATCATTATCCCCGGACTTTGGACCAAAGAGTTCGGGATATTGACTGTTCACACACTGACACTGATAGTGAGGACGTTCCTCTCCATATACGTGGCAACGTTAGATGGACGAATAGTACAAACAATAGTGAAAAGAGACGTGAAAAGTTTTCTCCTCAGACTAACTCAATGGCTCCTGATTGCAATTCCCGCAACATTTGTCAATAGTCTTATACGTTTTCTTGAATGTAAATTAGCACTGGTGCTGAGAACACGACTAGTCTATCATGCTTACAAATTATATTTCAAAAATCAAACCTACTATCGTGTTGACAATTTGGACAGTCGTCTGTCCAATTCTGACCAATGTCTCACAGATGACATCACAATGTTTACACAATCTCTTGCTCATCTTTATTCCCACCTAACAAAGCCTATCCTTGATGTAGCATTAATCACGTTTACTTTGTATTCGCAAGCTAGTAACCGTGGAGCAAGCTCCAAATACCCATCAATGCTGGCTGCAATAGTTGTATGCTGTACAGTTCACATTTTGAGAATTGTTTCTCCAAAGTTTGGCAAATTAGTGGCAGAAGAAGCAAAGCATAAAGGACATCTACGATATGTGCACTCAAGAGTCATTGCAAATGCTGAAGAGATTGCCTTCTATGGAGGACATAAGGTAAAGAAAGGATGAAATGCCCATCAAAACATAAGCAACTTAGAACATTGGATTCTCTTATAATCTGTTTTAATCACCCACAAGGTTGAAATGTAGGTCATGTAATAAAATGATGAAAATTGCCCTACAAATATAGATGCAAAAAGGAAAAGAAGTTAATGTTAATTTTGTAAAAAAAAATAAACAAACAAAATTGCTTTTTACATTTATAGGTTTTAAATATTTTTTGTAACTGTTACCATTTCAGATTGAACAAAACTTGTTGCAGACCAGCTACAAACATTTAGCAAAACAAATGGACGTTATTTTCAAGACCAAACTTTGGTATATTATGTTAGAGCAGTTCTTGATGAAGTATGTCTGGAGTGCTAGTGGACTTGTTATGGTGGCCATCCCGATGATATCTGCAACTGGAGGAGGCATACGTGCTGATGGTAACATGAAATTACTATTTTGGCACATATTTTTGTTTTGTTTATGAAACCTTGGAAATTGAAAAGGTTTTCATTGTGGTCATTACCATATGAACAGATACTGTTAATCATAAATAATCAAACCTGCATATAAATCTCAGCAAAGGTAGTTACGTTGAATACCAAACCAGGGACCTTTATAATCATGTCATTAGCAGGTATCTGTTTCTTGTATTAGATACAGAAAGCCTTTAAAACAGGTTTGACTTTATGTAATAAGAACAGAAAAATGCACTGGACCATCTGATTTCCTTGATTCTCTACCAGATGAGCTGTCTGGTCACAGACAATGGACAAAGTCCATTTCCACATTTCGCCCTCCTTTTTCCAAGTCTTCACTTCCTAAGACACAATTATTTGCAGTCCAGGTTGGGGTATCCCCATGTCAAGCATTCACTTACCTGGTACTTGAAACAAAGTTTGGTCATGAGCTCTAAATGAAAGAAGCTTGGGAAAATGAAACAATCAGTCTGGAGTTTGAACCCAGGACCCTATAAACTCCAGATGGGTGCTCTACCAATTGAGCTACCTGGTTGCCAACAGTCAACTGAGTCCAGTTCCACTACAGTAATTTCCGATTTTGTAAAACATATTAACTAACATTTTAACTAAATGAGAGGAAAAGTCTTCCAGTTGTTTTTTGTTGATACTGACTTTTTAATGATATTCATGTACAGTTTGTATATACTTCTACTCATATTATATTTCAGGTAGTCATGTAGATGATGATCCAGATGGAGGAGTTGGAGAAAGGACAAAGGCATTTACTACTGCAAGAAACCTTCTAATAAACTCTGCAGATGCTGTTGAGAGGCTGATCTCATCATACAAGGAGGTAGTTTTGTTACCAAAATTTTGATCTATAGAGTTAAGTTGATAACATTACTAATAAAAAGTTATATGATGTAGTTGCTACATATTTCCTTCCTTTGACCTGCACTATGCATTAGTCATTTAGTTGTTATTGTTCAGCAGTGATGGTAAATTAGAAGAAGCAGGTTGTTGTAGATGAGGAAATAAGTAGTACAAGAAAATAGGGCGTCTTCTATACAGTGATGTTGTTTCTGGGGTGTTACTGCATACTATACATGATTAACCATTGTTTTAATTGCTGAAGGCGTAGTAATCAATATTCAATATCCCTTCTTACATTGATTAACATTTCGTTTGGAGTATCATTAAACATTGCATTCCTAATTATAATACACCCAACTTTACTTAGTAAAAGGGGAATGGGGGAGGTAAATAGTAATCACTTTGCTTCTTTGCATTCGTACAAGATTTCTTATGAACCCCTGGACAAAGTTAATTCATATTACAGGAATCTGATGTTCTATGTGGGAAATAAAGACCTATAACCCACCGGGTAATATCAAGTACTATTCAGCTTTGCCCAATTGGGCTATATGGTGCAGTGTCAGACTGCAAAAAGTATAGCTGGTAATGGAGGCCCAACTGAATTTTCTAAGTTCACCTGGGGTGATAGCCTTGATAAGCAGGATATCATGAGACCTTATATAAGTGGCCCAGGTTTACTGTATCTCATAAGGTTAAAGGTCACACTTGACCACTTTGGGATAAAAGAGTACATTTTGGTTGTCATTGGTCAATGTAAAAGTGTCAAAGGGCAAGTTGACTACTTCTGAAATAAAAAGCATGTGTATAAGATATCCTAGAAACCTCTCAACAAGTTTAGATACATGTTAAAGATCAAGATCAAGGAGTAAGGGTATACCCACTTGAGCTTGCTTTGTTTCAACTATCACCTGATGTAGATGAAAAACTTTATAAAATCTAGAATAACTTGTAGTGAATGACATTAACCTGATAATGTATGCTTGTCTCAAGTTTTGAATACTTGTGTTAATTGCAAGACTAGGATTTTGTCAGGCTTTGTATGTATATACATGTTTCAATGTTTTTGATTTTACAAAGAGGAAATTTGATTTTATGTACAAAAGATCACAGAACTTGCTGGATACACATCACGAGTTTCTGATATGATAGAGGTGTTTGAAGATGTTGGAGTTGGAAAGTATCAGAGAAATGCTGTCACCAAAGTAGGAAAAGGCATAACTGTAGACCATGTTAGTGGACCTCTGGAAATCAAAGGTAAGACTGTCATTATGTGCTAACTTTACATGAGTAACCAGAGACCTGAAGCAGTACAGACTTCTGTGTTTAAACCAGTACAAATAATGTATTAATACTAACTTGTTAAATTGGTTGAATTTACAGCTTTATTTTTCAATGATTCATATATCACAACCAACTTTATCTAACTTCATTTTAGTGTGATATTGAGTCTGATATTAACTGCAACTGGTGATGCATGAACTTCATGAAGATTGTGTCATGTGTAACATGTGGTAACATTAACATTATATAGTATAGATTATGTTGTCATAAGGATCTAATATTAATATTTTGAATTGAAGAAGCTGAAAACAATAGTTTTGATAGTTTTATAATGAAATAGATGCCTTTGAAAAAATGTTTACGTCTTTCAAAAATCGTAAACAAGATGTTTGAAAATTCAAAATTTGCTGTTTACTTTCAAGATTCTACAGCAAAACCCTGTTACCATGGTAAACTTGAATTTAGCATGAGATTTTTTTGTTTCTTTATTTTGTTTTGTGTTTCTACTTCAACTTCCCATGGGTAGCTTTTCCTAAAATTGAAAAAGTATAAACATATAATGTAAAGACAAATTGGCATAAAGGAACTGTTAATAGCAAAACTTGAAATCAGGCATCATTCATTTGTACCATCAGCAGCAAACATTGTTGATATCTTGTATCATATCTTACCCAAATATATATGAACACAATGGTTTCAGTGGAAATCACAGGATACTAATTCACTGTCACCTGCGAAAAGAAATAAAGCATGTTAATTTGTATTTGTCATTCAAATAATTTCAGACTTTATTCTGTTGTAACAATACATGTTTATCTGTGGCAAGGAGCTCAGTATGCATGAAGCATGTTATCTATATGTATTCCATGGGTAGATTTTGAAATTATTTAAGTAAGCCTGTATCCATTTTAGCTTTTATCAATAGTTGTATTTACTGTTTAGTACAGTTACATTTGATTTTGAGGATGCATCGTTCTCAGAAGGCAACACAACCCCACTAGCCATAATGAAATGGCTGATATCAATTCCTAAAGAATTTGCCAGGGTTAATACTCTGTTTAAATGTATGCTTTTGATAAATTGTAGATCTATCTGCTTTGAGGATTAATGTGTTCTAGCATGTTTATATTGAACTGAATTGTATTACATGTACATTTCACTTAATGCAAAAACTGTTGTTGTCAAGTTATTGAAAAAAAAACACATATTTATTTGAATTAGTATGGTTATGATTTAACACTTGACAAGTGTAAAAGTCAATGCATGGATATGTAATTGTGATGTTCAGTTTCAAGTATAGTCAAGCCTGTCTATAGAGGCCACTCAAGGGAGCTGAGAAAAGTGGTCTTTATACACAGGTGGCCTTTGTTTAGAGGTTCAGTAAATATGAATCATGTTACAAGTAGCTTTTATAGACTGGTTGCCTTTGTATAGATGTGGTCTTCAAGACAGGGTTGACTGTGCTCTGCATAGATTGCTTTTTTTTTTAATTCTTTATTATTTTTTACTATTATCATGGATGGAATAATTTTGTGAAAATCAGATACCTTGAAAATGAATAAGGAGGACAACAGTGTCATATCTTATGTAAAATATATATCCTTTTTGTATCAGCTTGTTTTAACTTGAGCATGAAAATTTGAACTTAAGAAAATTTAAAGAACTGTTAATTGTACGAGTTTTGGGAACATTATAGCATAAACATGAATGAAGGCCACTGAAAGTCAAATATACCTGAAATATAGAAGTGGTTGTTATTTATATTGTATATAAATAGGGCAATCTGGATTAAATAAGCAGTCTTTTCATACTCTATTGTAAACAAATCTCTGAACTTAGTGGAGAAGCTTTTCACATAGAACCTGTAATGATTGGAGCTTTTTCTGAAAGACATCGATTTATAACTTCTAAGATTATCTGATAATGTTAACATTCATTAACAGGTGAAGTTGTGGATACAGATTCGACAATTGATATTCAGAACTTACCCATCATTACACCCAATGGAGATGTCATTGTAGCCAACCTGAACCTCAAGGTAAGATTCACTATTGTCTTATGTACATTGGTAACTGTTTTAAAGTAAACCTCTTGGTATTGTCAGGGTATGTATAGTTGCATTTCATCTATTGTTGTACATGTAGCAGTTGGGAAGTCATGTTAAGTCCTGAATAATTAATTAAATATTACACAACAATTGGTTGTTATATATCGTATTTCTTTTACTGTACTCAAGTTATAAAATTTTTCAAAAGTTATAAAAACACTTCTGTATGTTTTTTGTAATTTTTTAAAAATTTCTAACTCATGTTACAATTTATAACAAGCATGAATTTGTGTGGCCTGTTTATACCACAATAAAAAATCCTATTCCAAAGTTGAATTGACTTGCCCTGTACCCATCTATATTTTGTTTACAACATCAGATGAAGCTGAATTATATGACATTTAGTGAAATGCAGCTAATGTATATGGAAAACTGACAATTTCAGAAAGACATGAAGATGTTATAACTTCTTATGAATTTTAATTAGAAATAAATTGGTTTGTTATCTTCACAACAAAAAAAGGATATAAATTCAACTGAAGATAAGATTATTACAAAAACAGATTATCATAAAAACAACTATGAACCACTCATTACACATCCTGATTTGTGTTAGTTTGTGTGAAATGCCTTTTTGGCCAAAGTTCATTTGCTCAACCAATCAAAAAATGCAAAATTGTTATACCACTTATGGTATGACATAGATATTGATACAGTAGTTAGAATAATCAATCGGTGTCTTTGGAGTTAAGGAACACCCATCTATTAAAGTAGAAATCCCTAAGAGTGGATTTCATTTGTGTGCGGAAAATTTTTCCCTTGCTTATTTCCGTTTAATTTATTATATTGACAATTACTAGAGAAAGGAACCTCACATGTATTGTTTCAGATTGAGAAAGGAACACATCTGTTAATCACTGGACCAAATGGATGTGGCAAATCGTCGTTGTTCCGTATCCTCAGTGGATTGTGGCCAGCATATGGTGGCAAACTCCTGAAACCACCACCCAGCACAATGTTTTACATTCCTCAAAGGTGACAATTCTGACAATACATATATATCGTGGCTTTAATTCTGTTCATATTACTATGTGGTTGATAGATAAAGATAATGAGAAATTAGATATTGAGCAAATATTTCTAATCTGAATTAAGGTCTATAAAATGTCTGTATGCATAGAAACTAATGTAAAGACTTTCTGTCCTGTTCACTGATAAAGGCAACATCTTACAAAAGTTATTCCCCTTGAATAGCTTCAACCCCGACAACTGTGAAATATAACCTAAGTGAAATAAAACAATTATACATTATTGTCGATGTCACAGCTGTTCTCCTGTTAAGTTGTAAAAGTCTGTATGAAGTTTTCGATTAAGATATTCTATGTGCCATGCTCTTTAAATCTTGCTATCTTCATACTTCAGTGTTTATGACATATTATATAATAGAGTGTGATGTTTGTTTTAGGCCGTATATGTCTATTGGAACATTCCGTGACCAGGTAATTTATCCCGACACTCTTGAGGACATGGTAGACAAAGGCTTCACTGATATGAACCTGGAGAAAATCCTAGACATTGTCAACCTGAGACAGATCGTCGACCGAGAAGGAGGTTTGTAGTATGGCTCAAGCAACATAGACAATATAATAAGAAAAACAAAATGTTTGCATCTGAATATATGAGAGTAAACTAAAATAAGTTTTGTTTTGTCTGGTATGTTATTAAAACTTTTGTAAGTTGTAATCTTGAATGGATACCAAAGTCCTGTCATGCAATTTCATTTTATGTGATCCAAGTCTATACCCAATGCCATTACTTTAACGAAGACCTGGTTGATTCCTCATTCCATTTGTAGATGCTTTTTGATAGGTCAGTCGTGGGAAAATGCATCTTTATCATTATTTTTCAGGATGGGATGCTCGTAGTGATTGGAAGGATGTGCTCTCTGGAGGAGAAAAACAGAGAATGGGGATGGCTAGGATTTTTTACCACAAGTAAGAGTTAATAGGAAAACTTTTTTCTGCCATTATAGCTCAAGGGTCAGGAGAGCATTGAGTATTGGATTTTATAATCAGTGGTGTGGTTTGATCCCAACGCAGGACAATTGATTTTTCTTTATCTCTGGAGGCCAAGAATGAAAAGATTATACGAATAAATCATAAAACATTTTCATCAAAAAAAGTGGTAATTACCTGTAATGTGGATATCCTGGAAGTAAAATAACTCACCACAGAACATTGTCTTTATATATACCTCAATGTGATGTCAAATTTGTTCTGTGGTTGTTTTACAGGCCTCAGTTTGCTCTTCTGGATGAATGCACCAGTGCTGTGTCTATCGACGTGGAGAGTAAGATATACCAGACAGTCAAGGATTCTGGCATCTCCCTGATGACCATCACACACAGACCATCACTATGGTAAGTCTTATTGCGTGGATTTCATGTAGATAATGAGCAACAAATGGAATCTCTATATCTTCTATGATATATAGAGTTAGACATTATATTTATACTGAATCTTTAGACACACAGCACATAGTAACATTTCTTCATATACATAGGGCAAGATACTGGCCTATTTGTACACTTATCAATGATTTCATTTAACTTCTTAATTGCTCCTTTAGAAAATACTTTAATAATGGGGTTCAAAGTTTATCAACATTAATTTTATAACTGCTGGTACCTGCATAAACAAAAAAATCAAAAGATTTAGACTTTTTATTTAATTCAAATCCATCAGATTACACGTAACTGACTAATGTCTCATTGATTTCCTGTCTCTGCTTCTTCATCAAAGAAAAGATAAACCAAATATAACACTTCAGCTAACTTGTGATAGTTAAAATTTTTTTGGTCTCTACATACTTTTTCTGTTGATAAGATACCTATACATATCATTACAGAAAGGAATGTTATTTAAGATCCAATAACTACAAATGGACTGGGTTTCCATTAAACACACCATTGAATGTTTATCATAAAGTTATATCTTGCATATTCCTTAGTGTGTGTGCTCTTAAATGCTTTATTACAGGACAATTTATTTAGATTCTAATGTATGAACATTTATCATCCCTGTTGTTATCATTTTTATATAGGAAGTTCCATACTCACCTCCTGCAGTTTGATGGGGAGGGTGGATGGAGAATGGAAGAACTTGACTCTAATACTAGATTGTCTCTTAACGAGGAGAAACAACGTCTAGAAACACAACTTGCAGGATTACCTAAAATGCAGAAGAGGCTGAAGGAGCTGTGTGGTATGCTAGGGGAAGACTCTGTGCTGCTGGAGAAGGATGGAGACTCTGAGTGATGGGGTGAGGTCGGCGCCCATTAGAATCCAAATCTTTATTAGTCATATCAATTATCAATGCAATCGTTTAGATTTATCCTGGGTATGATGGAGTGCCAGTTGTGTGATCAATACATACAGAAGGTTAGTGTTGTGGGTGCTCGCTTTGGTGTATGTGATAGTCAGTAGATAGAATATTTTAATGTTTTTAAGTGATTTAGAACAATTTTTTATTATTAATCAGTATTACTGTTATGTATGAATGGTTTAACATGTAGTGGCTTTTGTTTCATACCAAGCTGTTTAAGAAGACTGGAAGGTTGTAAATTGTATGGAAACCACTGTAAACCAATTTTCTTTTGCTTGTGATTTACGTTCATGAAATATGCAATCAAAACTAGATCAAGAAAATGCATTGCCTCAAATTTAGATAATGATAAAAAATACTGATTTTCATAGTTAAAATTTTGGGGATTAATGATATATAACTATTCACCTCACGTGAAGTTTATGTATAGTACAAACAGTAATTGCGTGATTTTTCTTATATCTGATGTTACCTTCAGTGTCAAGGACAATAATTTACAGTGTTTGGTAACTCTCTTACCTGACCTTGCCAACTTATTTACTGGAAATCAGGCTCCCTTCATTGTTTAAATGGAGATGGTGCACTCGGATTTTACAATTACCAAAATTTGTGAGATTGTTGAAACCACCTTAGTTAGGAGCTACAAAAGAAAGTTGATTTACAGTAATCTATCCTTGATAACCAACCTTGATAATCCACCTTTGATTGCACCAGAAGTGTTGAATGGTTAGACGATAAGGAGACATTTGATAGAATAGACAGAAAGTATAGGGACCACTAATACCAGTTGTGGCTGGATATTGGGACAACCGAATAAGTGATGGATGATAAAAGGTATACATTTGTTGACTGGGTTTTGAGGTCAACATGTGTTATGTTGAACTAGAGGGCTAAAGTTCTGCCTCAGGCAATAGTGTGGTCCAAGGGTTCAACATAAACATGCTGACCGAAAATCCAGTCTACAAATGTTTTGTTGTGCCTTCGTTCTTATGTAAGAAAACGAATCAATATAGATAAATATAAATAAGACGAAATCTTTCCATGATGGCAGACGACATTTAAACATCGGGCCAGAAGATCACATCAGCAAAGGTGCCTAGATTAGGGGAGGGTTCCACCATTGCTTAATGGCAGAAATTGTTGAGTAACGACCGAGAAGTACTGAACAATAAGGAGTTGTGACATCGAGATTGTTCTGGGGCAAACATTTGGAATTTCAGACTTTATTCACTACAGAAAAGTATAGCGTATAACAACAATACAATGCTGTTACTTGTCAACACGTATTGTATTGTTGTTTATTCCAGATTTAAGGAAAAGTGATATTTATACCTCATTTGTAATGGGAGTGAGTTAACATGTTTTAATATACAACATGTCCATGTCAGTCTCTTGCCAAACATTTCCTTTTGAGGAGTGTCTGGAACAAAGAAATTAATATCTATATTTCACTGATATTGATACAATTACAAATGTATTGTAATTTGATATATTTTGGAAGATGTTAACTGGTTTTTTTTTAAATTAATTTGTAAGATGGGTAGATGAATGGTGAAGTACATAGGCAGTTTGTTATTTTCTTTTATGAATTCATAATTCCATGAATAACTGCAAATAATTTTTTAACAATTGTAGAGGAGTTGAAGACATATAACATTACCCATGTCCATCCTTTCTTCGCACTCCATTCTGAATCAATATATTGAGAACCCATCAACAGGTTTGGTTCATATTTACACCATAGTATCATAACAGGAAGTTCTACACCTTATATTAATGTGACCTAGGTCAAAAGTCACCTTTGACACCTTCTGTAAACTCATCAAACACATGATATTCTTTGGGAGTGAAGGCATTTATTCCTCAAAGACATTTTACTTGTTTAAACCTGAAATTGTTTACTGTAGTCACCAAACTGTAAAATATGAGATCTTCATATCATGTTGATTTGGGGTTAAGCTTCCATCTTTCATCTCTCAATATTCAAAGAAATCTGGATTTAAATTTTTGTTCAATCATTTATGTGTTGGTATTTAACTTCAATAACTGCCCTAAAAATTGGTCTAATTCCAACTTGATTTGGTATGGCTATAATATGATAAAGTACCTACACTTATTTAGTGTTGGTACTTTTCTGAGTGGTTAATTTCTTTGCATTATAAAGCTTTGATTTCTACCTATAAAAAGGCTGAGAAAAATGTGAAAGCAAGGCTTATGATTGAAAAGTACTATTAGATAGGTATTCATGAAGAAAGTGCTAGAATTTGCTATAAGTATTTTAATTTACATAGTAATGCAGACAGTCTGTGTGTGAGGGATTTCTTCAAGATTCTTTAGATACAATGTATTTATTATTGAAAACATTGTGATCTGGAAAATTGAAACAAAGTGTTGTAAAATGGAGTCTTTGAAGTTGGTCTTGAAAAATCTGCATGAACTGTGAATACAATTATATTTATGTATTTATATTAAGGATGTGTCAAACGTTCAACGTTTTACTGTATACCTTGACAGAAGTAATTGGCCTGATATTAAAATTCAATGATCTAAGCTCAAATGTCCCAAAATGATAAATATTTTACATAGATAATGTGATTGTAAATGCATTTTAATCAAACTAAAATAAAACATTTTTACTATATAATATTGAGCCTTTGCACCCATAATTGTTTATTGTCAATGATTATTCTAATATTGTACTGAAAATGTGTATTAGTATTTATTTGATAATGGATGGAAGTTTCATGTTGGAGTTTGTGTCTGTCTATTTGTTGTAAATTGTACAGCACAATCAGGATTCTTGATTGTTGAGATACAGCCCTTTATCAACTTTGTTTATCAATAATGTACATCCCTTATCAACTTTATTTATCAATAATGTACATCTCTTATCAATTTTGTTTATCAAAATTTTTCTTAGAAATCACCATGATCAGATTAATGTGGAAAAGAAAATCCGAGAAAAATAAGTATTATAAAAAGGTAGCTGTAATTATGGTAGGTAGCTGCAGATTTTATACTTTCATTTGTTTTCTACTACAATGTAGTGGTAATTTTATCTGGTTACAAAATGCAAAATTTTTATTTGGCTAAATTTGAAAATGTTGACTTTTGATATTAAAATCGTACAAATAAGTTTAAATCAACTGATTTACTTATTTGTATTAACATTTTCTCTTGTACAACACTCAAATACTGATGTGTGAATCATTCAATTTTTCTGAATGATTTAATATAAAAACTGGTGAATATGACCTCAGTTTTGTGAATGTTCTGTAGAGTTATTCTATGTTAAAAGGACATCCATGATATGTATTTGATATTGTTTATTACAACCCAGTATTGTATAACATTGCACAATATGAAGATTTTCAGCTTATTGCATTATTTAATCATTGTATAAGGATACAAGATGTTGACCCTGACAGTAAGTGAAATTTCAGCAATAAACTTTTTCAAATAGTAATGTTAGTAGGATTTTGTACATATTCATGACTTTGAAGCTTAAAACTTCAGCTTATTAATCTTTTTAAACAATTTCTTTAGTCCCAGAATTCAATAAATTAATTCTTCAAGCGTTCTGAAGTAAGTTGAATGCCTCCTCAGCTTTTTGTATCACTGTTGCTTAATGTGTTCATGCTTTGCTACCTGGTATATTTTCAATCTTCTTGAAATTAGATATTTCATTTTATCTGTATAAAGTACAAAGTGAAATGAGAGGTCTGACTTTAATAAGATGAGTATATTTCAGTTGTTTTTATTGATGTGTTGTCAGTAGTGATATATATACAATCTTAGAGACATCACTGTAAAACCATTTTCATTCTCATGTATATCAAGTGTATCACCTTATTTCTGCTGAAATATGCACATAAAGATTTTTATCAATAATTATAAAATCTGTTGCTGTTGATCAACAATCTGGATGTGTAAAGTTTTTATGTCATACATGTTAACTCATGTACAGAACACACATCGCCTGTAAACAAAATGTCTTCTGGCTTGAAGAAGCCATGATAGATAAAGGTTATAGCCACAAAGCGAATGATGGCCAAATGGACAAATGAAAACCCAAGGTTTTTGCTAGGGAAGGAAAATAGCAGATGTGAATTGTTTAAGCGAGCATGTATTCACCTGGATTGGTGATGTTATTTAGGATGCAGGAAAGGCTTAAAGGTCTAACATGTTTGACATCAAAATAAAGTAATTTTGCTAAGTCAGAAGAACATGTGTTTATGTACTTTTTCACTACTGTTGCTTTCATTTGTCTCTACCATCATGTGTTCATGTTTACAAATGAACTGCCTCATTTTCAAAACTGTCAAATGATGTTGCCGGTATCATTACTATATTTGAGAAAATTGAGTGGTCAAGCTGGATATTGGAAATTGAGTGAGAATATTGGAAAGGCATAGAAACATAATTTGAAATATATAAAGGATGCACATGGAATAGAAAATTAATGTGTTTACCACAATATTGCTTAAAATGAGTTTTCATTTGATATATTATTTTATGAACTAAGTCTTTGAAGTTTTATTTTTATGAGAACTGGCAGGCAGAAATTAAAAATTTGAGGAAAATTTTTTTTATAAAATCTCATTTTATAAAATCAAATTAAAGATACCTTTATTCCATTACTCAGAAAAGTTAAATTTTGACAGGTCTTGAAGTCAATAATGTGAAGGACTAAATCAAATGCAGGCAGCGATTTTGCTGCACCGTTTTCAATTCATGACTTTGTGTTATTACCTGTGTCATTACATAAGATCGATTTCTGACTGACACAGCCATTGAAAAATGCTTCAGGGTATATAACACGTATGACACGCAGAAACATTAGTGGTGAATTAACTGGCTAACAGACAGATTTTGTGATAAATTGTTTTTATTTTAATACTTGTTGAATATTGTTGTATTGTTTTATGTTTTTCCATTGATTATTACAATGTTTTTATTTTTCTGTGTGTTGATACCTTATTCTACCCGGTAGTTCCATTGACTGTATGCTACTTTATTTATTCTGCAACAAGCCAAGAGGGCCCATGTTGGGCTCATTACTGGACAATGAAATAACATTTGTAAGCATTTTTACTGACAAGAATTGTATATTAATGTCCTTATTGCCAGGCATGGGTATCTTGTTGAACAAATATGGTAAAAACTGCTCCAAGATATTTTCAAAAGATAAGTCATAGTTTTCATAATGGTATCATCTTAGTATTTGCCTCCTACAAAAAAGTTGTTTGGGCGAGTAAAGTGAAGAAGAAAATATTAGAGGACATGAGAGCACTACTTTAGTAACATATCAACCCAACAGTAGGATTTATGGTTTGTCAAATGGGAACTACAAAGAGAAAAGATGAACATTTGAAATACCATGCACAAACATTCTCAAGCACCATGATTCATACAATTTCTTTATTGCCAGATTCCTCTTGTGTGATAGACATGATACTAAGGCAGCCTTAAGAAACATACTTGTGTACTGTCCGTGTATCTGGTAGCAGAAAACAACATCAGTCATTAGTTTTGTTTATTTCCCATATTGGAAAATTGCTGAAACAGTATTATTGTCACCAGCTTTATGTTGGAAATGTTCACAATCAGAAACAGACTTTAAATACAGTGGATTTTTTTAATTTTTTGTTTTTGTTTTGTTTTTTTGTTCTTTTGTTTTTTTTTTCTTTCAGTTGTACAACAGATGTTTCAATAAATTCTATCTGGGTATGATTATATTTAAGGTTGCAAATGTTTCATGGTCGGTCCAATTTATTGACCAAATAGCTATTTGGGTACATGTTAATGTTATAGATATGTGGTATTTTTTAAACTTGTCATAATATCAATTCAGAACAAAGCTTTGGATTATATTGAATAGTGATGTGGTTATTGGGATGTTTACTGCTTACAAGACTTAACATCCAAGCGAACAGAAGAGAACAAATAATCGAAGGTATTTTCTATCATTTAGAGTGAGAACAAGTCTACCTTCTGCTTGACTTTGTTCAGATTCTGCTTGACCTCATAATTCCAATTATATACAAGACTTGTTTGTGTGAGACTATTTGAGTTGTGTCCAACCTTGCATACATATGCATTATATAATAAAGTATAGATAATACTCATATACATTTTGTACTTAAATTAGACAAGATCAGTGTTAAAATACTGTTGTTGTTTTCTGTCACAAAACAAGATGAAATCAACTGTTTTTGTCCTAAAATAATTTGTTTCTTCAATCCTGAAATAGAATTGATCTTTAGAAAGGTAAGAAATCAGAAGTCATAATTTTGATGAATGGATTTATTATATACTTGTACATAATAGAATGTTGATATTTTACGAGATAGACCACTGGCATCTGTATTACACAAAGTGGAATCAGAAATATCTACTCCTTGATCCATTCTCAAAACTCCAAAGGTTACTCTCTGAAACATTCTCTTATTGAAATGTGCCCTGGATTTTAAAGATTACCTTTGTTGGCTGTAAAATGGTCACCTTTTTGGGGTTATTTTTGAAAATGTGTATCAAAGTGATACAAGTCATTTCAATGATGTTGTAGTAAATAATGTTTTACAAAATATTGCACCAACATTTTCTATTTATTATAGGCTGATTACACAATGGCACATTTGTGATTTGTTATTCTGTCCAATTATGATTCAAATAAATACTCTTTTCTGTCATATTGTTTTTTATATTTTCTGTCAGATAGATTATTCCTTCCATGTAATATGATATAGGAACAAGAAATATTAAGAATCAGTCTCATTTTGTTGACAAACAAAGGGTTCTTATTGGCAAAATATAACACTTGTCATGTGTAATTATTGACATTTGAACATTTGTATTATCATTGATTTTAATTTCACTGCTTTCTGACATATTTAGACAAAAAACAAATAAATTTTTGTTAAGACTTAATTTTGTCATCAACTGATTTCAGACAAAATCACCACAGCTATTAAGATGTTAGGTTTAGAAATGCATATTAATGTGAGACAGTCAAAAGAGTGATATTCAAATCTTGTGTTTTCCTAAAACTGATTGTCATCAAGACTTTAACATTGACACAATACAACACAGTTCTAATAGTAAACACCTTTGTACACATTCCATGTTATGTATTAACCATATCTGGACACCTACAACAGAAACATGGAAATGCCTCCTACCTCTGTGACAGAGTATTTCCAGATCAGTGCTGTTTGAATCAACAGCATAACAAATATCATTATAGATACCTGGGAAATGTACCATTATCACGTTGAGAAGACATGCTGCAAATTTTCCAAAAACAGTTCATGGACACATCCCAATTAAGGACAAAAAGGGTGCATTAGGAAAACTTCAGGATTGGTGGAACAAAGATGTCAAAAATAGAAAGACATATTGGATCTTAATTTGAGCTTTTATTTCATTTGAGACTACATGAAATGAGTATTTAAAGTTTTTAATTTCACGAGCATTGACAAGTTTTATCTTGTATATGAAATAAAATCAAATTTGTTAAGATACTTCCTATCACATAGCTCAAACAAGTTACACTTTGATAGGTTTAAAACTTAAAATGTAAACAAAAAAATTGGAACGGAGGCTACCAATTGATATCTAACTGGCGCAGCTCATCAGAAGAAAATTTGTTATAAAATATGAATATTTGTAAATCAAAAGGAATCAGTAACCTTACCCAGATTTTAAAAACACAAATGAAAATGATGATATTGATAAGGCTGATATATGTTTAAAAGTCAGCTATAAATGTAAAAGAAATGTGTGATTCTTTGCTGAAAATATTTCAACTGTACACAAAAAAAAATTGAGGGTGACATGTTTGCTATTCGTGAAGTTGACACTAATTTTATTGAGAAGATTTTATCAAATTTAAATGTCAACTTAGCCAATGGGCTGGATAACTTTTGAAACACATCGCGGAAGCTTGGAAGTGTGTGAAACTCGATAGCCTACTTTTTATCAAAATTTTTCGAAAAACATATACCATGATGTAACTTTACCTTTCTTACCATGTTTTGTTTGACTATAGTTTAATTACAGACTTTCAATTTGGCTATAGACCTATACATTCGTGTTGAACTAAATTGATACAACAAACACTTAGTATGTTTTTCATTTCTACAGCGTAATCTTGTTTATAATAACCGGTTAAAGCAAACACTATGTCTATGTAGAATATACCTAGCAACTAAGCTCTTCAGAATTGGAATAACCATGAAGTCTTCCACAACCAATACTTTGCCTTCTCATAAAACAAATATCTTCAAATTGCCCAGGATCATGTATTGTTATTAGCATACATGTAAATATTGCATATTTTATGAAATAGACCCTTTCACCTCAATATACATACTGTGTCTTGACTATATAATTTATCAATTATAAGATGGAGAGTCACAATAGTATGTAATGCGGAGTCAAACAAGATATGGTTACCATGGTTTATGGGTTTGGTGTCGTAGACTTTTTAAATGCTGCCTTTATGTTTGCCTTTAGTAAAAGGATATTGAAGACCGTGTCGCCAATGGACGGAGAATTATGTGTAAACCTTGTAATGAAGATATAAGAGATGTTACTCTATTTTAAAATTCCTATTGCAGTGACGATATTAGAAGTTAGACCATGCGCAGCTACTGCATAAGCTTTGACCTTACGACATTTCATCAGCCTATGCAAACTATTTTTGCTATAGATATATACTGCAAGAAATGTAACTCCTAACTGCCATATTTTAGCAGACGACGTCTTAGCAGATGTCTAAATATGGGCATGCGAATATTTTTCTATGCTTTGAACCAATGTGTTAAAACAGTCAGCTATTGATCAGTTCACAACATCATCAGCAGTCGGCAAATTTAATTCCGCAAAAACAAATAGATTATTGACACAGATGTATGTTAATTTATTGTGCTCTGCGGGAGCTCTTCTCCCGTGAAAATTGGAAATCGATATGCCAGCCGATTCAATGTAATGAAAACGCTTTAGAACTGAGAACAAAGCCGCATCGCTCGTTTACAAACTCAGAATGGACCATGATTTCCTCCAAAACGAAAAAAATGGCGGCTTGCTGAATGTGGAGCGTCTTTTTGAAGACCATAATATTTTACGAAAAAAAGGCTACTATAAGGTAAAAATCTTGTTTAAAATGTAATCAGTAGTCTTTATATTCTTTATAATGTATTTACAATGGCTATATTAGTAATACGCGCTGCAGTTGTGATTGTAATCTGTAGCTAACAGATGCAGTCTGTTCCATTGTCTGTTGTCTCATCTTCATGGCCATACTCAATACATTACTCATGATAGTGTTTATTGTTGTCAAATGTGATATCTTAATCATATATATCGCTAACCATTGAAGGAGTCAATCTTTTATTTCTACGACCTGAAAGGACTTCATTATACTCTCGTAATTTTGGTATACTATACAGTAATTGTATTTCGAAAGAAAAAAAAACGAATATAAGATGAATAATAATGGTAATGCATGTGTTTATATTTCAAGACGCAAGAAACTTAATTTTGTGTCGTATGTTATATATGGGTAACTTACAAAAGCATTAGCTGAGAAGAATTTTTATTACGAGAAACAAAGCTATTAATCTTTGAACTAGAATATTAGATTGGAAATTAGTAGTTTGAATGATTTTTGACCACCTATCGATTTTTATCGATTAATCTGGAGTTGATGAATAACAGAACTCTGGCCCAGTAAGAAGAGTGAAGGAAATAAATCTCAAACGTTTTTTAATGCAATTAAAAACACACAAAACAAAATCACAGCTGAACACTTTACCTTACAATAATGGTTATTATGATCAATATCTGTTTGAATGCAACATTTGAAAGGCTTCTTAAGAATTAATTTCAAAGTAGGATCCCAAACTGGCCAAAAATATATCCCTGCGTCACTGTATGTTTTGCTTGGAATGAACAGTGACACAATGACAATGTAGACCAACCTGTAAAGCACCAAACAATTTAGAGACACATCCAGTGTATGAGATATATTGCACCACACCCTGTGGTATTCAGCAAACAGAAGAACAGTTAAAGGATTACTACTCTTTACAAGATAAAAAAACAACCTCATCACTTTAAAGAAAATTCCACTCCTTCTAAATTCTTCCAAATCGCTCTTGTTGCTCACATGGGAGCTTACAATCTGTTGTACTATAGGAGAAAACCCAAGTACCCGAGGAAAACCAAATGATGAGGCAGCTAAACCCCATATCTTTTCACACCACTCACAGAATTAAACCCAAGATGTTAAATGTTATGTGAAGCAGAAGTGCATTACCATTATAAGACCAGTCTAGTCTATGCCTAACATATAAAGTTTATTCCTAAGAATTACCTACCCAATTTTTTACTTTTGTTCCCCCAAATAAGTAAATAGAAAGCTTCTTCTTTTATTGGGCAGTATCCAATAGACACACTGCTAGGATCACAGGATTATGCACTTGATTTCAGGCATTTTCTTGTTTTTGTAAACATATCAACTAACATATAACAATCCACTGACAAATATTTATGATTAGCAGATAATGAATAATGAATTATAGAAGAAGTATCATTGTTTCAATATAGTTGACTGATGTAGTTTCGTGAGTTGTGCTTGCATTTTTTTTCAAAAACCTAGAAGAAATTGGAAAACAATGAAATCTAACCAAGTGGAACCAGTCTACAGTACCTTTTGTGTGATCACAAACAGATAGTTCAATTACAAACATAACATTATGTAACTGATGAATTAATAAAGACAATATTTTGACAAAACAAAAGGTGATATACTCACTGTTTCTGTTTTAACTATTCATCATTCACCTATATAATCTAGTTTTTTTTTTTTTTGATCTTCAGGTTTTTAGAACTGTCTGAATAGCTTGTTACAAGTACATATGATGGCACCCAAAAGGAAAAAGCCCCCAGGTTCTGGAGATAATCCAACCGATGAACGAGAGGAGTCACCTGGTCCATCAATGTTGCCAAACAAACGACGCAAGAAGTCCTTGCAGTATGACCCTGTAAGTCCAGAGATATTTACCATTGTCAGATAAGGGATTATATACTTTAACACATATTTCTGTTACACACAATTGTCTTCCTTTTTTAATTATACTCTAGGGATTGTTTTAAAACGTAATAAGTTCGCTTTATGTTCTAATTTTATTTGTACCACACAAAGGTAATTGTTTTTACATTTATTTCAATGAGAGCAGTTTTGTTGTCACTAGTCTTGCATGTTATATAATTCAGGCTATGTAATATGTATGGATATTTGCTTTCTTCTGTAGGTTGATATATGTCAGGAATTATATGACACGATCAGGAACTACAAAACAGATGATGGAAGATTGATCTGTGAGACTTTCATCAGGGCTCCAAAACGAAGGTCAGTGTCTCATGATTTCATGTCTATAGAGATGTTTTCTTGAAAGAGCAACAACATACTGATCCTTACAGTATTGTACTGATGTAGTATCATATATTTACTAATACTAACCGGCCACATTATTTAGGTAGAATAATTGAAAAAATGTTGTTGACCCTTGCTCGTTATTCACTTCATAAGGAAATCTGTTGATCTTGAAACCTTGGGACATACAATATCAGCATTGTTTGTATAAAAATTATGCTTACCTTATGATATTAAGTTGTAAACCTTTGTGAGCATACTGTTGGACACAGGAGCATGGGGATACAGATGCAGAAAAGATTTGATTTGAAGTGTGCATGAATGTCATAAATTCTAAACTGTTCTATCTTTAAATATTAATGATTGATAACGAGTGTTGTTTGATTTACAGAACAGCGGCTGATTACTATGATGTTGTAAGCACTCCCATAGATTTACTCAAAATCCAACAGAAACTGAAAATGGAAGAATATGAAGACATAGACCAGTTGTCTACAGATATTGAGCTTATGATCAACAATGCCAAGTCTTATTACAAGGTATTTATAGTACTGCACTTGCTGAAGAAAATCATCGTATTCATTTAGTCATATTTTATCTGCTTTGAAGTTTTTAATCAAAATGAGTGAATCTGAAAATCTCTAAGTTTTTCATTGGAATATTAATGATATCACAAACGTGGCTTTGAAATGAGAGCTGTTATCTTACATTGATAGCTAGTAAATATGTAACATATAACAGATCTTGTGAGTATGAAATATTGACCCCTGATATGTGAACATTTAAAATGGATGTAAATCGTGCAGTTATCAAAAGAGAGATGTAAGATAGTCAGAGTTTGAAAATTTCATTGAAATCATGAAAAAATATTTAGATATCAATATTGTGTATAAAATGCTGATTGGTATCAATTGATTAAACATGGTAAGATTTTCTAGAAGTTTGATGCATTTGTTCTTGTAATCCTGACATCTGCATTGAGACACTGTAATGTCTCTAACATTTTCAATCAAAATTAGAAATAAATCACAAAATATTTATTGAAATTCATGTAATTATGGTAATATATAATCTGGTGTTATCACATAACCAGTCTTCACTCATAATATTAATGAAAGTGAAAGTCACATGTTGCATACCCAGTATGATATGATCTTGGCAGTCCTTGTTGCATTTCTTAAGCTTGCTGTTATGCCATGAAAATTTGGTTGTTTATTTACCTAAAAATACTTGGAAACATTAAAATGAACTTTTAATTTCAGTTCTATTATATTTGACTGAGGCAGACAATTAAGGCCCAAAACTAAGTCAGATATTTATTAATGAAAATAAAATCCTGTTGTAATCCATGACATCCAAGCCTCTGTTTTTGTAACATAAAATCATGACAAAGTTACAAAAACATGTTGAATGATAGAATATATACCCTAATGATGATATCATGTGAGATTCACCTTAGGTTTTCATAAATGCATTTAAAAGTGGAAACTACACACTGATTAAGGGGAAGGTCAAATATGTTATATGTTGCTCCACTCTCTCTATAAATGAACTGCAAATAATATGTCAAGCACACTCATGCAAGGACATATATTTTATAAAGCTATGAATGAACGCATAGTTTCATCGAAGCTTTGTATGCTTATAGTGTTGGAACAGCATTTGAATAATGTGCTTAAAACATTAGAAAATAACAGTATTTCACTGCAAGCACAAAAAATGATAATGTTTTTCCTTTAACTATTCAAGGATTTAAATTGGCACACAGAGGTTAGGTATATATAGGCTCTCAAGTTGACTTGTGCTATTTTAATATTTATATACTTTACCTATCAATGGTTGATGTAACTTATTGGGAACAATGATATTTAGTTGGATGATGTTTTATATAAGTACAAACATGAAAAGCTTTAACATGCAATGATTGTTCTGATTTTTGTTCTCTTTGGTTGCCAGTATGGGCATTTTTAGTACTGTATGGTTCTGATGTAGAAAGAAGACTTATCAAATTAAAAATCAAACCTGTAGATATAAACTAGATCAACATCAGATGGTTCTATATAAAACAAGTGATCAGGAGAGTTGCTTGGGTTGTATTCTCCAAAATATTTAATTGGTTACTTATTCATTTAAGTCTGTTGTATCTGGTCAAACAAGACCAAATCACCTCTACAGAATGTACCAAGTGTTAAAGATATTACTGTCTTTCTTTGCAGAAAGATTCTCAAGAATACAAAGATGCTTGTGATATGTGGGAATTATTTAATGAGACTCGGAGTGAAGTGATATCTGAGGCATTCGGAGAACTTGTCCCAGGGGATCGGCGAGCAGGTCGTGCCCTTGCCACAGACAGTGATGATTTAGAGGATGACAAGGTGAGACTATTTGCTATGATGGGTATCATCAGACACATGCTTTAATTGCATGGTAAGAAATACATGTACTACCATCTGTTCTTATTCTTTAAACATGATGGTACCAAGATAAAAGTCTTCATAAGATATTCAGATGATTGTAAAGCTAGTGATAGAAACTTGTCCAAAAGTAATAATTGATTATTAAATCTGTTTTGTCTATTATTTTTGTTCATTTGTTGTTATATCAAGTAACAAATTCCACGAGTAATATATTCTGTCACATGATGAAATACATTTCTCAAGATGTGTCCTGAGACTCCTTAAACTCTACTTAGGCTTAGAAGGAACTTAGAAGGAGTTTATAGGATTGGCAATATGAGATATTTTAGAGATATGGTTGTGTTAGTGTATGTTAAGCAATACATGTGATCTGAGTGTATATTAAGTACTCCTCTTTTCTGTTACAGGAAAGCTCCAACGACAGCAGCTTGTTACCAGTGGAGCCTGACACTCCCGAAGATCTGGAAAGCCTCTTTTCATCTGTAATGATGGCTCGTGATGGAGAAAGGGAGATAAGTCCAGCCTTCCACTTACTACCCTCCAAGTCTGTGAGTGCTTGTATGATTCCTGTATAGAGAGGCAGGGAGTGTGAATGACTTTAATTTGATTAGAATTGACAATATTTGCCACTGTTCCTCTTCATAACCTATTCGTAAGGTCAAGATATTGACTTAGTTCTCAAATTTGCAAGTTTAAATAATTGTAAAGACCTGGGTGATTTCCACCTATTGACTGAATAGTTTGATTTTTTTTTAATTCCCAAAATATAGAATTCAAATGAAAGGCAACAAAATAAAGTAAAAATGCTGATATGAAAGGAAAGTTATTGTAGAGGAACAGTATATGTATGTAATCTGATGAAAATATGACTCCTTGTAGTGTGTAGTAATCAGAATGCTTGTCATTTCTTTATATGCTTCCTTGCTTCTGTATGTTCAGTTTAGTGGCAGAAAGGTAGTAATTTCCACCAAAAACCTTGTGCATATTGCTGTTAACCTCGTGCTGATCACTAAGTTCCTGATCAACCTGTGGTGTGTCAACATCTTCTATTAGTGTTGTGTTGAATAGTTCTGTTAGTAGTTAATTGTTTTTATGAAAGTTTTTATAATCATACAGTTTGAGACTATATTTTATCTGATTTCCATTTCCTAGCAAATAAGATATCATATTCAGTTGGTGTTGTTAACCCACTCAGTCCACTCCAAATAGAGGTACAAAACAACCCAAGATAGTCCTTGAAACTGGAGGCAGATTAAAGCAAATTTCAGTCTTATTTTTTTCATTAATTGATTTGCCCACTGAAAGACTGTCATAATGAAAGTAAAACCTGTTAGAATTATTTGAAGATGAATATGCTCGGACTTCTGAGGTTAACAGCAGGTTTTTGTACGCAAGGTACATTTACACTCTCATCTCAAAAATATAAAATATTTCCATACTTATCTACATAAGGAATTTTGCTTTTTATTTGTTTATTGTTTAGTACAACTTTTCATTTGAAGGATGTATTTGGTAAACAAATGCTTGTTCAGTCAAAAGAAAATGCTAATGGAAAAATGTTTATGAAAATCATAATTTGTTATTAACAGTTATTGGAAAGAAATCTATTGAGAGTTTAAATGAGATAGAGTCAGCCTTTTCACTATTGTATCATTATATTATTATTTCTTTTTATTTGGATTTGTATAGACAGAAAATTGTTTTCAGTTTAAATAAAATGCATGCTAATAAAAGAGAGACTTTTACAGTGGAGCCAGTGTGTAATCTATAAATATGACTCAGAATGGTCAAATGTTATCCTGTCCAGCACACTAATACCAAACAATGAATGCATTGTGTTTTATTCACATCAAATACTTCCCATTCACCTAACAGTCAGTCATGGTCAGGATACAGTCAATCTTGGTCAGCATTGTGTTGGATTTTTTTTTTTTTTTTTTTGCAATATCATTTCATTTAAAATCTCATACTCATGGCAGGATATTTTAAGTGTTTTCCAAATTGTGTTGTAATAAGGATTTCTTTCCAGTTCAAACACTTCACTATGGATACAAGTGTTGCTTATCTTCAGACTGAAGCTTAAACCTTACTAGTTTCATGCATTTGCTTTGCATATCATAGTTTTCACATCACCTGCTAGAGACAAATAAGAGTTGACAAATCTACAATGTCAACATGGTCCTATTCCCATGTTCTATATCAAACATATCAAAACATATCAAAATCTATATCAAAAACGAGTTTGTGACCTTAGTAACTGTTAAAATTTTTTCACAGTACCTGTTAATTCTTTAATCAGTGATGGAAGGCCCTTGCAAAAATTAGCTCTGATGATGATTCAAGTTTAACTTCCTGATATTTCAAGACAGTATCCACAAATGTTGTGAGATACTTTAGCTTTGCTTCATGGAAAATTAAACAATTACTATATTCAGTATAGGGTGAAATAAAGAAAGATTAGAAATGATTTTTTTGAAAGAAAAAAAAAAGTAGAGAAAAGAAAAAAGAAACAACAAAAAGTAGTTTTAACAAAGCCCATTTTCATTTATCTGCAGAAATACCCTGAGTATTACAAGATAATTAAACAGCCTATTGACATGAAGATAATTGGTCAGCGCTTACAAGCAGGAGCTTACACAACTCTGGATGACCTGGAAAAAGATTTTCTATTGATGGTCAAAAACGCCAAAACCTTCAACGAGCCTAAATCCCTTATCTACAAGGTGTGTTTACAAGAAAATGAGCATTAAATTCCTTTTCAAATTCTTTGAAACACTGTTTTCCAACTGTTCTTCGGATATGGTCCTAGTATAATTTATACTTCTGGTATGCCTATCCATAACTCCAAAGATTTATATGTATAGTACTTCCATTTTAATGAAGGCATTGGCAGTATCAAATGACTTTTTGGTGATTGCTGGAACACGTTTTTAGTCAGAAATATTACAAAAGTTTAGTTGAAATATGACTGTCTTCAAACTTTTTATTTTGGTTTTGTCTTTCCTTTTATTTTGTATTTGTGGATATGCACGTGTCCAGCTCAGGCATGATCTGTTTTATTTGGAAAATTTTCCAGCCTATAGTTTTGAACATTCAGCCTTTTTTGCTTGCAGTGTGTAAAGTATATGATTAACTTGTATTTTACTTAATTCATAAATATGAAATCATGCTATGCAAGTGCTATATTCAGTTATGACAAGAGGTTTTTAACTATAAGTTTGTATTTTTCATAATGGGATAACTGCCATGGGAAGTCATGGAGTCCCATTTTGGTTCACTCATTAATTTAGCCATAATAATTGGTGATTATCAAATATGATTTGGTCAACTTTAATTGACAATGAGACATAAGGCAAGATTTGAATCAGTGATTTTTTCTATCCAATTGAATATACGATCAAGATTGTTTGCAGAACAACATTATTTATCATATCATTGTTCAGATTTATCAGGACTTTAACAAGATCTTATAGGTTCTGTGGACCATTGTAAAGTTACAATGTCATTTAATTTTTTTTTCAATTAAATTTAAAGCAAATTGTTTGACCTTGCCTTATTTGGTAATAGGATGCACAGACATTGAAGAAGGTGGTACAGACACGGAAGATGGATATACACAATAAAGTAGCCCCTAAACCAGGGGAGAGAGCAAGGTAAACCATCCTTTCAACTGGCCCTTAACATTTTTTTTTTCATAAGACGAATACAGCTTGTTTGGCCTGTTTTCAGTATAGACAGATTATTCAAGCTTTACTCCTAAAAATGTGAAATTTAACAATTACTCAGGAGGATACATCTCAGTATTTTCTAAAGTAGGGCCAAATGTGGACATAAGAAAATGCTGAGTTATTTCTATAATCCCTGTAAAACATCCTAACAAAACTAAGCTGTTATTTCTAGAGTTTGTGATTCACTCAAAGGAACAAACAGAATCGACTCGAAAGAACAAACAGAATTTTTGAGCCTGAAAAGTATCTAGAAACGAAAAGGAGATGGATGTGTGTTTAAAGTTGGTTAATCACTTTTTATACATGGATTTAAAAGAAAGAAGAGGATGGTAGTTCCTGATAGAAGCCTTGGTTATCTGGTTAATTTTGTTTCAATGTTACTTGGGATATTTGTCAACATTATACCCACTTCTATTTAGTACACTGATGTGAAGGGCTCTTTGTAGATACATGTATACCAGCTTTGGGCCTTCATTTTTGAAATGTCACTAAGTTGAAGCCCTAAAGTGTAAGAACAAAGTTTAAAAAAAACACATACTGAATACAATGAACAAAAAGGTGTTTCATGCTATTGGTTAATTAACACTGGTTCTTGTCACAGTCGATCCCGGGACAAGTGTAGCTGGTCTTCCTACTGTGCCAATCTGCCATACCCTGTTGAGGAGACATTTGAACCTCCTGTTTCCCAGGACTCCAACATGAGCATGGACTACGATGATGATTCTGGAACTGAAACTGTGGTGTCAGAGTTAGAGGAAGGTGACCCCTACTGGGCCTTACTCAATTACATCAAAGGCTTTAAGGGTCCTTCTGGGACTCCCCTGTGTGAACCCTTCCTTAAACTCCCCAGTAAAAGGTATGTCTTTTCATCACAGATTAAAGTACAGATAAAAGATAAATATTTATAATGAAGGTCAGTGATCAGATTCAGTGGTTGAAGTTGAACATGTTATGGCTGTATTATATACAAAACATTACTTTCAACACAAGTTATTTATTATAACATATTCCTGTAAACGAAGGTTTTAGGGTCAGTGTTATTGAAGTCAAACATCTACTTGATCCCAGGACTCCAAAATGTATCACTTCTTTCCATGGTTCAGTTTACTGCTTTTCAGCAAATTATTAAATTTCATGGGTGTTACTTCTATATACAACCCGAAGTCCTGAGTAGAATAGTTGTTTTACTAGAGCAGGCCTCATTGATTCTATAGCCATTGAAAATTGTTTTTGGTATATAAATAAAAAAGGAAAAATTGTATTTTAATAAAATCTTTACATGTATCATACAAATTGCTTTATATTCTAACATTTTGAGAGTTAAAGAAACATTCTTGTTGATATCCTTTCCAGGTTTTACCCAGACTATTATGAGGAAATTAAGAAGCCAATGTCACTGTCAAATGTTCGCAAGAAGCTGAAGGTACAAATCTTTTTTAAACATCCTACATTTCATTACTCTTTTTCTACCTCTTTTACTTGTGTACAATTGATAAGCCCACACATATATAATGTTAACCAATGTTCTCTAATTATCCTGTAATGATGCACCCCATGACTTTGAGAATAAATCCCACTCATTCCCCCTATATTTGTAATATTCTTCATTTGAGCTTGGTTTTTGCAAGGACATGAAATAATGTTCAACAAATCCAGAATCACATTGTCATGATTGTGCATTTATGTTTCAGTACAAACAGTACAGAAGTTTAGATAAACTGACTGCAGATATCAATCTTGTCTTTGAGAATGCCAAACAGTACAATGCTGACGAGTCCAAAATATACCAAGTAAGTAAGCGTAAAACTGAGTACTACACTCCAATATTAGGTTGTAAGACAAAACTTACACATTCATATACATGTGTATGAGACAGATTTCCTTATATTTTGATTCTCTGTTAAATATTTATATATTTATAAATATCTTAAATTCAAATTTGCACCATCTTCAATGACACTGTAAATAAGGGGATGAGGCAGATAGTGTTTTCTATATCCATCCTGTCATGTTGTTTCACATCCTAAATCAGTGTCTAATGTCATTACTGTTAGAAAATGGTTATAGAAATATATCAAACAGTGCTACAAATTTGCACAGGTCAAAGAGCAATCAGCATTTACGTACTTTGATGAATTTTTCAAATGTTTGTATTCATCACAACATTTGCTGTATTATTCTGCATTATTAGCATACTAACTTGAAATTAATCTGGACTGATGCTTTCTCTTACAGGATGCTGTCACCCTGCAGCAGGTGATGTGGGATCGGAAACATGAACTGGAGCGTGGTGACTCTAAGGTATTTGTATGTCAGGTATTGTGGCATGCATAGCTGTGCTTGCTGATGCTTCCCCAAAGTTAGCTGCATCTCTGTTGTATTTTATGTTGTAATAACTTCTCAAGAGGAGAGGGGAAGAGAAATGTTAGAATATGTTTTTTACAGGAAGTATTTGGATGTTGTTCGGTTGATACTGATAGTTTATGGACTCACAGAAAACAGATTTTCTTCTATCCTACACTTTTATATAAGCAATATTGTCTTATTTTTGTTGTTGTTAGCAGGATTGTCAGCTATATGAATCTGTCTGTGAATCAGTTTTGTTGGAATGGGTAAGGAATGCTGTTGTATGAAAACATTTTATGTTTTAAGAACTGGACCAGATTAAGGAATTCCTAAGTCGATATTGGATATAGTGTCTGATGTGAAAATGTAATTAACCAGACCATGAAGGGTTTGTAAGGAGAGAGATGTCTCTAATGTTGAGATGAGGGAGTTATTGATAATACTGTGGCAATACGACTGTAATTGTGTCTGTATAAATGTTGATAAAGGGTTTCTCTGGTGTTATAATATTTGCGGGAACTTACAAGATTATGGAGGTGAGGATCTAATTACACAGGCAAATCATAATCTGAAAATAAGGATATAACCTGTTACATTGAATATTAATTTCAATTCATTAAAAATAGATTTTCCTTTTGTCCAGCTGTAAGGAATAGCTAGAGAGGTTATTTACATATCAGAACATTCATTACAAATAAGAAGACCAATGCACTTTCATTTCTCACCTAAAATATTGATAAATGAAAATTATTACCTGTTCTATCCATGCAATAAAGACAGGAAGTCAAGAGAAGATATCTAACCTAAAACAGTGATGTGTTTGGTTTATCAACTTATTTCTCATTACATTTATAAAGCATTTGTAAGCATCTGTATGGAGCTGTAATAGATATTGGTTTGCTTCTTACTGGACATGGCCGTGCTAGTTGGTGACAGCTATCGTTTATAGGTGTTATAGAATGTTAACAGACCTTACACTAACAAAATCACCTAAGATTAGATTAAACTAGGTTCACTGATAATGGGGTTATTAGACTATGCATGATACTATTTTATGGAATGTTGTATATGGAGATTTCATCAATATAGCTCAGTTGTTGTAATAACTCCTGTTTAATGTGTGCTTTGACAATATTAAGTGGAGAGAAAGTTATCATAAAATATTTACTATGCATGTGGCTAGGATACAACTAAACTCATCTTTTCAAAATGGATTACAATGTTTTTAATTGGTGGACATAAATAATCAAAGGCTCTATGTGAGATGAAAGCAGTTGCTGCAGTAACAAGAGAAAATAATGGAAGGCTTGTGACAATATTTTGGCTTATATAGGGGGGTGGGGGAAAGGAAAAGCATTTATTGCATGTTAGTATATTCTTCATATGAGTTTGTCACATTTTTGTTGATTTATGCATTATAAGTCCAATATTCAAAGGGATAGAAAATACACATCAGAACTGTCTGTGTTGGTGTTCATCACTGGTTGGTTTACATCTCACTCTTGTCTGTTTACATTGTTTTTATTTTCAAAGATTTTAAAATTATCACAATGTATGTTTTATATCTGAACAAGTTTCCTATTTGAACTGATTCATACTTGGTCCAGCATCCTACTACTTACCTGGGTAAATGTTGGTGTTATCAGTTATCTGATAATACCTGTCTGTGAGATGTAGTAGATTAAAACCAATGTCTCATTGAATTAGTAATGATTCTGTTGTCAGACCTGCAGATAATGATTACAAAGGATGATCATTCTGTTTGCATGGGAGCAAGAGGAGGATGGACACTATATTCTATTTACACTTTTGGTTTTGTGATTCAAATAAGCTGACTTCACTAGACTCCAAAATAGAAGATTGTTTTGTCGTGATTGGACAAAAAAACACTACCAGTTCTAAAGGGTTGACATAAAAATTATTATGGTTGTGTTTTACATATAGATGTTGTGACTAACAGGCATGAATCAAGTGTACTGACATCTGTATCAACAGCAAGATTAAAAATGATAAAATCCAATGAATATTTTATAATGAGGTCCAGTCAGCCCAACCATATTCCAGAGGAGAAGCAAAAATAATAATAAAAATGAAATGCAACAAATATGACATTCTGGAGAAAAAAGCTTCAACCTTATGTTTGATATAAAATGATTTAAGCAAAATGGGTTTACCTTAATGGCAAAAATGAGAATACTTCAGTCACGAAGAAAATTCTTTTAACGAATCTATGAACTTATTTACAGTTGTTTTCTTGGAACTGGATATCACATTAGCTTCAGCAAGATACTGATACATACACTGTATTAGCATGATTAAAAGTTGTTATCCAGCATTTTTGGAAGGTAGGACTAAGAAGTTTGTAAATGAAACTTCAGAATTATCACACAAATTTAAGCACTATGACTGAACTAGAACAAATCACTCAAAAAAAAAAAACAAAAAAATTTACCTAGTACCCATATTTTGCTATTTTGCTGTCGAAAAAATCTATGAGTTACATCAGTGACCATTAAGTAACCCCCTATAACAGATGTAGAATGTTTAGTTGTTTGTACTGCTGTTGTTCTGTACCCCTCTGTATGTTCTAACCAGCAAGGCTTCCTCTTAATGTTGTCATTCTAATAGCTCAATGTCAGAGAATGTACAAAGTAAAGCTGTGTACTTGGTATCAAACTTACCCTGGTTTGATTCTGTGTACTTTTGATTTTATTCAGTTTTATTATGTAGCATTTTACCTTTTTCACAACATTTATTTGTTCGAAAAAGTGCCAAAAATGATCACTATATTGAATTGAAAGTTTTTACTGCTAAAAATGATTACATGTAAATGGAATAAAAGCAATATTTGTTTCCGTTTTTTTCACAAAGAAAGTTTGCTATTTATTTAAAGTAATTATTTTCTTCAGACATTTTGAACATCAGTTCATCATAGACAATATAAAGCAATACTGGATTTTTAACACAGCTAATGCAGTCTATACATTATACTTATATAAAGTCTGCTGTTACAGTTCTATACTGTGTGATGTTTCTAGAATAAAAATCATCGTTAGTTAACATATCTGTACATTCTGTGGTTGCACAACAGGACGTTTTCATGGAGGAACTTTCTTCTCAATCTGATTTCCCCTCCAGTGTGGTGAGTACACATCTACTGATGATGTCATTGATTTCTGCCCTTACTTACCTCACACATCCTTCTATACAACTCAGAAATTTGAAGTGGGTCCATCGCACCTGCATGCAAATGAATGGTAATGAAGGAAATATGTTGGTGATACACAAAAAGGTGGTTTCCAGTTCAAATTGTCATTATCTGTTACAAAGGATTCAATGTTAGAAAGGAAATGACTTCCCGGTACAGGGCACATGTTGTTAGCAGTATAAATTTGGATACCCACATTTAGCTTTGTGTAAAGGCACGTTTTTTTTTATAATCTACATTAGCACTATGTTTTTATGTTACACAAAAGATATATAAAGCTTTTTGTAAGTTGCAAGGTTGTGGTGCTGTGTGCATGCATTATGTTTTCAAAAATGCAGATAGGGGAAGATTAGGAGCAAATGATGTCATCCTGTAGACTCATGTCCTTGATAAAAGAGAAGCTATATACAGGATTACTCGAGCACTGCAGTACAGAAGTGGAAAACACTACACCTGTTTGTATTGATATACAAGGCAATATTTGTACGATATTCTCCAAGTCTGATACAGATATAACTTGAAAAGTGTCTAAAGCTCATCAAAACAAGTTATTGAATATATTGGCCAATATATATTTGTTTATGTGGAACTCAACAAATAAATATAGTGTTGTATTCAGAGATTTTTTACTTCTGATTTTTTGGAGTTAATGTTTGGGATTAAAGTATGGAATGATTGGTCTTACTACAAATCATCTTGGGGGTGGGGGAAATACTGATAGAGAACAGCTTTATTGTTAGAGTATAATTTTGATAGTTTAGATATATTTTGTACATTTATTTGTATTTTTATAATATTAACTGTAAGGTTTCCTTGTTTAAATATTAAATGCCATTTAAGATACATGTTTTATATGATGGAATATTGTGGTATGGTATAACTCATTGCACAATTATTGACTATGGTAAATATAAATCATTTAAGTTGTTGTGACCCCAACTAATGGTCTTTTCTCTTAAACCATGATGATTGAGCATGGACATCTAAGATAAATGTCTATATTATAGCTGTATATGTTGTACATAAGAGAATTATAAGACAGTTGTCTGAGTTTTTATCATGTCATGTACCCAAGGTTATACCTTAGGTCAAGGTCATGCAGTATGGGCATTTGAAATGGTAGAGGTCTGATTCTTTTAGGTCTAGGTCTACAAGTTACAGCTCTGTTGTTTATTACTGCCGGACGAGTTGCAGGGTAGAAATAGGCTGGATCTTGGGGTTTTTTGGCAACATTGACCAAAAGATTTTTAAGTTTCAATTACATGCTGGATGCAGGAAGGGAAAAAATTCACATTATATCACAGAACAATGTATAGGAGGAAGACATGTTGATATATTTGAATCAATAAATCTTAAAACTGGTGTTTGTTGGAGATGGTCTATCCAAAGGAATTTAATAGGTTAGAAAAATATAATCATGTGAAATTTTACATGTACATGTCCTTTCAATGTTTCACTTTTCTCTAGTATTGATCACTAAGTAAAGTATCTGTCATCAGCGCTCTTGGTGGTCTTTGTCAGCTCTGAATTTGGTTTGTTGTTGACAATGTTACTATTGGAAACTTTTGTAAAATAATGAATGACTGGTTATATTTGAAGGACCCATAATGTAAACATCCTTCTTGTGTATATGTATAAAAAATACACAGTTCATAACTATCAGTATTCACACATATATGGACCAACAGTATGTGTGTATAATATAGCACTGGTGTTGGTACTGTTGTGATTGCCAAGCATGACAAAGGGAAACCAATAATATTATATCAATGAGTAACAGTGTAATCATCTTCAAAATTCCAGGGGTTTTGATATATTTAAGATCTCTGCACCCTGTAACATGCCATAGCAAAATCAAAGCCACACAGGAAGTGATTTGGTGAGTTCTGGAACAGGTTTCATGTGGAAAAAAAACTGATCAAGTGATCATAACCCCTGGAATTTTGAGGATACAATGTTGGAATATTTATTTGTCATATATGGATGAGTTTATGAAACAGTGCGATCATTGTCGATTGGAACATAGCATCATTTCAGATAAGCTATCGATTCAGTCGAAAATAAACCAATATCTATGCATGTATCACATCTTATCTTAATTGTTTCATATCATGTCTCTGCTTAGGATTCTGGAAGTGAAGGGAATATTTTCACCAACAAAAACATACAAATTCTGTAATCATTTCTTCCTTTTCTAAAGTATTCCAAAATGTAATTTTTGCTTTATTGCAAAGAAGCTATAAGTAATTAGATTATACAAAGATTGTTTTGGAACAGTTCAAATGACAAAAGAAAATCTGGTTGAAATTATCAGGCCTTCAAAAAAATGTTACGTACATGTCTAGACTGATATGATTCCATCATCTTGTCTTTGACAGCCTTTACTGTGTAAGGTATACTCTGAGTACACCACTGATATATCATACAGGATTTCTAGGACCTATTGTATTTCATTAATGAGAATAGAAAGAAAGATTTCAATTTCTGTGAGATTTCGAGAAAATATGGAGCTGGAAACACATTCTGTACCTGTCAAAAAATAAAACTTAATGATATTTACTATTTTGAAATGCCATGGAATTTCAATTTATAAATATCATGCTTGGATTTGTTTCGGTTTGCACTTGACAGTTGGATTTTATCCCTCACCCTCCCTCCCCTTGGCACCCCCTACAATATATATGTATAAAAGAGGTTCCTAATAAAATGAAGTTCATTAGATTTGACAACATTGAGATTGAATAAACCATTGTCTAATAAAGTACATTAACCAGATATATAGAAGTTGAACATGTCATGATTTACCTATATGTAATGATTTTAGAAGTCTGGTCATAGCCTCGACTCAATGGATGATGACAGTCACAAGTCCCGGCACCGTCGTAGTGGATCTGGAGCTCCCGACAGTGATAAGAAACGTGCAAAACGGGCAACACCTGAGGATATGATGAGACGTAGACTTTGGACCATCTATAAGACGGTCCATGACTATACAGTAAGTGTTTTATATCTATTTCAAAACATGCTGAAATAACTAATCTTGTGTTGTCTGTGACAAAATCATGAGACATTAAGAGATTTGGTTTTAGTTCTGTCATTCAAATGTGAAAATGTATCTTTGATCCTGTTTTAATAATCATTCGAAACACTCAAGATAAGCAATTTTATTTAACTATTCTGAAGAATTTTTCATGTCAATGTCAATGTTTTGATTTCAATTATCTATATCTGTGTGACAGGATCCTGAGGGCAGACCTCTAAGGATGATCTTTATGGAGCTTCCATCAAAGCGTGACTACCCTGATTATTATCAGGTTATTCTCCAGCCCATAGACATGGTTACTATAGAGGCCAAAATCAAGGGTGAAAAGGTAGGCATTCTTATATAATGATACCACAGCTGTTTTTGGGGGTTTTTTTTTTTGAAGAAATTTCCCTATTGAATAATAGATATTAGTTATTTACCATATAAAAGAAAAATGGGGGCAAGTTTTCATAAATATTTAATTCCTTATTAGGTACTGTGGTAAAAGTGGAGATAAACTTCTGGACAAAATTTAATCTAAGTATGTGCAAGCCGTTTGGCCATGTAAATCTCTTCCACACGTATGAATTTGTGACCTATTACATACATGTCAAAGTACACAATAGATACTCAAAAGTACATTGATTGTTAAAAAATACCCCCATTTGTACAATTTGTCTACTGAAATTTTGAAATTACTCCCTTTTGAAAATAACTGACGACAGTAACTGTAAAACATTTGTTATACAAATGATCAAGCTTGTAAAGCACTTTGATTTTGTTTTCACAGTACTACAGTGAGAATGAGCTGATTGTAGACTTTGAGTTAATGTTTAACAATGCACGTCACTACAATGAGGAGGAATCCCAGGTATATAAGGATGCCAACACACTGGAGAAGTTAGTTAAAAACAAGTGGAGGAACATGCTGCAGACAATGGAAGCTCGCAAGGCTCTCAGCAGGAAGTACGTGCAGATGTACCGACAGTGAGTCTTGTAAAGGCTGTATAAGGTTCAGTAGATAGGAATATCACAGCCGCCCCTATAGCCATAGAAAATCATTAACAACAATATTAACTGCATTCTGAGCGAATCAGCCAGATTGGAAATTTCATCTGCTTATGATCACATATCCTTAGAATTCATTTGATTATCACATATCTAAGTGTAAAAGAAAAAGATGTTTTTGTCTAGTTTTTTTTTTTTGTTTTTAACATAAAGAATTTTCTTGGTGATGTGATCCATTGGTGATGTGATCCATTGGTGATGTGATCCATTGTGATGTGATCCATTGGTGATGTGATCCATTGTGATGTGATCCATTGTGATGTGATCCATGTGATCCATTGTGATGTGATGCAAAGCATATGTTTTTCCATCTGATGCTTTTCTTGCTTGATTATACTGCATTTTGGGATATGATATTAAGATTGTATCAGATTGTCTGTTATCTAATTGTCATTGATTTTTAAATGTTTGGTATTAATCTGACTTGTCTTACTCTTTTCTATGTGTCTGGATATACAGGTAAGTAATATGTTCTTCCTTTAGATGGACAAAGGGAAAACATGTGGGGATATGTTCAGGATCACAATTTATAGTTATAACATAGATCTTTTTCTTAGTCTACAGTTGCCATTCAAATTAAAGGAAAACCCTTAACAAGTCTTTATTTGTTCAATTATCAAATTTTTTACTCAAACTCCTATTACAAATATAAAACACATAAAACTTCACAACTACGGAAAGTCCTGTTAAAATGACCTGATTTATAGAATTTACTTTTAAAAAGTTTTATATTAAATTGAAGATAATTTGAATTCAAAGGTCTTGCAAATAACATTTAATTATTTGGATAAGAAACCATAAAAAAAATTCTGTGAAATAAGATACCACAATTAGATCACAAAAAACATAGATGATGGCATAGATGTTGTGTTACTAGATTATATATATATACACGTTAACATATTGTTGTAAAATGCTACATATCCTTCTGAAGTCATCAGTTTCAACCCTTATCTGAGTCAATATTTCTCTAGTTATCACATTTGTTGTGACTTTAGTGTGAAGACAAATGTGTGTGAAAAGTCGACGAGGTAAGCAGCGCTTTGTTGGTATATATGTAGTAGAGAGCAACTCAGAAGGACAGAGATTAGGAGGATACGCAGCCCTGTTCTATATTGTGTTACCATAGTGAATAAAATTTTCATTCCTCCATCATTACACATACAATATCTAAGCCCAATTTCTTTCTAGTCATATAAACATACTTTTAGAATTTGTATTAAAATAAAAGGATTTTTTGTCCACTGATTGGTATGGGAAGCTCGAATACACTTACAGAAATAGACAAAAGACAAGAGAAATAAAAACCTGATATTGGTGATGGTAGAGATTTGGCTAGAATGTTGTGTGTACAATATGATAGTGTTACACTGTTTTACAGTGTTTCGCTCCACTGATCGAGTCCCTATCACTGCCGTATCCCCTCCAGCAAGTCTCCCTTTGTCACTTATTCCCTCATTTCCTCACCTTGTTATGTGGGATACGGCAAACCAAGATGAAAGTAAGTCTGACCCGTTTACAGGGACATCTGTTAGCTGTTCTATTGACTAGGACAGACTGGGACATCAGTTACATGTTCTGTTGACTAGGACAGATTGGGACATCAATTACATGTTCTGTTGACTAGGACATTCTGGGACATCAATTACATGTTCTGGTGACTAGGACATTCTGGGACATCAATTACATGTTCTGTTGACTAGGATAGACTGGGACATCAGTTACATGTTCTGGTGACTAGGACATTCTGGGACATCAATTACATGTTCTGTTGACTCGGACAGACTGGGATATCAATTACATGTTCTGTTGACTAGGACAGACTGGGACATCAATTACATGTTCTATTGACTAGGACAGACTGGGACATCAATTACATGTTCTGTTGACTAGGACATTCTGGGACATCAATTACATGTTCTGGTGACTAGGACATTCTGGGACATCAGTTACATGTTCTGTTGACTAGGGCAGACTGGGACATTAATTACATGTTCTGTTGACTAGGACAGACTGGGACATCAATTACATGTTCTGTTGACTAGGACAGACTGGGACATCAATTACATGTTCTGTTGACTATGACATACTGGGACATCAATTACATGTTCTGTTGACTAGGGCATTCTGGGACATCAATTACATGTTCTATTGACTAGGACAGACTGGGACATCTAGGACAGACTGGGACATCAATTACATGTTCTGTTGACTAGGACATTCTGGGACATCAGTTACATGTTCTGTTGACTAGGGCATTTGTTAGACTTACTTTTATCTTTCATTGTTGTATGTGTTGTGTCTATGAAATATGAATTACTCGTATATTGTTCAAAGCCTTCAGTTAGATTAGCTTATATGTATTCTTTGGTTGTTATTTATTCTAATCCCTAGTTACAACAAACTTTTCTCTGTAAGATTATGTAGTTATTTATTATTTGTATTTCTTTATTATAGCAGCACTAGAAGTTTGTCCTTCTTGTGCATACATTTTATATCACTTATTAGAGCTCTATGAAGGCTTTGAGCAGTTGAGTACAGAAGTTTCCTGATGTCAACAAAAAATAAGGACATATCTATTTAGTAATTGTAGAATATGTAGAGAATGATTATCTTAAATGACTAGAAGTCTATCAAGCTGATACATAACCATTTTATATATTGTTAATGAAGTGAAGTACACATAAACTGTTAATGTTGTAATTTTCAAGGGTTAAGATTTTCATGGTTTATATTCAGTGTACTGTAAAATCAATCGTTTTCCTGGAAGATTTATTTTCTTTTGATTTCATGGGTACTCCTTATCCACAAATTGATATTTCCACCAGCTTTTAAGAGAAATGTTGTGCTTTATATATCATGAAATCAAGTGTCCACAATTATTTTTTTATTTGAAAAACCACGAAAATTGAGGCACATGAAAAGATGTGATTTTACAGTATCTTTTTATCACAATTTTATTACTCAATTGAAGCCCTGGAAAACAACGACTTACAGTTAATTATACATGTAGTTGTTTGACATCAGGAAATTTTTCATTCTATATGTCTTTCATAATAATGTTTTATTAGTTTGTTCAGAACTTCTTTTCCATTCAATTAGAAGTTTAAGTTCAGACTAAAAGATAAAAGATCAATTATTTGTCTTTGTTCTGTATAAGCAGATGATTTAGACTGAATTGGATTTTTAATGATAAAATAATTGTGCTATTAACATGTTACAAATTTAAAGTTGAATTGTTTGAAATTTCATTTCCAAAGTTCTTAGACAGTATTAAATGCTTCATGAAAAAAATATAAAAAGGAAAATAGATCTTCAGCAAATAAAGTTAAAATTATCAAATAACAATAAAGTAGTATAAGATTCTCTACATTTTTCAGTGATAACTTATGTCTCTTAAGGTAAATACATATTTTATGCAACTCTTTGAAATAACAGACATGAGTGCATGTTAGTGTAGTATTTCATCAGTGTTTCTGTCTACAGGATGAAGGATAAGAAGGTTACTCCCCTGCCTACTAAACTCCAGGACATTTACAACACCATTCATAACTACCAGGATGCTCGAGGACGTGCTCTAGCCACGCCCTTCCTTAAACTTCCCCTCAAAACTGTAAGTAACAATTCTAAGCAAACATGTTTTATCTTGTCTTCTTATTTGTATGCTTTGATGTATAATGAGGAGGCTTCCTGTGGTGCCTGTGTCCATCCATCCATAAATTGCATAGCAGACACTTCTTGTGGACTTTTTAGATAAATGTATTATTAAAGCGATAGAATGCCGGAGACAATCACAAATGTTCCTTAGCGATTTTTTAGCATGTACATTATAGCCACAGGATCTAATTCTCAGTTTTCATATGCAGATCGTAGACTATACTTAGTCCTCTAAAGATAGCAAAACTTTTTTTTTGTTTTTTTTTTATTTCCAATCTTCTTGTCAGTACTGATTGTCACTAGGTTTGGTGTTTAAGTTTGATGTGTAGCTCTGATGTTTGGTTGTCAGGAGTATCCCGACTACTATGAGGTGATCAAGAAGCCTGTTGACATGCAGAGAATTCAGCAAAAGCTAACAGCCTCTCAGTATGAATCTGTAGAAGATATGGTGGCCGACTTTGTCCAGATGTTTGACAATGCCTGCAAATATAATGAACCAGACTCCCTCATCTACAAGGTGTGTTTCATTGAGTAATAGCTGCTGGGGAGATAAAATGATGTGTCAGTGAAGGTTTAATCACAATCAAAGTTTTACTGGCCTATCATGACAAAAAGAAAAACCTTGTCAAAATTTAATGTAAATATTGTATATGGATGATAATGCATGTTGTAGACTACTCATTTTAAAAATGGTGTAATGAATGAACTTCTTCCTTTTTATTGAGCCTAAAAAAATAAATTGTATTAAGTTTTGGAAAATTTGTTGTTCAGAAAAAAATTGGTAGCCGTTTTTTAAGATAAGGTTATGTTCACAAAAAAGTCTGTTGAACATAACAAGTGCAATCAATATTTACTTAAATAGCTTTTATAGAGCAATGTATGCATGAGATTTATAACTTCAAAAGAATTGTATTCACTGGTTTTTTAAAATTTTGATATGTTCAAAGTCAAGTTTACTTTAAGACATTTATTTGACCTTTGACCTTCAGGATGCCCTGACGCTACAGAGAGTATGTCTTGAGAAGAAATTAGAGATGAGCAATGACGGTGTCAATGATATTCCTGATGTGAGGGCTGCTGTCTTGGAAATGATGACCAGTTTGTTCATATCTACTTACAATTTCCAGGTAAGGCTAAAGATAGATCAAACCAGTGTACAGAATAGGATTCTCCTTAAGTCCAAACGTGCCATTGAGGACAGTGAAATGTGGAAATTAAGATTTGTATTTTGATATAGAAGCTGATGCTGACCGTTTTATTTCAACAGGATGAGGAAGGGCGTTGTTACAGTGATTCCTTTGCGGAACTCCCTGAACGGGACCCAGACGAAGATCTAGAAACTTCTAAACAAAAAGAGTAAGTCTTTGGCATTATAGCATATGAAATTTTCATAATCATTCGAATTTTCCCTTCAACTACTTTTTATTTCTTGGAATTTATATGTTGATTTTAATATTGTGAAACATAGTTAAATGAAATTCTATTATTCTTTGCATACATTGTGTAAATAAAAAACCTTTTTATTTTCTTAGGAAACCATTGTCGTTTGACCAGATCAAGAGAAATTTAGACAAGGTAAGTAGAATGAAGAATCTAGTCAATGTAATGGGGATGTAACTAGTCAATGGCATATTTTACAGAAACAAAATTTTTTATTATTCAAATAGTTATAAAAGAATATCAAATAGTTGTATTTGTGTTACAGGGTAGATACAGGCGATTTGATAAGTTCCAGGAAGATATGTTTGAGGTATTTGAGAGAGCTCGACGACTTAGCAGAACTGACTCTCAGGTATGACAAAATTTAATATAATGAGTGACCATGTACATAATTATTTGCTCTTTTTTGTTCCCTCCCTCTCTTATTTTTTTTACATGAGCATCCTGCATCCTCCCATCAATTTTCCTATCAAGTCCAAACTTAAAGACCAAATCCTTACAAGATGAGAAATGAAAAGAAATTAAAACATTTATATTTTGATGAAATAGTTGTGAAATATTTCTTTGTCATTGCAGCTGTATGAAGATGCTGTGGAGATGCATTTGTACTTCATCAAAACAAGAGATGAAACCTGTCGTAATGGTGAAATACTGCTCACACCTGCTCTCAGTTACACAGAGCGCCACTTGCAAGCCTCTCTAGATGCAGAGAAGATAGAGAAATTACCAATGGAACAACAGAGTATGGAGGAAAAGCGAGCTCGGCAGGAGGCAGAGGAATTTAATACAGTAAGATTTTCTGTTATAGCCAAAATACTGTCTTAAGTTTATATGATGTTGAGAGAAAGGTGAAAGCAAAAGATAATATTTGTAATCTGAAAAGATTAATAAAAAAATGGGACTATGCTCTTGCTCTCTCTTTAATTGTTAATATGTTGATAGTTTTGATATAGTGTGTAAGTACATATTTGTATGCAAAATTCTGCTTCTGTATTGCAGCCAAGTGAAGGTGGTTTGGACAGCTTCCGGTACAAGGAAGAGACCTTCCACGTAGGAGACTTTGTCTATATAGAGCCTCGGTGGGTACACAGACTTTTCAAATAAATATCACTTTTTGTATTATGATTTTTCTACCAGTCTATTTGCTCGATTATGTTTAGATAGTTATTACCAGAATGATGACGTTCATCTGACCTTCATAAATTCATTGAATCATAAAAGCTAGTTCAGATGAATAACTGTGTTAAAATGCTGTAAGCTTTCCGGTGTAGAGATTCTTTGATAGGAGTTGAAGGAATAATGACATGCATTCCCTTAAAAGTTTGTATTAATGTATTCAAAACATCAGCATATTATTGACATATATATCAATGAGTGGAAATAATATCAGAGGGTTGGTGAAAAGCTAGTTTTAACAACATTTTCCTTTGAACTTATTTTCCTGTATCATTAGCAATGATTGTATTTTCATGACAGGGAGAAGGGCCAGGAACCTCACATCATGTGTATAGAGAAATTGTTTGTGGACCAGACTGATACACAGATGTTACATGGTAACTGGTTCTACAGGCCAAACGAGACCTTTCACCTCGCTACCAGAAAGTTCCTTGAAAAGGTTAGTAAATACAGTGGAGAAATGGTGAAAGCTGACTCATATCTCTTCTTAAATCCCTGCACCAGTTCATGGGCTGTGTGTATTTTTTGTTTAAATGATAAAAAATCAAATCAGTATCTAACCTAGGTTAAGTTAGGGTTAAATACAGGCTTCCTTTTGAGATTATTAGTTCAGTCTGTAGATGATTTCTTTAACTTAAGAATAAGGTAAAAAAAAAAGCTTCTAATTTCAAAGGCTATAAATCAGTTTTTTCAACAATTTCATGGCTGTAAATATCAATATTGTTTATCCAATGGAAAACACAACTATAACTCTAGTGTTGATTGCTTCCCACAGGAAGTGTTGAAAAGTGACTCCTACACCAGTATACCCATCACACAAGTCCTGGGCAAATGTTACATCATGTTTGTCAAGGATTACTTCAAATACAGACCAGAGGTAGGTTCTATAATCTTGTATGAATGTTAATAAAGTATCATTGAGTTTGTCAAATTATGCATAAAATATTTTAAATCAATGTTGTTGAATAGTTTAATTTCCTGGATATTGACATTGATATGCATATTTCCTCTAACAATCAAGAAAAAGTTCTCTTGAATTATATTCAAATTCAATTATCAAAAAAGTGTTTTCTTTTATTCATTTTGAAAATTTACTCTAGAATTTAACAAGAGGTAAATAGGTTATTTATAACTGGGGGAAAATACAGAATTGAAAATTATTCAAATGCAGAATCAGTATTATTGTTTAGTATGAGGTGATAGATATATTATGAAGTAATAGAATGTAGTAGTGTAAGTTTATCATTACTTTCTATAATTCACACAGGGAGTAGCTGACCATGATGTGTACGTCTGTGAGAACAGATATGTTGCCAAACATAAATGCTTCAAGAAGATAAAGGTTTGTGTTTGGCTTTTGATTTGTCTTATGTACGGTAAAAACCTGTGTAATGTGCGCACCAACGTAATGTTTTCACATACTTTTTTGGGCAAAAAATGGTAAAAAAAATACTTCTACTTGCATAATGTACGCACCCAAAATTTCTGTCAAAACTAATCTTTGGGAGCCAAGACAGCAATCTTGGAATGTTCAGTATACAGGTCAGACCAACGATATAGAATCAAAAACTTGAAAGTATTCCCTTCAAAATTTGTTTTCATCTCATTTACTGACTTTTAATAACCTGTTTAATTACAGCCAAATGTTTGTGCCTCTTCTTGTTTTTTTTTTATATATATACATTAGACATGTCTCGTTTTCATTCACTTACCTATCCAATTATCCCTTATTTATCTTACGTATACAAGCACTTGTCTTTACACTAGCCCTAATCAACAGTGTTTAGTGTTATAGCTGGCTGTCCTTTGGACATTATTTTCTAAAAAAAAAAAGCTATGCACATTACATGGGTTTTTGCAGAATTTTTATTTCTTGTAATATTTCAGTTTTTTATTTGAAATGGAAAGAAAAAGTATGTAACTCTAATTCTGTTTTTCTAAAGCCTATAAACTGCAAGTAGTATTAATTGTTTATATAGTAAGGTTCACTTTTCCTCAGTTGTTTTGAGATAAGACTTCCGAATGTATTTAAATGAATCTTTAATGATGAGATATGTCACTGTTATACTACCCATTACAGATCTGGCAGTCGACCAAGAGTGACAATGTGAGCATTGTCCCACGTGACATCCCACTGGTGCCAGTGCGTGTGGCTTCAGTGTTTGCTGACAAGGAGAAGGACATCATTGACGATGGTGACAACAGCATTTTAGACAAAAAGAGGCTGGTAAGTATAATCAGGTATTTGATAAAACCATGCAGTATGTTATGAAATAAAATAACACAGAAAGTGAAATTTCAAAATTAGCAGATTTTCTGGGTGAAAATGTAATTGGGATGTAACTAGCTTATGAAAATTAGATATTTGGTGGGTTTTGCTACTAATTAAGCTGTTGAAATTTCTCTGTATTAAAACTGAAGATTTTGTTGATTTGATCATAAATTGGTGTGTGATTCTCCGTATCAAAACAAAGACATTCTGTTATGCCAGTAATCCAATTATGGTGTGGTTCTCTGGATTAAAATAAAACATTTGGTTATGCCTATGATTAAATTGATTTGCATTTATCTACTTACAGGATGTACAGATAGAGATACCAAATGGAGAAGAAGGATGTGTGTACTATGATCAACTCAATACTGCAGCTGGCACTCTAAAATTAGGTACATATGTAGACAGTAATCTTCACATTATGATTTCCTAATACTCTTATCTAGTGTCTAACTTTGTAGATAACCAATATTTTATTCAGACGTAATTTTGTGCTTTTTCAGACTTAATATTCTCTTGATGTTTATTTGTGACCTTATGTTCTGTCACGGTATGAATATCATAAAAGGTCTATTAATTATAGAATGTATCCTTTATATTGGATTGATGCTTAACACAACTTTACAAAAAGAGATATCAGGGGGAAAAAATCAATATGCTAAAAATGATTTTGTGATTTCTTGCTACCAATGTATGGTAAAGAGAAATTTAAAAAGAGTTGGTGAAAGGAATAGTAACACCATCTGATAGAAGATTTTCATATTCCTTCAAGGGGACGGAGTGTATATCAAGTCTGACAGAGAAAAACAGCTGCTGTGTAGGATTGACAAGATCTGGGTCAACAGGAAGTATGTATTTGAAACGGGGGGAAAAAATAGTAACAGTGTTGATATTTGATGGGAATGTCAACTGTTTGATGTGATTATATTGTGATATTACACAAAATGAAATAGCTCTAAAAGGAAAAACAATAATGGAAAATTCCACTTTTATGAAGAAAACTTAGATTTGTGTGACACGATGTTGATATACCAGTAGAGGTATGACTTATTGCTTGAGTTGCATACCGTGTGATATCACTCAATTGTCACCTTCAGAATAATTTTGTATAACATTTTAAATGAAACTTTTATAATGCAGAGTGGTTATTAAGGTCTGGAAATGTTGCAAGTGGTCTTAAAAACAAATCCACTACTTACTGTATTCAAACTATATAGTTTCAAGTTTGCATTTTGTGTAGTTAAAACTTTCTTCACTTATTTGACAAGAGTAATGGTAAATGGTAATTTGAACATGTTTGTTTACAGTGGCGAGACCTACTTGAATGGTCCATGGTATATTTATCCATCAGACATTGAACACTCACCTACCCGCCTGTTTTACAAGAATGAGGTGTTTGCCTGTGGTATTGAGGACACCATCAGTATAGATAGAGTTGCTGGCAAATGTTGTATACTCCATATCAAAGATTACCTTACTAGTAAGTTAACTTAAAACGAAAAAGTTTAAAATGTTATTAGATATTGGTAAAAATTCACATTTAGCTTGGAAAAAGTTTTATGAAGATAGTTAAAACAAAGACTTGTTGAGTTTACCCAGATTCTTTTAATTATCATTATTTCTTCTTCTCCAGTTGCTTTCTGCTGTAAAGATTTCTGACACTTTTCTCAAAAACTCATTGGCTCTTCACCAAACTTCAAGGGACCAATACTGAGAGCCTTTAGATGTGCAAACAATTTCCGTTTTCTGATTTGGCAAGATGGCCACCATTTTCTTGCTCCTGATTGGCTAATACTTTTTCAGCTATAACTTTGGTTCACAGCATCAAGATGAGAATTTGTGGGGATTGTAACTATGGGGCACTCTCTAAGATAGTGTAAAAAGAAATGACCGTGTCTCCAAAATCACTGCAAAATGGAGGCTTCTGATGGTTGGAAATTTAGACATTGTCCAATTTTGAAAATATTTGGTATGCTGATGTAGTATGACATCTGAAACACAATGGTGACATCAGTTTTCAGACTGGACGAAATGACCCACCAGGGGGTTAGTCAAAAGATTCATTTTGTTAGGGGTTATTGTTAACTTTATTGTTTTTAATTTTTAAAGATGTATATGTATGCCAGCCTGTTTTGTAGGCCTTCCTTCCCTATGTTAAAGTATTTTAATAAGCATGATTCACAGCTGAAGGGGTAGTGATTCACAGCTGAAGGGGTAGTTATGTACTTATATAACAGGTCCTTTTACAGGTCATACATACTTGTTATTATATGTGGTTTGTCAATTGTAGATCGTGTCACAGAAACACCTGAAGAAGATGTTTATCTATGTGAATCAAAATACTTTGAGTTGGAAAAGATGGTGAAGAAACTAGGAAAGGGTCTGAAGGTATGGAATTATATACAACTATTGTATGAAGTGATATCAGAGTGATAGTTTCAATACAAAATCTTTCATTTTATTGAGCTGTTTAATGTTTCATGGGTATGATTTTTTATTATTGATAAATCACAGAATATAAACTGACTAGGTTTATGCATCAAAAAGTCTATGTCTGGTATGAGCCCATCAATATGTAATACTCTGCAGTGAAATTGAAATACTATGCAAATCATTTTCCTATAATAAGCCTACCCCTAAATGTATTAAAGAAATAATGTATTGGTCTCCTGGACTTATTGCAAGATAAATACGGGTATCTTTTGTAAAATGACTCTTCAGATATTGAAACCAGCCCCCTGCTTTAAAACCCTTTATTTATTTGGGAAAAAAACTAAACAAAAAAACCAAGAATTTTGAAAATAATCAGTCTTTATTTGCATTTCAGAAATATGTTTTATCTCCAAAAGTTACTGATGATGAGTTGTACTTCTTCAGGAAGCCTATTACTCCTCAAAAGGTGGGTGTCACACATCTTCTAAACAAGGCTGATAGCATAGACAGAAGTTTGTGAGAGTAGACATATACTAGAGCATGTTTGTAATTAATAGAGTCAAAGTAGTTAGTGTCATTGAATTAACATCAATCAAAATTGTCTAATCTGTTCCTGTAAGTCTTTTAAATGATCCGGCTAGATATTTTAAGTATTTTCAATTAGCAACATATATTCAGAGTTGCACGTTCTTGTGTAAATTTGTATGAAAATTATAAACATGAAAAGAAGCAATGTATTCAATGTATTGAAACATTTGTTAATATTTTCAACAACATTAACATGATAGATAATAAATAAATACATACTGCTTCAGTATTAACATAACAGAACTTACATCAGCAATTCAAAACTTAAAATATCTACAAAATACATGGTTTCTGCTTTGGATAAACACATGTTCTCATTTTTGGAAAAAAAACCAAAAATGTCCCATGACTAGCTGATTAATTTTCCTAGACTGTTGATTGACTGTAAGCTACTTTGTGATTCCTTTTTTATTTGGATCAGAGTAATCACAAGTATCAATTGTCTGTAACTATAAAATCCTACCATCAGCAAGGTATATTGTAGACTCTGTTCTGTTTTGCAAGTGGAACACTTTGGTTTTGGAAATATCAATATCAATCCTTAAAATTTTATTCAGTGTTCCTTAGAAAAAAAATTATAAAGAAACATACAAACATATGGGCGATTTACAGAAAACAGATTTTAGACATTTCTTTTTGTGGTGTATATCCATTATATCAATATGTTTCATTTCTTCTAGTTCTTTGATTGATGTCTCGAAATATATATGTTATGTGTAATCTAAAAAATGATTAAAATGTTGTTTGATAAAATATGCACAATTTTCTGAATTAATCCTTCCTTGTAGGAATCTGTGTCTGTTTCCACTTTAGTGATGGGGTCAAAGGTCAGGTGATTTATCTCCCATTTTACTATCAACCAGGAATCTGATTGATGGAAATGATATTGTAGCGTTGTAAAGTTGTATGGAGTGGTGTTTGTGTTTTGACCTGGTACCACAATGAATTGTAATTGATGTAGTGTATTGAGTCTCAGTGGGTGTTGATAAGTAGAATATTAATATGGAGGCTGAATTGGAATTGACATTTTATGTAGAACACCAATTTTGTCTTAAGAATAAATCTGTTTCTCTGTAAGACTAGTATAAATAAGCATGTTGTCAGTTACAAAAAAAAATCTTTCCTTTTGTACACTTAAGCAAATATGTAAATATCTGCTGATGAAACTAATATTTTATCACAAACATGGGGTCAAATTTAAACTTCATTGGTCCAAAGTTGGTGCAGTTTTGAAATGTTATGGGTTCTTTGTGTTAGAATAACCATTATGCAATTTAATTAATTTAATAATATTAGCCAATACATACATTTAACTGGTACATGGTTGACAAGTGGTGATGTATGTAGAGAATAATAACAATTCTGGTCAGCATTGCATAAGGCTTTTTTTTTATCTCATTTTGGGGGGAAATGTCATGAATTATTCAGAACTAAACTGCCAGTTTTTGTCATTGGCTTTAATTATATCAAATCATTTTGGTTGGGAATGGGGCCAAGTATCGGTTCCAAAAAATGCTCTGAACAAAAAATTGGATATAGAGAAAATAATTGGTAAATTCCATATGTTCTGACCTGTGATAGATCTGTACTGTCAATTCAACTGTTTTACAGGTCGTGTCACCTCTACAAAACAACAACAACAACAACGTTCATTACGTTCTACCTCATCATCATCTCCACCCCACCCCACGACAACACCTCCATCATCAGGTTATCATCAACTTCACAGCACTAACCCTGCTATCTGTAGGCTGTCATCGCCCTGTCAGACAATCTAATCCTCCAGCTAACATGCTAAACCATGGCTCCATCTATTGCGCTCACTGACATCTAACACAGCGTCCCATTATATTGTTTAATGCAAAATCCTGCTGTTATTTCCGAAATTCTGCTGTCTGGTCCTAAATCTAGCTGTATCGTCCATCTGAATGATTTATGTTTCATTTCCTTTTATCAGAATGATACAATATCTGCCACATATTGGACATTTTAGAAGAAGTGCTCACTATCTTGTCCTTGTTCAATGCTTCCCATATCTATATTTGGTAATAAGCAGTACTTTCTTTGTCCCTTTAACAAGGCATTCTTATATTGTCATATCATAATCTTGTCCATTTTTCCTCTGATTCAGAAACCATCTCATTTTTTGCAATCCCCACCTCTAATGTCTAACTTCCATTATATGATTTTCAGTCATTTTCGATGGCATTTCATATACCAGGGTATTGTCCATCAAATACAATGCCCCCATCTGTTAGCCATCCAATACCCTACCTCCATACTTTGTTGTCTGTCATACATACAAGCTTTCCCATACTGTCCCTGTATTGGCCCTATATGTCTTAACACAGTGACTGCCTGGATTATACGCTTATGGCTTCATAATATGTTGCCTTCTGAAGATTATGTTTTTTGCGGCTACAATTGAACATTGTTATGATTAAATGTTAAATAGTTTATAAATACTTTAGGAGAAAAATGAGAATACTTTAGGAGAAAAATGAGCTGTTATGATATTTGAATTGGCTGTAAATGTTGTTACTTTTGAGGGTTTCTTTTTTTCAAGGATGAAATAAGGTCATGGTAAATACATGGTATCTTGAAAAATCATAGATAGTTGAAACCAGAGGCAATTGTTGGCTATTTCCAGACTTTTGCTGAAAATGCATCCATTTTGCTTCAAGCTTTTTGTAAACATGGGAAAATTTGAGCCATCAAAAACAACTTTTACAGTATGTGAAAGAATAATCCAATCTTAATCCCTTGTACTTTTTTTTTAAAGTTTTTGCCCGTTTATATTATGCATGTTGGAATCTATGTTTGCAGTTTGTGTGTTATTGTAATACAATGCTAAGGTAAAACATAACTCTGATAATGTTTTTACAGAACAAAGTCATTGCATGTAATTTTTGTGTCAACACAGATATTTCGTAAAAACTATTCAACAATTCAGTCACAACATATAAATTTTATTTAACTTCTGATATAGCTGATATAGGTAGTTTATTTGGTTCTAATGCAGAGATCAATCTAGTATCAGTTACCATATTTGTTTTTGAATGTCGGTAGTAGCTTATGATGCAGCAGTTTGTCTGTCTGTCTGTCTTTACAGTGTAATGACAATGTCATTTTGATGACTGTATGTACCGAAGCAAACATTTAGATTTGTGTGGAATCATTTGAATGTTAATTGGAATGATTACTGTTAAAACCATACACAAGATATTAGGTCTGACTGAGTCCGTTGAAATCTCTGATTGCTTGCTTCTTTACAGGCATTCTCAGTTAACCTTTGATCATCTGCTAACTGCTTGCGTTTTATGACTGGCCAACACGAATCATTTATAAATCCTCCATTTATAGCATATTGAGAGTCTCAGCCTGATCTGCAAGCTCCCTACATTTGTTGCTTTGCTTCCTGCTGCTTAAGCATAACCAGTTGGTATTGGCAATTTTTTCAGGAGCCATCGCCCTTGCTGTTGAAGGTTGTGGATGTGCCCTACTTAGATGGGGATGACTCCCAGGATGGGGACACGGAAACTGCTGATGACACGCTCAACGTATCCATGGAGGCAACTCCTGTTCCAGAGAAGCCTCCAAAAAAGGTCAGTCAGGCTTCAGGGTTAGAGGTCATGGTGACAGTTTTATTAATGGCTGTATAGCAGTTATAACAGTACTGGTAGTTACATTGTGTCACATTCTTGCATAGTATCATACACTGATGTAATATGGAGGTAGACATAGTGCTTCAAGAGAAAATATCAATATCAGCGTAGCATGCCTTGTGTTCTGTCTGTTTGATGGCTCAATTCAACCAAAATGATGAGTTTTTTAAATGCTCGATGCTCTCATGTCTACCTCCATTGAAAGATTTGTGTATTGTATGTGTTACACTTCGATCGCTGTTTGATTGAAGGATATGGAAGTCATATCTGTCATCATACAGGACTGTGGTCAACACACCTTTGTAACACTGGTCAGTACACATGTACCTACACAATATACCAAAGGACATCAGCTATACACATGATCATAAAAAAGAAATTGATGGTTTTATAATTTATAGTTATTATGAACTCATATCTCATCACTACTGTCTTGTCTCTGGCTTCTGAAATTCTTATATACAATGATGATTGTACCTTAACTGATATAGCATGCTACTGTTACATTATACATTAACCAATGTTTTAAAGAATATCGAGAGTGAATATGTACAGAATTCAGCATGTTAATCTTAGTGTGGTAGTATAAATAAAGTCCTTTGGTATGTTCTGGGTTTGGGATCAGGGTTTTTGTATACTTTATGTTAGATGTAGAATTATCATCAACTGTACACCAGTAGTCTGTATCATTTAGATTTATAGTATTCATAACTTATTCTTGTAAATTGTGACATTGAAACTATGATAAAGTTAGTCCTCAAACTACATAGGTGTATATAGATTTGTTTTGTCATGAAGAGTTTTTCCTGTAACTTACTTAAGTTTTTCTGTGTTTAAGTTATTGCAAAACACAATCTTCAAAGTTATTTCAACATACAAAAATTATCTTAGGAACTGATTCCTCTAATCTATGGATGTCTATCTCTTTTTTTTTTAGTTTGAAGATTCTCATTCATTATTGTCTATAATTGAAGAAATGTTTTACATATTGAAAACAACCAGTGACAGCTTTACCTAATGCTGATAGCCTTTGTCATTTATGTATGACTGTATAACAATAGAAGTAAGCAGGTCATTAACAACAAACAAGTTATATATATTCATCTAATTATACCAGATAATGTATACTTCAAATGTTTACTAGTTTCATTGCATAAATTTCATTTTATTGAAGATAAATAAGGTTTAGAAGTCATGGTTATTTATCTTGACAAACACTGTTTCCATAGCAACAGTAACCACCTCCATCTTACACTTTTTAGTTCACACTGGTAACTGTCTGCTTTTTAGATGTTGTACAATAATTGTAGTACATATGTGTACTTGTTTTTTGCACTTTTATTTTAGACTGAGGATGACCATGGTAAAGAAAAATGCCCCCCGAAAAAGGTAGATGTTGTTTAGTTAGGCATGGTTGTAAAAATGAAATTCAAAAAATTTTCAAGGAGTTATGCCCCCTTGAGGATTTTTCATCAGTATTTGATGTACACAATTTATTTCCAGGAGGATTTGGCATCTTGTTGCTATGGTAATGGCTGTTGCAAGAAAAATTATCATCAACTTATTTCATTTTCTTGTACACTTACGTCAGAAATATTTTACTGGATTGTTTGTAAATATTGATGCCATATTAAATGCAAATGTGCTAGAGATTCCAGTGATGAGTTAGATAAGCAGACAGCCGCCATTGTGGCACTGCCATGTCCCTATGTTGTTGTTCATTCCTCGTGTAGTGTACCCTTTTTTGTACTTTATTTTAGAATGAGGATGAGCATCCAAAAGAAAAAGTTGTCCTGAAAAAGGTAGATTTGTGTAAATAAGTGTAGAAACTGTAGGTGCAGCAATTAACATCACTATAGGTCTCCCTATAAACTTGTGTGCTCTATATATATGTGTGCCCCCACTGAGAAAATGTTCAAGCTAATCACCACTGTCTCTTGTTGCTGGCGGGGTTACTCTGCTTCTCATCAATAGGAACTACTACAGGGTGCAGATGTTCGTTAAGGCTTGTGCATGGCTAACAACGAGTTGTCAGAGTAGAGGTTTTATTATAACATAGCCGTTATCAATAGCTTTCTGCAGAAAATTCAGTCAATTTGAATCTTCTTCCTGATAAATACATGTAAATGATTGAAAGGATATTCTGTTTAAAACGTTATGATATGATAACAGTTTTTACTGCCATGTCTCTGTTTGTCTGACTTTTATAATAGACATACATGTTAGACTTCAGTGGGGCCCATCTGAAACTTACATCCTGCATCCTTCTGTTTTGTGTCAATTAGGCATACATGATGCTTTATAGTAGCTATCTAGGTGATATTGATATAAAATGTGCATTCAAATCAACTAGTATACCATGTTTATATATTGACAAGTTATGATTCAAGACAAGGACCAAACTTTTTGAACTTTCAGAATAAACTTACAGGGGTTTGTTTTCTTATAGTTATTTTATGTATATTGAATTAATGTGACTTGCATGTGAATTCTTATAATAGTATAACATACAGTTTTCTGCACCAGTTGTGTTATTTTATGTTCATTCACAAGAAAATTTATGCTGACGCAGTTCTTGTCTTCAACACTAATAAGCTGTCTTATTCTGCAGAAGGTAACTCTAGAAACCATTAACATGGTCATATTCTTGAAACTAATTATCTTTTCATACAACTCCTGCATTTTCTCATCAACAGAAATATTGTTAAGTAATTTTCCTTGTATCATGATTATCAGAAATATTCTTTGTACATATTACTTTCAAAAATATTCTGTATACCAACGCTTAAAAGGAGTTTTCAATGATATGTTAGATATTTTGTCGTTTATTATCATTTTGAGTCTTCAAGCCTGTAAGATTTTGCTTTAGATATTTATCAAAGGCTCTACACAATTTTAACTGCTCAATAATCTCCTCGTCTTGTTTGACTTTTCTTACTAAGTAACTGCTAATTATAACTTGTGTTTCCTGCAACTCTTCTGTTCTCATTTAATCAGTTCCTGGTGTATGGAAATGTATTTGAAAATCTTCAAGTATGAAATTATGCTGCAAATTTAATTGTTTTACTATTTTAGGATTTAATGAAAGTTTTCTGTTGAAATAAGAACAAATACAAAATTCAAGTTTGTATTTTTTTTCAACCAGAAATCCTATTGAGGGCAGTAACAGGGAAATTGTCAGATCTTTTAACTTTACAAAAATTGTACTTATTCTGGGTGTATTACTTTAATTTCTTAAAAATTGATCTGAGTTCTTACATATTTAATGATACATAATAGTAAAATGTTGAAAAATTTATTCCAAACATTGAAAGAACTAACACACATATATACTTGTATAATAGCAAACATACTGTTATTGTTTCATTGTTATGAATTATGTGAATCATTTGTGTGGTTCTTTTTTGCAGAATATTAATGTCTGTTGTATTTTCTTTGTTGATAAATTCATGTTTTCTTGCATATTTAGTCCTGATATACATATATATATATATGATATGTATTTTCTTAAAGTCTGCATCACTGTCAAATGTGTCATGTTCCAGCGGTGTGAACACTGGGTTGATGTTGATGATGAACTTTAACATTTTAGGCTAAGAGCAACATGAAGAGACAAATTAGTGGCTACATAGTATACTCTGGGGAGATCCGCAAACACATTCAACAGGAAAATCCTGACTGTACATTTGGGGAGATAAGTCGTATAGTGGGACTCAAGGTAACAATGTTGGTGTGACCTCCGCCTCGATGTTGTGGTCTCCAGAGTAGAATATTTGCATGTGCATTGCATGACTTTCATATTGTTGCATGCTTTTTGGTAATTTGTAGGAGAAGCCCCGTCGCCACCCAAGTGGTTACATATTGTTTTCCAAAGAAATGCGAAAAGTGATCACGCAAGAGGCCCCGTCTACATCTTTTGGAGAAATTAGTCGTTTAGTCGGAGAGAAGGTAATTGAGTCGGAAATATACTGAACAGATTATACCATACATTATTTAGATCTTTTGACTTCAAAATTTCTTCCTCAGTAATTAAGATATTGTAAAAACTGTGCAAAGAAACTTATATTATATCCAAGATATTTAAACGCTAAGTGTCATCAGACCTTTCTAAAGTAGGTATTTACTAAAGAAGTCAGTTTTTATTTAAAATTGGACACTTTTTTCCTAGAAGAAAATTGTCCACATCATTAGATTTTATAGTTTACCCATTTAAAATTAAAAAAAAAAAAAAAAAAAAAGTAGATCCTAACAATTTAGTAAATTGAAGATATGAAATTTTCATGTTAAATAGTGCGTGTAGAGTTCCAAATCAGTTAATGTTTCACAGGATTAAGTATAAGGTAACAACATTGTTAATGATTCTGGTATCTTGTCATACCCAGACAATTACAGGATCATTCACATTCTGTATGTGTAAACAATGTGGCATTTTATACTTCAGCAATTTTTTATTTGATTTTTAGGGTACATATATATGAATTATTTAGAATATTGAATGAATTTCAGTAGAGTGGTGGAAACTGTTAGATAGTGTTCAGATTAATGATGTTGGACAATACTTGAATGCTCTGCTATTTTTTCTCGCTGTCTCACATCCTAAGAATGCCCTCTTTATATTTTCTGTCATCAGTCACGCTACAAAACAAGCTTTCGTTTACCTGGTGTTGTGAGTGTATAATCGTTCTTTTGAATTTCAGAATTAAATAAATTCATTTCTTTCAAAGAGTTTTTGATTTTAGTCCTACATTTGAACTGTTGATTTGCTTGATGATGGTTTTATTCTGGGAGGTTCCTTTCCATTTTTTTTTTTTTTTTTTTGTGAATGCTTTATATGTATATATAAATAGATTGTTTGATCACTTCACCTAAATGTTGTATGTTGTGGATGTTGTACCTCACCAAGTATATGTTGTAGCTGACAGAATGAATGTTGTAAAATATTGTAATGTGGCGTCAAACGTTTTATGTTGTTGAATGATTTTGGATCATTTATGCATGAAGAGAATTACTTGATGAAATAAGAAAACAGAATGAAGATCCTTATTGATTGATTATGGTACTGGATTGTTCAACATATATTGAATATTGATGGAGAACATGCATGCAAGATGAATATCTGTTGTCTTTTACTAATGTAAGGGTTAGAGGTTGTTTGCCTACTTTATTGTAACAAATGCATCTTCTGGTAAGATATATACTGTCGGTAGGTATACTGTACTTCGTGTTTGATCACCAATTTACACTTAGTAATAATTTAACAAAGGCTACTTTCACCATAAATACAACACTGTGCATAATGACTTTCAAAAAATAAAATATGAAGAAATCACTATGAAACTAGCAAGACATTCAGAAGAATGAACTTTGTTAAGGTTATATTACTAGACTGATCAGCTACCTCTGTTTCCCTGAATACAAGATCACATTATACATGTAAAATGAAAGTAGAAGAATTTTGTACATGTAATATTTAATTGTTACACACTTTCTGATCAGATTTTTGAATATCTGATAAACAAATTAGAAATAAGTACAAACATGTCTTTATTCAAGTTGTTTTTCCTGAAGAGTAATATTTTATAGAAATCATTCTAGTGACTGGATTATGAAGGGGATTTTATAACAGTGATGGTGGTAGAATACTTACACTTGCATGGATAAATCATGGGGGGATGCCATATTAGGATTAAGGGTTTATCAGTATCAGAGCTTGCCGGTGATTGAAAGCAATGGTACCAGCGCTATATATGGTGAACGGTCATGCTCTGTTGGCCGTAACATATTTACTACTGGTAGTATAGTGGCTTATCTAGATACCTCTATCTGCATGCCAGTTAAATTGCATGTATTTATGCATTTCGGATAACTTTATATAATGTTTTGTTGTCAAAATTTTTGAATCTTTTGACTTCATGCAGTTGATATATTTCTGCAACTTTTTTTCTTTTGAAAAATGACAGTCTTAAGATTACATGAATAAATTCCCTTTTCAAATAGTGAAGCATGTTGACGTTTTGTGTTCTATTTTTATCTGTCAGCATGAACAATATTTGATGGCTCACATCATCAGTCTGGCATTAGTATTCAAGAAAGATGATTAGAATGGATAACAAAACAAGTTCATAATGTATCAACTTGATATTTGCAGACCATCATGATAAAATGTCTGGTAAATCTTTTTATTTGATAGGTGATGTTTGAATAGGTTTTGGCATGTTTGGAAAGAAAGTCAGAATTGTTTTTTCTTATTATTATTTATTTTTCTAAACTTAATACAGTTTATATTAGTCTTTCATTATACATGAAGTTGTTTTGATATTTAGTAAATGATGTCGAATTTTGATGTTGTTTGGTATTCCTTTAGTGGAGGAATTTATCAAAAGAGGAAAAAGAAAAATATGAGGAAAAAGCAAAGAAAGTAGCAGAAGAGCAACAAGCAAAACAGCAAGAAGCAGAACGAGCCTTCAATGAATCTCTAAATCGCTCTCAGAGTCCCTGGGATGGGGGACGGGCTTCACCAGGATCTTCAAGTCGACCTATCACTCCAGGAGGTAAGTAGCATGTCCCTGGAACAAGGGATGATCTTCAGACTCGTCAATGTATCACCCAGAAGGTAGGTCACAGCTCTTTGTGTTTAATGCAGATGTCTCTCAGGTGCAGAATACATTTTAGTTGATAGATCACTAAGATAACTTCCCTTGTATAACTTCTGCGGTGTTGGACTGTCAAGATTGCCCGGAGTCTTTTCATCATCTATCTGTAACAAGGTACCAAAGTTGATGTACTTTGTTTCTATAGTACCAGAGCTGCTGCAGCATTAGCCTCTTTCTGTACAGGACTAGTTAATGTTGAGTCCCTTCACCATAGTTAAAAGAACTGTGGATTATCACTGTACCAGGTAGATTCAACCATGTAACCTGGTGTCAAAGTGTGGAGCACAGAATTGTTGGGTCACCAAGGGAGCACTTCTGACCTGATATATAGCTACCTAGCTGGTGGTGGTATGCTTCAGTTCAAATTATATTTTTCTTTGCATAACTTATTTATACTTAAGTAGCTGGTGATGGTAACATATACAGAGTAGCTTCCCCTTATCCTATGATTTTTTTTTTTTTTTGTCATTTTTTTTTTTCTTTTTGTTACATGTACAATGTACTTTGTATTTTGTTGTTAGTTTGCACTCTGCTTTTAGATTTAATTATTGTAGCAGAGCTTTTCACTTTACATTCTTTAAAATCAATATTTCATTTGTCTTATGTTACATTATTTTAGCCCAGTGATAACCTTCTTTCACTCTGATGCTCTCATGGCTGAATGTTAAATTTTGCTGTACTATGTGCTTGAAATTAATTCATCTTTAATTTATTGCTTTGGTAAATCTCCCAAATAGTTTGTTTTGTTGTGAAGAATAAGTACCTACCAATAGGTTATTTAGATCTCCAACATAAAATAATGGACTCAAAGAATAAATTTCATTAATTACAAGAAAATTAATAATCGTACAACTTGTAAAATGTAAATGATATAAGAGATTTTAACGGGAAAAAAAGGGAGAAACGGCAAAAAATATTCAAAATTTAGTAAATACCACCCTCCATTGGGATAATCATTCGGAACTATCAAAATTGTCCTTAAATGAAAGAAATGTGTTGTGCCTTTTTTTTTTAGTTTGGCTCACTGTATCTCTACCACTGCTTGATTGATTTTAAAGCTTTGTGTGTTTTTCTGTTGTAGTATGTTGGACAGCTATTTTGAATGTAATGGTTTTGTTTACAGGCTACCAAGGTCAATACAATTATCAGAGCTATGGTACACCACAAGGTGCTCAGTCACAACAATACACACCCATGCAAGGTAAGCTAGGTGTTCCTCACCACACCTGCATACTAGGCAGTGGTCACTTACGAACACCAGGGCGCCAGTCACAGATATGTGTCTCACAGACACTGTTGGATGAGGCCTTACATTGGTTACAGGGTTTTAAAAAGAGAACAATTCACATTTATCTCAGTCTTAAATACATTACTTACACCAGTTTTCTCAATGAGGCATGAAAAGTGGAAAGTTCCAAAAATTTTTGTTGGTTGTGGACCCACATAATCAGTGAGAACAGGATTACTCATGAGCCACATTAGAACTTGCTGAAAAAACACCACAGTTTTTAAATTCCTTGTTATTGTCATAAATGTGGTCTTCCTAGAAGTGATTCATCTACAGTACTGATAGGAATTGTGGTTCTTAATTGACAGACCATGAATGAGTTTTGCAGTTGAAGTTTCCTTTCACTTTTTGAGATGATTACAGTTAACAGGAACTTCCAGCTTTGGTCTTTACTTAATATAATTTAGGAGCAACAAGTTATGACGAGATAAATCATGTGTAAGGAAAAAATTTAGAACTACATAATTTCACATGTATCAAATGAATGAAAAAGATGTATACATATTATGGCATTATTATGTAATTACACCAGTGATGAAAACACAGATTTAGTATATTAAAAATCATAGAAAATATTGTAGTATTTATCCTGCTATAGGTAAAGGGGACCAATGGCATAACCTCTGGGCTCAAGTCAGGGGGTAGGCTTATTACAGGATAACACTTGTTGGTGGTTTTACTTCACAAACATGGGTGTGCATATTATCAGGTATAATCTTAATGCTGGACAAATGAAGCAATAGTGCAATAAATCTTACAACTCAGAAAAATAGATTAACATAAATAGCTTATTTAGCACAAGTTTAACAGCTGTATATAGGTGGTGGTGGGAGCCAGTCAGATGCATGTCTTTAGTGTTTAAATGTGTTTGCTCACAGAAAACTCCATTATTCTTCAAAAAAATTTCAGCATTTTTGAAGAAGTAACATTTCTAAAAGCTTATGAGAAACAATTTTAAGAAACACAACAAAGTTGAACTAAGTAAAAGTTATCATGTAAAAAGCTTATCAGGTCCAAGTCCTACAGCTGATTACAGTGATCAGTAGATTAAAAATGGTGATTTTTTGCATGTGCATGTAAGCTTTCTAGAGTAGTCTGGATGGTTGTATACTAGTGCCACACTGCCACTTTTGACATCATCACATGTCTGCATATTTAGTTTCAGCCCTTTACGGTCACTTGTGAATCATCACAATACAGTATGATTCCATTGTATATCCACTGGTCCTGCCCGACTTCCTGCATTATTTAATGCACAATAGATATTGGAAAGGAAGGGAGGGAAAAGCACTGATTCCCCAATTTTGTTCTCTCCTGTCATACATCTGCCATTCTAATCACCTCAGCACCACTGGATTGCATGGATAATTTGAAAGAGCTACATTTATACAGTCTTCATTCTACCCAATTTTCATTCCTGCATGAGCTGTTTCCATTGAAAGGATTTGGTCAGTTTTGGCCACCCAAAAATCCATCACAATTGAAAACCTTACTTTCTTGATGTGAAAAAGCATTTTCCATTTATGACTGCCATGGAGAACAACTTTGAAAAAAAAAATGTTTTATAAAGTGCATGTTTGAACAAACTTAGATTTTTTATTATTGTGAATAATATCTGCAAGGGAAATTTTAAGTCTCTTTAGCATAAATTTAATGATCTGGAATTCAAATTTTGCAGTTGTTTGGAAAATTCCAGTTGGTTACCATATAAACCATAACTAAAAACTTTAATTACAATATCAGGAAAGTATCTAAACTTTGTTAAATAGCATTTTCAAAATTCAATTAAAGGTTCTGAATTCTGATGGAATTGGGAGGCAGAACATAACTGAAATCATACCAAGTCCTCAATATCTGATAATGTGGTTTTTGTTGTTGTCTGGTTATAAGCTTATTAGATAATATTATAAAAATTAAGCAGGTAATTGACAAATTGTTTTATGTATTTTTTTTTATTTATCAGTTCTATAAACAAACCTTATCACCAGACAAAGTCATTGGTTTATTTTACTATTTGATTGTGAATGAATTATACATCGTCTTAAATATTATTTTTATACTTGAATGATTTACTTTATTGTTTATCTTGTGATTGTTTGCTTGATATATTTTCCCTTTAAACTTGTGTAAACAAACAAAGTTGGACTTAAACTTGACAGGACCTGATAATAATAGAAAATAAATCATCTCTTTCATGATCTGTATGGAATAAAGTGGCTTCTTAGTTTGTTTACACAGGTTATAAGGTGTTTCAATTTATTTTGTGGTTGGCCGTTTGTTGCTGTAGCTTTTTGGTATGGTTTTCCTTTGATTTTATTTGCGAAGGTTTACACAATGTCCCTACGCCAGGGATGGCACCACGTCCAGGCCAGGGGATGTCGCCCATGACTCCGCAGCGCCAGTACATGCCTTACACACAGCAGTCTCATTCGGGGATGCGCCCTATGTCCATGGGACAGGGACCCTACCCTGGCAGCCCCCAGGGTCAGCCTCATACACCCCACCCAGGCATGGCTAGTCCCCACCCTGCTATGTCCCCAGGTCCCACCCCCGGGACTGTGGCAGTCTATCCAGGAATGCCTCCTAGTCCGCATGCGGGTATGCCACCCCAAAGCATGGGTCAAGGTAGGAGAAGCAGTGTGTCGGAGGTTTCAGTTTTACAAAATGTGTCTCTTTGAATAGTTTTGGATAATATATTATTACCTTCAAACTAAGCAGCAATCCTTGAATAAAGTAAAAATAACAAAATTATTCTCATGCATTTACACAGAGTGAATGACACTTTTCAAAAAGGAAGAAATTTATTGATATATCCAAGAATTGAAACCAAAGAACATGATAACTAGTGCCTGATTAACTGTCTTTCAACTAATTAGACTGCTTACAAATGTATTAACCTTACATTTATACTGCAGTAAATGTCATGTTTCACTTTGATGAGTCCCCACCAATAACCCTACTGTAGGACCATACATAAATATTGTTAGAAATTGTGGGACCAGTTGTCTCCCCATTAACAAACCCTAGCATTAAACTTACCACATCATCATTATGTGTTACTGTTGATTCTAGGAACAGTTATCTCCCCCCTTAACAAGACCCTATCATTAAACGCATCATAATGTATAAATACTATCGATAGGAACAGTTATCTCCCCATTAACAAGACCCTGTCATTAAACACGTCACAATGTGTAAGTGCTATTGATAGGAACAGTTATCTCCCCATTAACAAGACCCTGTCATAAACCCTTTCGGCGCCAAATATCTCTCACAGTGTACAGCTCGGTGCCAAATATCTCTCACAGTGTACAGCTCGGTGCCAAATATCTCTCACAATGTACAGCTCAGTGCCAAATATCTCTCACAATGTACAGCTCAGTGCCAAATATCTCTCACAATGTACAGCTCAGCGCCAAATTTTACAAAAATATATATAATAAAGATATAAAAATTATCGACCAAAGTCGCCTACGGCGGCCTGTCTGCATGTCGACTTTAGTCGCCTGCAGCTCCGAAAATGCTATTGATAGGAACAGTTATCTCCCCATTAACTAGACCCTTTCATTAAACACATCATAATGTGTTGCCAGTAATTTTAGGAACAGTTATCTCCCCATTAACTAGACCCTTTCATTAAACACATCATAATGTGTTGCCAGTAATTTTAGGAACAGTTATCTCCTCATTAACTAGATCCTACTGTTTGACTTACCATATTATGATAATGTGTAAATGTTATTGAGAGGAACAGTTATCTCTCCATTAACTAGATCCTACTGTTTGACTTACCATATCATGATGTCGTGACGACACAATGTTGCTGTAGAATGTAAGTCCAGTTATCTCCCCACTAACAAGTTTGATCCAACCATTAAGCATACAGTAGGACCACACAGTGTTGCTGTGGAACATAAGACCAGTTGTTTCCCCATTAACTAGACCCCATCATTAACTTTACCAATGGACCACATACTGTAAATTGTAGGACACTCCACCATTAACCTTACCAATGGACCACATACTGTAAATTGTAGGACACTCCACCATTAACCTTACCAATGGACCACATACTGTAAATTGTAGGACACTCCACCATTAACCTTATCAATGAACCACATACTGTAAATTGTAGGACACTCCACCATTAACCTTACCAATGGACCACATACTGTAAATTGTAGGACACTCCACCATTAACCTTATCAATGAACCACATACTGTAAATTGTAGGACACTCCACCAGTAACTCCTCACGCTTCACCTTAGCCATGGCACTGTGATTTGTTCTTTATGTCTGCCTTTCTGTCATTCTGATATAAGTCCTATTTAGTGACAGTGCTTGATAAAACTTCACAAATATTTTTTATATTGGACATGCCTTTTACTGATTTAGATATTTGTGTGAGGTTGTGATCACTATTACAAAAGATTGTTGTTTCACCATCACACCCTGTGTCATCGCTAGCAATATGACGAGGGACAGTCATCAAAGATACTTTGACTAGTTTCATTATCACTGCTATACATATGATCAAATAGAAATTCACATATTGGCATTTTTTAATTTATTTTTTTTAGTTAGAATAAGTGTATGAAGCATGCTCAATGATATGGTTTTTGGTTTTTTTTTTTTGTCAAAGCATGTCAGGACTGCTGTAGACCTGAGATGTTGATTCAGTGGTGTAGCATGATGTATGTTATTTCTTTTTTTACTTATTTTAGTTCCTACATGTAGTGTAGTGAATGTATGGGTAGTAGGATATATTACTAGCTTCTTATGATATTTCATAGAACTCAGGAAAGAAAACAATTACCTTAAATAAGGCGATGAGGTATCAGTTGCTAACTTCTGCCTTTTAACTATCTTTCAAATAGGGCTGTAGCTGGGCCACCCATTTCGGGTCAGTTTTGATCTTGACCTGGGTAAAAAATGTTTACCCGAGTCAGTGCTACTTAGTGCTATTGTAAAGTTCACTAGAAAATGTTTTCTTACAAGCGTATGATAATTGTAACTCTACAAAGTCTGAAAACACATCATAGTAGTCATTTTCCTGATCTAGTCAATAATGTCTGGACTACTATATAAGTCTGAACCATGTTGGTTAGCCAAACAAACTTGACAAATCGACCTTTATCACCAATACCATCCTTTCTTGAACTTGTGGTGATTACGTTACTAAAACTTGCAGGTAATCAGGTACTGGTCAGGTTTCAGTGATCAAGTATCCGGGTGAAAGTTGTGTACCTTTGACAGCCCTTCTTTCTAGTCTGGTTGATATTGTGAAAACTTTGAACTTTGGGATATTTCATTGAATGGTTCTCCTGTTTTGGTAACAAAAACATAAAAATGTCAACCTACATGAGGAGGCTCTCTTACATGTTTGTTTGCTGGTTCCATTAGCTGTTGCATTCTATCCAAAGTTATTGGGGTCTAGTGTCTTGTCCATGGACACAATCACAAAAGCTGAGGGCTCCTTGTGATCTCAGCTTCATAAGAAACACAAAAGTACATCAAATACAAACATGGAACTACACATTTCAAATTTTCACCTCAAGTTGCATCAATACTTTACTGACAGAGCCATCATTGACTCCTGTCCATATTTTGAATCTGTCTCTTTTTTCTGTTTTTTACTTGAAAGTGTAAGTTGTCCCTTTTGTGACAGTGTCAGTTGTACCTATTCTGACAGCATCAGTGGTTCCTGTAGTGACAGCATCAGACATCCCTTTTGTGACAATGTCAGTTGTACCTATTCTGACAGCATCAGTTGTTCCTGTAGTGACAGCATCAGACATCTCTATTGTGACAGTGTCAGTTGTACCTATTCTGACAGCATCAGTTGTTCCTGTTGTGACAGCATCAGACATCCCTTTTGTGACAATGTCAGTTGTACCTATTCTGACAGCATCAGTTGTTCCTGTAGTGACAGCATCAGACATCTCTATTGTGACAGTGTCAGTTGTACCTATTCTGACAGCATCAGTTGTTCCTGTTGTGACAGCATCAGACATCTCTATTGTGACAGTGTCAGTTGTACCTATTCTGACAGCATCAGTTGTTCCTGTTGACAGTGACTATTGTGACAGTGTCAGTTGCACCTATTCTGACAGCATCAGTTGTTCCTGTTGTGACAGCATCAGACATCTCTATTGTGAAAGTGTCAGTTGTACCTATTCTGACAGCATCAGTTGTTCCTGTTGTGACAGCATCAGACATCTCTATTGTGACAGTGTCAGTTGTACCTATTCTGACAGCATCAGTTGTTCCTGTTGTGACAGCATCAGACATCTCTTTTGTGACAGTGTCAGTTGTACCTATTCTGACAGCATCAGTGGTTCCTGTAGTGACAGCATCAGACATCTCTATTGTGACAGTGTCAGTTGTACCTATTCTGACAGCATCAGTGGTTCCTGTAGTGACAGCATCAGACATCTCTATTGTGACAGTGTCAGTTGTACCTATTCTGACAGCATCAGTGGTTCCTGTAGTGACAGCATCAGACATCTCTATTGTGACAGTGTCAGTTGTACCTATTCTGACAGCATCAGTTGTTCCTGTTGTGACAGCATCAGACATCTCTTTTGTGACAGTGTCAGTTGTACCTATTCTGACAGCATCAGTGGTTCCTGTAGTGACAGCATCAGACATCTCTATTGTGACAGTGTCAGTTGTACCTATTCTGACAGCATCAGTGGTTCCTGTAGTGACAGCATCAGACATCTCTTTTGTGACAGTGTCAGTTGTACCTATTCTGACAGCATCAGTGGTTCCTGTAGTGACAGCATCAGACATCTCTATTGTGACAGTGTCATTTGTCCCTATTGTGACAGTGTCAATTGTCCAGGGGATGAGTGTCCTTGTTGTGACAACATCAGTTGTCCCTATTGTGACAGTGTCAATTGTCCCTATTGTGGCAGTGTCAATTGTCCAGATGATGAGTGTCTCTGTTGTGACAACATCAGTTGTCCCTATTGTGACAGTGTCATTTGTCCAGGGGATGAGTGTCCCTTATGTGACAACATCTGTTGTCCCTATTGTGACAGTGTCATTTGTCCAGGGGATGAGTGTCCCTTATGTGACAACATCAGTTGTCCCTATTGCGACAGTGTCATTTGTCCAGGGGATGAGTGTCCCTTATGTGACAACATCAGTTGTCCCTATTGTGACAGTGTCATTTGTCCAGATGATGAGTGCCCCTGTTGTGACAACATCAGTTGTCCCTATTGTGAAAGGGCCAGTTGTCCCTATTATGATGATGTCAGTTGTTCCAATTATAACAGTGTTGGTTGTCACTATTTTAACAGCATCATTTGTCCTACTTGTGATGGAACAAAAAAGTTAAGAATAAAAAGGAAAATACTACAACAACAACTAGCCATATACATATTATCTCCAAAGTTAAAATTGATAATTGAGGGCAAAATATGAAAAAATTACTGTTAGGCTTTTGAAAAAGTTGGAAGAAAATAGGTAATACCAGGTGTAAGAGAAGGATGTCTTCATCATCAACACCTGCCATGTTAATCCTAGTCAATTAAGTTAGTTAACAAAACCACCAGTCATATTAATGAGCATCAAACACATCTAACTTCATATTGCACAAGGAAATACAATATTTTCCAAAGCAATCACATTGTCAACCAGAAAATTTCCCCATAGTCATTAACAACCTTCATCTCTTGAAACATTGAGTACACAACATTTTTCATGGAAATTGCGATATTGGGAAAGAGGCCATGAATGTTATATGCAATGCTTAAAACCTTAGGTCAGGGAAGCAGAAATGTCTAGACATGGAAAGTGGACAGATACTTCACAATAAGAAGATGTAGATGACTTGTAATAGACCTAAGTCAGGATCATAGTATTTTGAGATAGGAAATTTTGTCTTGTATTTTGATTTCTTTTCTCCATACTGAGAAGTTCTGTATCTGTGCTCACATCTTTATCCTGTAATATTTGGTCAATACTGCATGTATGGAAACATTCAACCAAAGCTCTTGTCCTATCAAGGAAGGGTAAAATGGATGCTATGCTACATTTATGTCTAACTCTGTGGTGCTGAGGCTGTCTGGAACTGAGCTATAGTTTGAAACTGCAAAATTGTTCCTCAAGTTTGTGAGGATTTAAATCTACCATACAAGTTTTTGAAATTTATAAGGAATTCATGAAGCTGGGTATCATGTGAATATGTATGTATGAGGTATTGAATTCTGTACTTCAGTATATGTTGAAAATCCATTGAAATGAAAGTGTTAAATACAATGGATTAATGCAGTCTGCCTCTGAGACTGAAAATGGATATATTATGTATTACTTAACAACATCCCTGGAATATGTTATTGCAGTAAGTTATGTACACCATATATAGTCAAAGTGTTGGAGGAGATAACTCTGTAAGTTTCAAACATAAGGTATGGTTGTATCTAGGATAACGGCATTTCTGGGTCATTTAGTCACTGGATATCAAGCCATTAGCCAGATTAATACATGCTACGGATAGGTAGGCCTTCAGATGTTGTGTAGTCTTTCAACATTTAAATAGATTTTATTTATGACAACCTGCTTGTGTTTCATTTCAAAGGTCCCCAGATGGCACCTCCACCCCCACCGCCACGTCCCCCATCTCCGATGTTTGTGAGTGTACCCCCCAGAACGCAGAGGCTGCTGCACTCAGAGGCTTACCTAAGGTAGGAGCTATAGAGGAGATTAACTACTTTATAAAAGGGAAAAGATGATGGAACCTAACAGATTGTTAGAATTCTTGTCCAGTTGGATCCTTCATGTTAAAACTACAGTGGATTGATACTGTAAAGTGTATAATTGTGATAAAATGTTTTATTTAAATTCACAATTTTCATGATATCCATCACAAAGTTTGAGTTACAACATTTTGTTGCTCAGATCCATGTAAACAACTTTGTATGCAAATCTATATTGTATTTTCAGATATATAGAGGGGCTAAGTGCTGACAAACCACACATCAGTGACTGGGAGAAGAACCTGTCTGCCACTTCAGATAATACTTTAACAGATGAGAGCCGTTTACCTGCCCATTGGCTGGCCCAGGGTGCTGGTTACCATGGAAATGTAACAGATGCATTATGGGCATTACGAGATCTTATGATGAAGGACACAATGAACATATCACGCACCTTGCCATTTGAGGCTCTGTGTAAGTACAAAGAGTGACTCACAATTACACTAAATCTGTCAGACCTCGTTACTCTCTTCCTTTATGTAACAACTTTCATTTTGTTTTTGTCATGATTTATCTAATTTTGCCACAAGATCAGTGGAAGTCCATATACCAAAACAGGATTAGTACAAAAGAAAATGGAAATTACATTTGTTATCTGAGTATGGTGATTACCAATATTGGTATCAGCAATATGACATCATTTGTGATAAGAATGAAACTTAATCACATTTCACCATTTCTGTACATCAATGAAAGTAAATCATGATAAATCTTTATCAGTTTAGTTGATTTAAAAATATTTTATTGTTTGAATTCAGTGATGATCATTTATATTGAATTGCCTGAATTCTGTGTTATATTTATTTTTTCAGACTTTGTACTAAAGTCGGGACTCATGCTTTTAAATGAAATGAAATGTAAGACAAAGTCTTCAAATTTCTATCTTAAAGTTATGTCATGTATTTAGTTTGACTTGGCAATATTATGTTTTTTACAGGATCAAAAGTAGACAGGTGTTTGCCACGTAAATCTACCTTCCAATGCCACATGCCCTGCCGATAAATCTGTAGTTCTTCCTGGATAGGACGCGGCAGTGTGACCTGTGTCCTGTTGTTGGCTACTATATTGATGTCAATTAGACTTAGGAGGATTTGCTGTTGTGACATGTCGCTCCTGTGTTGTGATTTGTCACTAGTGGGCTAATTTAAATATTTGTGGGTTTATACTGTTGAATTTAGTCCGCATCTATGTGTTGGAATTGCTCTTGATGTGTTCAAAATTGCATTAGTAACATTGGACTTATTTAACAAGTAGAGCATTTGTCAGCATGTAGGGTCATCATTTCACTGAGATCACAGAGTACAACAATGTGTGGACAATACGAGCCAGTGACAGGGTAATCCTGGATCACAAAGTAGGTTCAACCAGGTCATAAACTACAACAATGTGTGGATAATATGAGCCTGTAACGGGATAATCCTGGATCACAAAGTACAACAATGTGTGGACATACGAACCAGAGACAGGTTCACAAAGGTCATGAACTACAACAATGTGTGGACCCAGCACGACCCTGTTAGGGATCATCCTGAGGGAGATGCACTGGGATTCAGGTCAACTACTAGCCCAACAGAAAGTTATTACACCATACAAATATTTGATATCTTTGAAGTCAACACTCTCAAGATTAAATAAAAGACCATACAAAAACAGAATAAAGTGTTGTAGTAGCTGGCAGTTTCTAAAGATCAAAGTGAGGTATTTAATAGTTAATCAAATAAATACAGTGTTTTAAATCATTGTAATTTCTCTCTAAATGCTGGATGAAGGTTTCTTTGTGAATGTAATGACCCACCTTCTTAATCTCAGAACCAATAAAGAAAAGTCCCTTGGGATGTTTAAGAAACAGAACTGGACCAAAGTATGGTAGTACTTTATTGTGAATCTCAGGGATGTGGAGGCGTTTATATTAGTATTCTTATGAAAGTGTGCTGGACAAAGATGTCTTTTGATTGTTGTGAGTGGTATACAAGGTATTCCAGAAATTAATGATATGTGGGGAAGGGATGGAACAGAAAACATGGTGGTTTTGTTTAAACTATTGGATTGAGCTGATTTTTCTGGGGCCCAAAATGCAAATATTAACTGGTTTTAAAAATCAGTTACTAATTGCCAAATCTTACCTCCTCCCTCCCCATATAATCTTGGATGACACAAGTGAAGGTGTGTTTGTATATATGTGTGTGTGTGAATGCAATGTGAATCTGCAATTCTGTGCTGGTGTTTGTGAGCGAATTAGTAATTTGGTGAGATGTGCAAGAAGCCTGCTGTAAGTTAGCATGGACAATTAAGAAATGTTATTTGCTACATAATTACATAATATTAGACATATTGTGTTCAAACTTGACATTATATATTGTGTTCAAAATAATATGATTAAGGAACCTATAAGCATTTTACGAAAGTAAAGTTCCTACTTAAAATAATGAAGTAGGGAAATGTACAGTGTTATAGACTTGTGATTTTATGTGAAGTGATAATGTTTTGTGTACAAGTTATTAGTCTGGAGGCCCCCAATTACACTGTAATATTTATACAATGCAAATGAGAAAGTCTATAGAATTCCATTGCATTTATCGATTGGTGCACATATTTGTTAAAACTTGATGGGATCCTATTGTAAGGTTAAGCATTTAATGCAGAAAATGATCTCACTTAGAGTAATGTTCTTAAGTCATAATTTTGCTGTTTACATACATGCATGTTTTGTCTCAAGTTTTACTCTGAAGATATATTTTACAAATTTTGAGTGGAACTGGTTTATTTTTGGATGTCATGAATGCTGCAGTTATTTAGAAGTGTTGAAGAGCTTGTGGTGATTAACATATGCAGAAGATTTTTGGATTTGGTATGAGGTCTACAGAAATCCATATTTGTAACAGGTACAGTACCAATATAAAATCAAAAGGAAATATATTGATAAGATAATATTAATAAGAAATGATGAGAGTATAAAAAGTCAAATGCATGGTAAATATAAGCCAAAATTCAGAGAGATTCAAAAGATACAGATTGGAAGTCTTTTCAGAACTGACCTGGTAACTGTTTTGTCAAATGATATAACAGTTGTTTGATCTCTGTGAGAGGCTTGGTATACAAAATGAACAATTAATACTCAAATCTTGTCAGTATTGTTGATTTTCTTGTTCATTCATCATCACCGTCTCGCATCATTAACTTAATGTGTTCCTTTCTGGTCCAACACTTAGCTTCTCTTTAGATAAGCTAATTGTGATGTGCCGTAATTGCACCATTTTCAGCATAGTTCTCTACAATGTTACTTATAACTTTGACTTTTTAAATGTTGTTAAAATATATTCAATGGAAAGGAGAATTCTATTTTGTTTGTTGTCATAGTAACACTTGTTGTATCATGTGACATGTGTCTCTAGTCATGTGAGTTTTTTTTACTTATAACATCATTACACCAAATAGGTCAGAACGAAATTGAGCTTAAATAATCTATCCAAAATACTGCTGAAAATATGTCAAGGGTATAAATACAGGCCATACAGATAAAACGGTTTTTGATAAAAGTTTTCTCCATCCTTTCAAAATAAATAACTTTTTTTTCCTGCAATTTATCTACTAAGATTAATTCAAATTTTCAAAGGTATGAAAATTTTTTTAGTTAAAAAAAATGAAGATAGATATTAGACAGTTGAGGGAGAGGAATACATTGTGAGTTTTGGTTCTAGTGGTGCAATCTCGCAGTTTTTTTTGTCTCTTTTGTCTTTGATATTTTTATTGTGAGAACTATTTATGATTGACTTGACTATATTTACAATTGTTCGTCAGCTTAATGTAATTGATCTAGAAGAGTAGTAGGGTTCAATTGATATAGAATTTAATAAATATTTAAAATATGTCAATTTTGTTTATTTTTTGTTCATGCTAGATTACCTCCTTCAACAGCTTTAGATGTTCTGTTGTATACAAGAGGTACACTCTTAGTATAGAACATCAGTAGTGAGTCAGTTGATAAGGTATTTAGTGTCAAGACACTTGTGCCTTTAACACTCCAAATGTCGACACGGTGAGGTCTGATGGAAGAACATTTTAGTCTTCTTAAGACAAAGGACATCTTGATGAAGTCAACCTGAGAGAAATTGAGAGAGCACAGACGAGCTTGCTTGGTGATAGTATTGTGAAATCCTTTCCAGGAGAACAAGTCCTCTGTCAGACTTGTAGGGCAGTAGTTGTGTTATCCTTTTGCCACTAGTGTCAACCTAAATTGATCACTACATTTTCTATTTTATATTGTACTTGCCTCCTGTGATGTGAGAAGATTTTCCGAGCTATTTCTGTATTTGCTTAGTGCAGTTGAAGTGTACATGTTTGTAATTTATGCTATAAAGGCCTACTCTAGAAGAGATCTTTGTAGTTATAAGGATGTGATCTTGGTTGGTTGGTTGGGTCTTCAGAGTCCTTTTCAGGAATCCAAGGGTCCTTGCTGCCTTTTGATAATCTTGCAGATGTAATGATGTTATGGTTGGTTAATCTCTGTGGTTATAAAATAGACATTTCAATATTCACGCCTTTCTGCTATTCATTAATTTATTAGATGACTTCTGGAGGGAGGTTCAGGTTTCCACTTTACCTAAAACTGCCAGCTTCCTTTTGGAATGGCACAATGCCATATACTATAAATCACTTATATTTTGCGTGGGATTTATTTTCACATAAATACACGAGGAAAGTCAATTGCAATAACTGGATGGCATTCATGTTGCTATCGGTTATCAATATCAGAGTCTTGAAGAGTCCAGGTCTCTGATACTTCATCCGTATATTTCAAATGATTTCTAATTTAGTGTACACAAAATCATGTATTCACAAATATGTCTGAACAGGCCTTTTGCTTATGCTTTTTTGACTGCATTTATGTCTTCATTTGCTGTAGTTGCCAAATGTAGGCAGCAAAGTCAGGAATCTAGTTTTAGGAATGAATTATATCCTAATAGTAGTTGTACATTCATGTCACAGAGGTCGTTTATATTTCAAAGCCTCCACTTGAGATTGTACCAAATAAGGACATCTGGTTTATTTATAGTCTTAAACTCAACTAATCTAGCCAAAGAGAAGTTTTCTCTAGTCAAACTGTATTTCAGCTAGTATTTACCAAGGTTATATGTATAACAGAAATTGTCCAGAGATTGGGGATACTGCTGTAAACAACTGTTTTAAATTCTTTTACACAAACTATTATCTCTACAGTCAACATTGGTTAATTAAAGAGACTGAAAGTGTGAATATAAATCAATCAAAGACAAGGGCAGCAGCAATGAGTTTAGAAATTTCTTCAATCAGAATAGCAGGGCACTCTGACCATGATGAAAACAATGAAAAAATCTTGTCAATAAAAAATTCATGGTTTATTCATTCATTGAATAAATATGACATAACAAAATGAAGGATGAGTGAAAATAAAATTTGTAAATGAAAATAAAATCATCAATTGAATGCATCAGTGGCTTCTTTTTAGACTGACCATTGCTTTCATCAATATTTTTAACAAGAAAACATATTTCAGTAACATTTAAATCTACACATACCAGGTAATTATAGTCGGGTACACTGAAGTCCATGTACCAACATTGTGCTATAGATGACTAAGATAAGACAGAATGTTAATTTAAACCAGGCTACCAACATAAAATATTATATAAAGGGACAGCCTAGAAAATAACATTGAAGTAGGCACCCCTGAACAAGTTGACTCCATAACATTCATAAGATACTGTGACATACATTGATGTGAGTTGTATTGACAGAATGGTGACAATGGCATGCTATATGCAGTGACTTTGTACATTATAATTGTACACTTGTACATTCTACATCTCATTCACATACTACCACAGAAAGGCAACATTCTGCTATCGAAAGGCACCAATATCCTTGCATTCTCTCGATGGACTGGTATTTCTAATGCAGAAAATCAGCATTCTGTTATGAAAAGGCAGCAATATCCTAGCTTTCCCTGATGGACTGGTATTTCCACTGCAGAAAAGCATCATTCTACCAATTACAGACTGAACCTAGCATCCCGAAATGACTGGCAATTCTACTACTAAACAGCATCATTCTACTAGTTACAGACTGCACACTGACCCTAGTCGCCCCTGATGGCTGGTAATTCTACTGCAGAAAATTCAACCAATTACAGACTGCACACTGACCCTAGTCGCCCCTAATGACTGGTAATTCTACTGCAGAAAATTCTACCAATTACAGACTCACACTGACCCTTGTTGCCCCTGATGACTGATAATTCTACTGCAGTAAGGCAACATTCTACCAATTACAGACTGCAGAATGATCCTAGTCACCCCTGATGACTGATAATTATACTGCAGTAAGGCAACATTCTACCAATTACAGACTACAGACTGATCCTAGTCGCCCCTGATGACTGATAATTATACTGCAGTAAGGCAACATTCTACCAATTACAGACTCACACTGACCCTTGTTGCCCCTGATGACTGATAATTCTACTGCAGTAAGGCAATATTCTACCAATTACAGACTACAGACTGATCCTAGTCGCCCCTGATGACTGATAATTATACTGCAGTAAAGCAATATTCTACCAATTACAGACTACAGACTGATCCTAGTCGCCCCTGATGACTGATAATTCTACTGTAGTAAAGCAATATTCTACCAATTACAGACTACAGACTGATCCTAGTCGCCCCTGATGACTGATAATTCTACTGTAGTAAGGCAACATTCTACCAATTACAGACTACAGACTGATCCTAGTCGCCCTTGATGACTGATAATTCTACTGCAGTAAGGCAACATTCTACCAATTACAGACTACAGACTGATCCTAGTCACCCCTGATGACTGATAATTATACTGCAGTAAGGCAACATTCTACCAATTACAGACTACAGACTGATCCTAGTCGCCCCTGATGACTGATAATTCTACTGTAGTAAGGCAACATTCTACCAATTACAGACTGCAGACTGATCCTAGTCGCCCCTGATGACTGATAATTCTACTGCAGTAAAGCAACATTCTACCAATTACAGACTGCAGACTGATCCTAGTCGCCCCTGATGACTGATAATTCTACTGTAGTAAGGCAACATTCTACCAATTACAGACTGCAGAATGCTCCTATTCTCTACTGACTTGTAATTCTACCATGAAACAACATGATTTTACCACAGACTGGTAGCATGATCATAGTCTCCTACAACATATATCTTTCAGTCAGAAACTCTGTGTGATTTGCATAATTTTACCATTCATGCAATAGTATCTTTGTTTTTTTTTCTTTTCTTTTTACTTCCAATTAAAAATAAATGCAGAATTTTCCTTCAGCTATCTTAATGAAGATTAGCACTTACAAAGTAGAATCCAAGTGAGCACTTGCAGAAAAGTTCAATGAAAATGGTGAACACCAATTCAAAAAACATAAAAACGAATTAATCAATATCAAGTCTCACATAAAATAATCTTATCACATGGGCAAGACTGCTCCTCAACTGATCCAAACATCATAAATCAATGTAGATTTTATGTCGTGGTCCTCATGTGGGCTTGTTCCTCAACATGTAAAACCTTAAACATTTGCTTTCTAATCTGAAATTATGTAATCAAAAGGATTTAATTCAAAAATTTCTTTGGGATTTACACAATGTCTGTATTTGTATGAGAATTTTGTATGTGTTTTATGGAGAAGATGATTAGTATCAGGAGAGACACACCCCTTCACATATGCAGGGTAAACATGTATATATCTTCTTCAAAGAAAATCTATTCAAAGTATTTCCAGACATCTCTGATCAACAGAAACTTGAGGACTTGACTATGATTGGTTAAAAATGTATGTACAGTCGTTATATATGTATTTTCTGAGTATTTTACTTCTAATACTTCATATTTACAATTTCAGAGTATCCAAGGGTTTCTGACTATGGCTTTTTATTTCTGCATCAAATAAAATACTCCAGTAAATAAATGAGCTGACAAGACATCAAGTTCACATTTCAAATAAATCTGCCGAGTACTGACTTTAATGTAAAACGAAAGAACAATGATTAGTAACCAGCACTAATCACCATCATATCATGATATGGTACATTTCGCCTCTACAGCTGCAAAAGGGCCTCTAAAACCTATAATGATTATCAACGGCTTAGAGTATCAACTTTAGTTCAGAACAAAATTCTAGCACTTTTGCAACAAGTTTTGCTGTTAATGTTCAAGATTTTTTTTATACACTCAAACCAGCTCTTACTTCATAAAGAAAAACATATTTATATGAGCCATGTGTTATAACTTCATCCCCTTTGATGAGAAATTTCACTTATTTTGGAGTTGTGTAAATCATGCTACATGTAGTGTGACCTGGACATAACACATAGTTCTTGACTTCTTGAATTGTGACAATCATTATGGAACCATGAGAGAGAGGGGGGAAAAACATTCACTGAAAAGAGAGAGTACACTTGGAATGCGACATGCAACATAAAACACCATTTTCTCAAGGAAGAAAACTTTTCCAAACAGATGTATGGGATCTGAAAATCACGTCAGTATGGCATTTATCAATGATTATATATGTCACAAGCCTTTTGACAAGTTCTATACCAATTTATCTAGCAGTTCTCCTCACACAGGTGTCAATATAAACCAAAATCACCATGACACTTTTGCAAGATTAAATTTGTCCTATGTCTTAAATTTTTTTAATAATTCATCTTATTCTGACTTGGAGGGTACGTTTAACACAACCAAGACAATCATATGACATCATCAACATGTGACTTACTTATGACGTCACAATAGTATTATTACATATGTATCTTACAATACATATGACTTTGCCATGATATGACATAACAGATCAATTGTGATAAAATAATTTGATTTATATCTACTTTTTCCATGTGTTGTACTCATAAATGTTCATAATTAAATTATCCTGTTAAAGAGAGAGGTACATTTCAAAAACACAATGGCTATTTCATAGATATGATTAACTATAACTGATATCTTTTAACACATCACAAAACAGGGAGAAATGATCTATACCAAATCTGTGATAAAGCTGTTATATATAACACAATGTTATATAAGAGTAATCAATGTTATTATACAATACCAATAGTACAAATGTAATATATGGTATCATCTATAACATTCAAGGTGTTGTCCATAACAACAGACTTACCAACAAAATGTGTAAAACTCTGGATTCCTCTTAATGTCATGTTGATTAATGTCACTTTTCTGTTCATATCATATTATTTAAAGCAATCTTTTATTTTTACAAGATATATCTTCTGTTTGCTTTACATAACATACATACTGTCTGCAATATTTTCTTTCATCAGGTAATTTAACACAGCAAACAAAAACTGACTTGTCTTTTAACTGATAGTTGAGACTTTTTTTCCATCTATTGCCTTAAGGACTAAAAATACTAAAAATTATTTCATGAGTGAAAAATATTAACTTGAAATACAGAAACAGTTAAAATGAACCCAGTTTGACATAGAAAGTTTAAGAAGTTACTGAAAGAAAATGAATCCATTACAAATTTAGCATACTATTGCTGAATTTAACATCTTAATTTTAAATAAAAAACAAAAAATCTAGCAGGTAGGTGCAAGTTTCGTTTTTCACACAGACAATGTAAAGAAAGTTTGTTAATTGTCTTCACTAACCAAGCATTTCAGAGGTGATAATAAGAAGGGTTAGGATTATTTTTAAGATGAGGTCTTTAACAGTCAAAAACAAACATATACATACTATACACAGTATTTTTATACAAAAAATTGTTTGTTTTCATTGAATGCTGACATTACTGTTCATGTAACTGCTTTATATCCCATTTTTTCTATGATAAATGATATCAAGAGCAATGCACTGCATCATCTCAAACAATGTATTGTTTAAGACCACATTGTAATACAAGTTGTCACCTCTTTAACTTGTGCATTCTTGCTCAGAATGCTTTTGCAGTTGAAACAGTTGGACTGACTGAGCTTGCAAGTGAAACACCAGGAACAGATAGGGACCAAGAATGGTCTGCACAATAATTCGGCACATGCAGTTTGAGGGGGTCAGCCATATCTGTCTGAAACTAATTGACAAATTTTTATCAGTTTTCAGAATTTCTGCTTAAAACATGGTCGTATTACACATCTATTTCTGGAAGTGATATGATATTTCAGTTCAGATTAAAATGGAAAATATCATATCAATGATTCACTGTTTTATGTTTGACAGGATATTCCGAAACTGCACATTTGGAACTTTATCTGCAACACTTCCGGTACAGATATGTTTGGTTATCATGAAAAAATTCTGTGCCATCTGAACTGGGTTACATAAAAGCTGCCTCAGACTTGTTTCATGTTTCCAACTCGATGACATTATTTGGTATCTCTGACAACACCTGGTACACCATGAAGACTTGTCACTTTCCACTGGTACCATCTGTCCATATCTCTATCACATGCCGCACATTGCTACAGGTAAGTGTTATTTGTTTCAGCACTCTTTTTCTCACCAATGAAAGATTTCCTTTCAGTGAAAAAAAAAATTTTCTCTCGCTATTACATTTAATGATTGCTACCATGGTTACATTCACCGATCTCTCTCAAAACATTTTGTCTCACTAATATTATGGTATCATTCACTGGCCCTTAACCCATTCTCTCTCACTCTTAATATTTTCTCTTACTGAAAATCATCTGTATCACTGATAACTCTCTCCCTCTTTGATAAAACCTGTATCTCTCATTATCATTCACCAAATGTTGGCTTGACCTGAGTTGACACCTGTGGTTCCAGTGATAACAAACCCTTGCATTTGTATATCATATGGAATTTTTGCCCTAATTTGTAAAAAGACACACATGGTATCACTGAACACACAGCAAATGTGGTGCTAGTCTTTTCCATTAAAATGTTTCTAAACTACTTTGACTAAATTAATCAGGTCAAAGGTCACACATACAATGATTATCATTCAATAACATTTGCAGATATTGATGGTGATTGTGATATCAACCGTAACATGACCTTTCAGACAGGTCAACTGTTCACTATTTGGCACCTTTTACATATATGCACACAACCGTACAGATGTTCAGATGAGAGACACACACAACAATGTCCAATTAAACTCAATACTAATCTATCTCTATACGTTATTTCTTGTCCAAGTGATTCGGTGCATCAGCGAACATGTACTTGAGTTTGAATGCTTCTGCTAAAAGTTCACCAATTTCTTCGTTGTTCCAATGATGTGTGGGTAGGTTCTGTAGAAACATGAGAATTCCCTGTAAAACAAAAAGCACATCATCAGTCATTCAGTTTTCATGAAATCTATCAGACATTTGATAGGTTGTGACAATGGACACATCTGTTGGGACAGACTGACAGACAGACGGATGGACAGCAGGAATGACTGAATACATCAACATGGTCTTCCTACCTGAAAATCACGTTCCCGTTGTATATCTTTAGAAAACCTCACTAGGAATGCTGCACACATGTAGAGATGAAAGTCAGCAAAACCATTGGGTTCACACTGTCAACACATAAAAATTCAAACATAGTCAGTTAGTAGGGTAGCTGCATTCACAGAACATCTGATATACTGTCACCCAAAAGGTTGGATAATTAACTAATTCTTACTGCTTTAAGCCTATAAAGCCAATGTCTGGTAACAAGACCACTTTTATATAACATAGATCCATAAAAATATAAATAAATGCTGTTTAAGTGTCCATTAAGAAGCCCATCACCTCATTTGTATACCTTGCAGTCTTTTTACAAGACAGAAATGTCTTCTTTGAAAAGACAAGCTAATAATTTCTTTACTGAACAGGTTAGCAAACTTAAATTTTTATCTGTTGAAAAAAGACTCTCTAACACAGAGCAACTTTTAAAAATCAAAATCTGTTCGACATTGTTTCTAATTCCACTTACCAAGTATGTGTCCCAGAGTCTGACTGTACACCTAAGTGGTATTTCTCGCATCAGTAAATTATTCATCCACCGGAAAGAGAACTGAAGGTATTCCACATTCTGTTCCTCCAAGTGTTTATGTAATGGAACTGATGTAGAGAAACGATTACAATGTATTTAATATACAGACACAGTGGGAGTATGGGGATTTTTGTTAGGTCTATTGGCCCATTACTACTTAACATCATTCTGAGGTGGAGTCTCCTAGTCAAAGCCAATGGATACCTCACTGGTCAACCTGTCGGAGGCATGTGACATGCCATCCAGAGCAAGTGGGGTAAAGTACAGACATGTCTGTTTCAGCTTTCTTGAATTATCTTTGAGGACATCATTTGCATAAGAAGCTGGCAATAGGTAACAACAATATCCCTAAATGACCAGGAGACATCATGAACATGGCATGAAAAACAATTCTATGTAAATTTTTACTCAATTTGAAGCACACAAAACACAGGAAGATGACACTTGAATTAATACAGATGATGTCAAAAACATCTGATCATTAAGTTGAGGCTGATTTCTGGGCCTCCAAACACTTCTTATAATATCAAAAGTCAATTTGATTTTGAATAAGACACTATGGAATTCTATAACTCAAAACATATGTCTTACCATCAATTCTTTTGACCAGCTCCTTGAGGGCATTGACTTTCATCTGTATACCCGGCTGTGCAAATGTGTAGTTGTCTTGGATACCATCCAGCAGACGTGACGTACACCAGTAACTATCAGCCTCAATGATGCGTAGCGTTTCCTGCGGAAGTTCCTGTAAGTCACAGTTCTCGGATTCTACATCTACAGCAGACAACGTGATCATGAGGCCACGTAAAAATTGGGAAACTCTCTTAATTAGGATATGTATAAGTATATTTTTTGATGAATTTGCTGAAGATGTCATTTTGTCAGATGTGACCTTTGACCTATCTCCTTGACCAATGACCATTTTAGTATGATAAGGTGTATAGCTTGATGACACAATACTAAGAAATAAATATGTACCAAATCTGTTTCTGTTGTGAGATTCTCAGGACGTGACATCAATTCAGAGCGGGATGAGACAGGACAGGGATGGGGTGGACACATTAGGTAACATCGTTAGGACTATTGTCTACAATCAGTGCAACTGTGACAATTGAAATGTCAAATCCTACAGAATTATTAAATCAATCTTGACTTCCATACTTTTTGGAGCCAAAGATGAGTGATCTCCCTTGTGACTTTTTATACTCCGATTTCAGACATGCTGGTACATATTAGCATAAAATTTCATTTGACTAAGAAGAAAAGAAGAAACACTACTCCTGATAAGATTCCAATAAATTTGTTCTTTTGTCTACAGTGCTAGTAACCGACATGTTTTGGTCGTCAGTATTTAGATGACAGCAAGGAATGTTGATAATTGATCATGGTATAATACTTGTAGGATAATGAAAGAAAAAAATCAAGGGTTATTTGAGGGCCTTTTGGAGCAGAAAATGGGTTCCGTTCCTAGTTACAACTATTTCATAATGAAGCCAAATTCCAAAAATTTGCAATTTACTCCTGAAAATTTCATTTTCAATTCACCCAATTGTTTCTCAAAATGAGGCAAAAATGACCAATCCAAAATCTGTGAGAAAAAAATCCTGGTCTTAGAACTTAGGTATTGGAAACAATTGTCACAGTACAATATTTACATCATAATTGAAAACTGGATAGAAACTTTGTACATGTAGAACCAAACTACTGCTTCAGTGGAACTTACATGTCGTCTGTATAATACCAACAATGGTATGTTCATAAACATTTTTTCAGGTTGTGTTAACACTGCTATATCCTGATCACATGATTTCAATTTTCAATCTAAATGGCATTTGTAGAATATTTTCTCACCATTTTCAATGTACTCAGACAAGAAAACCACAAAGAACGGTGTAACCAGATCGTTGATTCCCTGGACGTATCCACTGGCAGGGTGGCGAATTGCCCAGATGTACAAAATCCTTTCAAAAATCTACACAAAACAAGTGTTTAATACATAAATCATATAACATATTGAAAATGACAACCTTAACATGTAATTTATCGTAAATAACATTACATTTGATCAATTAGAAACCAAAAGAATTATTTTGTAAATAAATCTTTATAAAAGTCTGATATCTGTTACACGCCTGTGTATCTTTTTTAATTTTCCTTCTGGATACTTTTTCATAGGTACATAAGATTTTTCTGACAACTGATTTTGTTTTCCCCTTAAGAAAGCAGAATGGTATTTCTAGTATCATTCCTGCATTATTTACAGAAAATTCTTCTTTTATTCTCCATCATTTCACTCCATGAAAATCATATAAATGAATTCAAGAACATGGGGAAATTTTTTTTTACAATTTATTAAAATTTCATAGAAGCAGGCAGACATGTTCAACCACAGCTGAATTCATATGAAGTTGTAAAACTGAAAACACAGCAAATAAGAAGCACCATAAACCCAGTCATACCAAAGACTACATGCAACACAAAACATACTACCCATTTCATGCTTCAATCACTTAAAACAAGTCATTTTTTTCTATATCTGTCTTTTATCCATTTTTCTTTAGAAAATCTTTTGTTCAGTCTACATATAGCCATCCCATGCTTGTGAAGATCTTGTGAGAAAATGTTTATAGAATAGGTAACTAAAGTCTATCACCGCGGTAACATGTCTGTTAATTTGACCTTCATTCTCTAGAACTTCTATGAACTATCCTTACAAGTCTCTAACATGCGACAGCATTTAAAGTCATCAATTAAACAGAGGATTATGATTCCCGGGTGTTCTAAACCTCCAAAACCGGCATCAAGTGATTAGAGCTAATTATCAGGTTGATTAAGATGTCTGGGAGTTCTAAATCTCTAAAGCTGAAAGGATATGTAAATGTCCAAGCAGCTAGAAAGTTAATTGCAGGAATCAATTTCATTTCCGTATTAGTTTTTAATGCATACAATTTTCATTAACATATCCCGATAGCAACCATTCCATACGGTTGCATACTTACTTCTTGAACAACCTTCTGTTGAAACAAGTGAGCAAGTGATGTCATTCTTGGAATATCTTTAAGAATCTGTAAAACAAGCATTGAATTTTTCATCATGTTTTTAAAATTACACCATGAATTTGTGGGTCAAGTCAAAGCACTAGCTTGCCAAAGATGAAGACAACAAAATTAAGCTTCAACTTAACCAAGATCTGTTGTCACATCTTAAGCATTTCATTAACCCAGATTTTGACCACAAACAAATTAAAACTACCATTTAAACCAAAGCATGATCCATACATATCTGCCACTCAAAAGACTAAAAGCCAATACACCCACATAAGCCACCAGGAATTTGTTCGTGAAAATCACATGATAACACCATTCTCACCAATCAACTACAATGTTATTATTTTATATGTTGGTTTAAGTGATTAATACTTAAACTGCATTGTTATTTGGTAAAGAATCTATCTGATATCCATGCAATCACACTGAACAGAATTTCTGGTGAAGTACACATAATGTCATATGTAAACAGACAAAGTGAGCTAGCAATATATACCAATATGCGCTGCAGATATGAATCTGTATACCATGCAAGTAGTAGAAAGTTTGCATTATCAAACATACAATGGTAATTGTAATGGAACCCACCAGTAATCAAAATACCTCTTTATCCTACATCATCTTAACATCTTAAAAGTCATAGACCAAATATCATATCCATCTCATAATCTAATAAATCAAATTGTTTAGATTTCTGAATGCTGCATAGGTGGGTTTCTTTTATTTTTTGTTTTGTTTTATTTTGTTATTTTTTTCCCCAATTTTTCAGTTTTACTAAAAGCTTCATGGATATATTTTTCATAAAAGTCTGGAAATAATACTTTTCTCCATTAACCTTAATCTTAAAGGTAGCAAATTTTGCCAACTTGATTCAATACGTAAAAATAGCATAAAATTGAATCTTCAGAAATAACAAACTTCATAGTATATTACGAGATCCTTTACAATAGCCTTAGCACAGTTTGACAAAGCAAGCAAACACCAATAACTTGACAACATCCAACAGTGAAGGCACAGTGATGTGGACATTATCTATCAGATAACACGACAGCCTACTCACTTCCTGAACTATTTTTTGTTGAAATAAAGGAATTAATGGACTCATTCTTGGTATATCAATGTGAATCTGAAACCAAGAGGTTGTAAGATAAATGAACAGATTAAAATTTTCAGAAATTACAATGTCCCAAGCAAACAATATCTGTATGTCATTCGCTGTTCAATCTTCGCTGGTCTTTATGATGTTCTACGTAATGGACTGAAAAAAAGTAAAGTAAATTAATCCCAACCATGCCTGGAATTCTCAGATAATTTTTGTACATTGATGGCAGCCCTTGGATGTACAGACAGACATACAGTATTATTACTGAAGGCAATCCTGATTTCTGATTTCCTTATATTTAGAGGAAGGAAATACTCAGTGCTGTCATAGTACACTATCACATCCATGTTGATTGCACAATTTGCGTACCAGGAATCTGTTTTGAATATGTAAGAGCACTAAACTTTTGTAGCAGTATTAAAATGTATTAGACTTCAAAACTATTTGGTACCATGTAGACAAATGTAACTTATAAAACATAAAATGAATATGATTATCAGTACTTAAAGCATTTCACTTTACTGTCAATGACATCTATACACTTACAATGTCATAGTGTGGTCGGAATAGTGCTTGAACTCTGATCACATACAATGTGCTGGGTTTAAATACCAAAATAAAAGCTTCCTTCTCCTTCTAATACACGTAATGTGACAATGAAAATAAGCAGTATGTGTTAATTTCCAAGCAGCTCCTACCTGCTCTGACTATTGGTTAGTGAACTTGTGAATTAGGGAAAAAAACCTTAAAGCATTAATGCATGTAACTGTGCTCTTCAAGGGAACATGATGGAGGGGAGGTAACTCATAACTCATAAAGAGAGCAATTGAACTATTAATTCATTAGTATCCAGGTCAGAGAGATGATAACTGAGTGATAGAGTAGCATCGTTAGAGAGAGATCAAAGTAATACAAAACAAATGAAAACTGCATGAAGTTGTTTATAAAGAAGAGATATGAAGTGAAAGTGATCGTTTTGTACGTAAACAAAGAATGCTGGTTATGATACTAGTCTTGATAAACCACTCATGGTTTGGACAAACTTTCTTGTACATATATTTTGTTTACTTTGTATCAAATCAAGTTTGATTTCAAAATTATTGCTGGCGGCAAATAAATAACAATTACATGTACAGGTTTCTCAATCAGAGGGACTTGAACTCGGTCATTATTAATGGATACCAACTATAAAATCAATATCATGAATTACATTAATTACTTTACATTGATTACAAAATGGCCATCCCTACTTCGCTCTATGGAAAATGACATCACCAAAATTTTCTCTCTTTTAAAAAACCAGATATTTGTAAAATAATTTTCATTGAGTTCTCATTCTTTTTTTAATAGAGGGGTACCTTTTGAATTTTTTTATTTTTGTTTTGCTGCAGTCCTGCTATATAACAATGATAGGGTAAATAATTAATAGCACTGAATATGACAGATCTACTTACAGTACCAAGTCCTAGCCCCTGTAAGGATATAAATAAGATTGTGTCACATTCCTAACTACACAAGGAACCATATACCTACCCACATATATGTTGTGTGAACATAACGCCATAGTCGAGAGTAAACAATGGCATAGGATTAATGAAAGAGTTTAGCCTTCTGACCTATCAGATCAGAAATAAAGGAGAATAACGGTAATTTTATGGGCAAGGATGGAATGGGATTCCTTGATGAAACTGAAATCAAGGACCAATCAAACTAAAGATCACGACAAGTAAAAGACTAGAGGTCAGTGCTGAATGTCAATAAAATAAATACAACATGAAAAATTATCAAAATAAATCACAGTGGTAAAAGATTTGATCCAATTGTGCAATAGACACAGTTATAAAGCAATGGATTAAAAGAATTGGCTATGATAGCTACTTGTTGTTGGTGGAAAAGCTGGTTGATAAAGCAAGACAACTGATTACATCAGGTGCAAAGATATAACTGGAATGAGAAGAACTTCAGTTAGTGAGGATGCTGCAGTATATTTCTGTAACATTGTGTAACATTTCACATCAGATTCACATTCTCAACCGTATTTATTCTTGTAGTAGGTCAATAATTTTAATTGTAATTTTTACAGCCATACAAACATGGATGGGCTCATTACTTGCTATGGGCTTATTGAAAAGACAAATGCTTTCATATTCCTACACCTATGATAATCCTCTGAAACCTTCAAAATAAGAATCTGCAAAAAGTTAACAAACATGCTTTTATATTAAAATATAAATTTCAATGCATTAAAATGAAATAAACTGAAAGAAATATTGAGCAGTTCATGTATGACAGTTCAGTATGTTTCAGTGGTTTTTACTTCCACACATTTTGCTGATACATCTTCCTTGACATTTTAGCCTTTGAATCTAACACACACACACACCACAATTACATTTATTTCCCTTCCCTGAACCAGTGTGTCTATACATTCCATTGGGTCCCCTTTCATGTCTCTTATTTTGACTGGTGTTTAGTCCCCTACAAGGTCTCCAATTTTGACTGGTGTTTAGTCCCTACCAGGTCTCCAATTTTGACTCTTATTTAATCCCTACCAGGTCTCCCATTTTGACTCTTATTTAATCCTTACCAGGTCTCCCATTTTGACTCTTATTTAATCCTTACCAGGTCTCTCATTTTGACTCTTATTTAGTCCCTTACCAGGTCTCTCATTTTGACTGGTGTTTAGTCCCTTACCAGGTCTCTCATTTTGACTCTTATTTAATCCCTACCAGGTCTCTCATTTTGACTCTTATTTAGTCACTACCAGGTCTCTCATTTTGACTGGTGTTTAGTCCCTACAACGTCTCCCATTTTGACTCTTATTTAATCCCTGCCAGGTCTCCCATTTTGACTCTTATTTAATCCCTACCAGGTCTCTCATTTTGACTCTTATTTAGTCCCTTACCAGGTCTCTCATTTTGACTGGTGTTTAGTTCCTACAAGGTCTCCCATTTTGACTCTTATTTAATCCTTACCAGGTCTCCCATTTTAACTCTTATTTAGTCCCTAAAAGGTCTCTCATTTTGACTCTTATTTAGTCCCTTACCAGGTCTCTCATTTTGACTGGTGTTTAGTTCCTACAAGGTCTCCCATTTTGACTCTTATTTAATCCCTACCAGGTCTCCCATTTTAACTCTTATTTAGTCCCTAAAAGGTCTCTCATTTTGACTCTTATTTAGTCCCTTACCAGGTCTCTCATTTTGACTCTTATTTAGTCCCTTACCAGATCTCTCATTTTGACTGGTGTTTAGTCCCCTACCAGGTCTTCCATATTGACAGGTGTTTAGTCCCTACCAGGTCTCCAATTTTGACAGGTGTTTAGTCCCTACCAGGTCTCCCATTTTGACTCTTATTTAGTCCCTACCAGGTCTCCCATCTTGACTCTTATTTAGTCCCTAAAAGGTCTCCCCTTTTGACTCTTATTTAGTCCCCTACTAGGTCTCCCATTTTGACTGATATTTAGTCCCCTAGTAAGTCCCTCATTTTAACTGGTGTTTAGTCCCCTACCAGGTCTCCCATTTTGACTGGTATTTAGTCCCTTACCAGGTCTCCCATTTTGACTGGTATTTAATCCCTTACCAAATCTCCCATTTTGACTGGTATTTAGTCCCTTACCAGGTCTCCCATTTTGACTGGTATTTAATCCCTTACCAAATCTCCCATTTTGACTGGTATTTAGTCCCTTACCAGGTCTCCCATTTTGACTGGTATTTAATCCCTTACCAAATCTCCCATTTTGACACTATAAGGTCTCTTACTTGTCTGAAGGTTTCCTGGTGCATTTCCTGGTGGCGAGTGTCATAGTACTGCTCTATAAAGCCAAAGTACTCATTCCTCTTCCTCAGTAGAGTAGGTTCTCGCCGGTCCAGACTGGCAGGAAGGTAACCCTACATCAATACAAAGACAGACAGTCATCAGAAAAGGAATCCATTTAGAGACAAAAACAGCTAAGTAAAATCTTTGCTCTGAAGTTTTAACAACTGTTCTTACCCTCTTTACCACAGATAAGCCCTCCTTCCCCAGTGACAAAAAAAAAATGTCCAAAAGCAGGGAGAGAGCTTTTGGTAACATCGTGCTGGCACATAAGTGTTTGCATTCTTGGAAGAAAAAGAAAAGTGAGGAGAGGGTAAAATATTGCATAAGAAGATTCTACCCGATATTTTATAATGTTCATCTGGTATAATCCTGTTATTTCTACATGTATTCCAGAATATGATTATTTACTACATCACTGTAGTCATAGTAACTATATCAAGGAGTTTAATGGTATTTTTAAACAATTCATCTTAAGGTTATTTACAATGCCTATTTTTTTATCTTCCAGTGTCTCTATTTACACTTAGTTTAAGAGATGAAAACTCACAATATAACACAAGAGAAAATACCATAGGATACCAGATTCTATGATTTTTAATTATTGGTTACCATAGTAACATGATTGATTTTGAAAAAAAAAAAGATTAGAATACCAATACTATGCCCAATATTAAATACCTTAACACATTAAAAACCTTATATTTATCATCTACATACGGAGAGGATTTTCCAGGCAGTAGGACGGACAGCTTTTGGAATTCCTGACCAGCTTAGTTTTCTGAGTTCATCTGTAACAAGGTGAAAAATATTCCAGCATTAAAATAAATCTTGCTTAATGAGTGGGACCACAACGTGGAATATTTATAACACATACACAAGAGACTTTATTGTGATGATCAAGTAAAACAGATTCTTTCTTTCAAAAAATAATAAAACTTTCAAGAGAAATCAAAACAATGTTTATTTTATACACCTGTTTCTCAAATAATTTATAATATTGTATTCTAAACTACTTATCAATAGATAAATGTACCAACATCTTAAATGTTTTCTTCATATCAAAAAGTATCATACCCCTGTAATGCACAACTACAGTGTAATGCATAACTTGATGTTAGAAAGAACACATGACACTTGTAGTATACTGAAGATATACCTAGATCTGTGTTCTGTGCAGCCATGGCACTTTTGAACTTTTCCAGTTTGATGACTTGGCGGTCTGGCACTTTTTTTTGTGTTGGTCTGATGGCTGTCGTCTTGGGAGCTTGCCATCCAGTGTTTAGTCTCATTCCTACTCCAGGACCTGCTCCTTGTGAAGAGGTGGCTGATGGAATGGCAGTCACATGACCTGGTGAATAATACAAAGACAACACATATACATTTCACATTTTACTTTCCGGTACTATAAGCCATCGCTCACTCTTCCATCGTGATAACTCATCAAACTCTCATCTCTGACCAACTGACCAATTATAATGTTTGGTCTATGAGTACAGTTGTTTAAGTGATCAATCCAATACTTAAATGACAGGTCCATGACCTTTACCTTTATTTGAGATCACAAATATTACATGGTCATTACTCAACCCTATAAATATGTTTAAAGCACAAATTTTTAACATTAACAAGATTTTTCCATACATATCAGAACATCAAATGTACTGATTAAATATTACAGAGGTAAATCTATTCCATAAATCAACGAAATTTACTTTGTTTGTTGTCATTCTGAGCATTGATTTGTTTGCTGTGGTTGTCTATGACAGCCTCCGCAGTTTTGCGAACATCCCGAAGAGACATCTGGATATTAGCCATGACGAGGAGTTCATCGTCTCCATCATCCCAAGCATCTGATGTTTTGTTTTCAAAATCATGGAATGCATCTTTTTTGTTACTCTTTAGCTTGCCATTATCTTCTTTTTTACTGAAAACATCCATACATAAACTTCTTAATGAATTATTTAACTACAAAACAAAGAAATATCATGATGGGTACAAGAATAAGACTTTGAACTGTTTTCCCCCATTTTATTTTTTCAAATCTTTGTCTATGATGCAGGAATAAAGATAACTTCATTAAGATACACCTGGAAAACCACTAGTTCTGTATTATTGATGAGGACCTAGTCTCACTACCTTAGTAGGTTTTCAAAACCTGACTTTAAGGATTATTGATTTATGGCATTTGTACTTAAAAATCTTATACCTACAACCAGTACTGATTTGTACTACAAGAATCAATTGTTTGAATTGATGTGGTATCTTTGTATCAAGACAATTGGAATATAGTGAAAGTACTTAGATCATGAATTTAGAATCCATATGATACAACAAAACTAGACAACCAACATTCAATTTTACACCAAGAATATGGATCCGTTTGTTTACCAGATTTATTGTCCAGGGAACAACTAGGGTAATTTTGTAATAGCGGTGGCTACTTCACTGAATAACATATGAGAGACTTATCACATGTCATCAACAGAAATTAGAATGAAGTGTTCAGCCATTGCACACAATGATGACAGCACAACCAGTCTGTTTCTCAGCTTCCTGAGAAACACAAATTGCAATGGTTTGGAAGCATCAAACCACATACCTGGTATCTTGGGATATTTACCTGTAGTTACATAGATCAATGTTTTACAGACTAAGCTACTGAAGCCCCCTCAAAACTACCAACAAATGGACTCATCTAAGGACTTGTAAATCATGATTTTTTAAAATGTTTTTACAGCATGATGTTAAGATCAGTCTTACAGTGTACCAATAGTTTATCCCAATCTTTAGACTGCCAGTCATTGGTATAATCAATATGGTAAACCTGTACTTCAATCAACCGCTCTTCTTTAATAACTGCTTTGTGTATAAAACACTTAAGTTTGACTATAAATCTTATTTACCAAATCAATACACACAGACTTCAGCTGTTGCCTGTATTAGGTATATATAACAATATGTTTGATGTGAACAGGTTACATGTGTACAGCTGTTTAATGAAGTAATTGTATCAACCTCAAAGAGACATGTTTTAATGGTTTCCTTCATTATCTGAACTATACATAGAAGTTGAAATGAGAATGTGGTAGTCTTCATGGGGGGGGTGGTATATTATACAAGAAATATAAAGTTCAAATACATGCAACATTTAAATGGATAAACATGTTCAAACCCACATTGAATTTAAAGAATGTATTATAAAAAAATGAAATCAATTAATTCTTCAATTCTCACATCTTTCTTTTTTCTGGATAAAGGAAGAGGCTTCTTATGAAAAAAATTAACAAAATACAGTACTAAGAAAACTTCAGTTACCTTCTCGGAAGTGCTGCTTGTTGCATAGGTGGGTGCTGAGCTCCATAGACTGGCTTGATGCTGAAAAACAGACACTTGTATAGATACTTCATACTTGGATCGTTTTCATGTACTACAAGTGGGTAATAAATTTTATCAAAAATTAATTAATTTGTTCTCAGATGTTACTGAAAAGAATTGATTTATAACACAATGTATTGAAAATTAAGATTTTTGAATCTCTTCCAATGATTTATATAACCCTCATAGAGGTCTAGAATTCTCTGCTGTAGGAACCATGTTTACAGTGAAACTACTAATATGTCAACAAACATCTGACAGGAGGAAGTAAATCTGTTTGTATGTTACAATTTTGAGTACATGTTGTAATGGTCGGTGTTGTAGAAATATATGGTCACTATTGTCCAGAATAGCCTCCAGGCTGCTAGCAGTCTACCTGACAGGTGAGTCTGCTTTCAGCTATAGATGTTATCAGGTATACACCTGAGGTAAAGTCCTAAGTATTACTGATCATCTACTCTCTATCTGTGTAATCTAAAACCATAACCATCACAAGTGCTTTGTATAAAACTGTACATCACAGAGGGAAAAAGTTAAAACTCTGATATCAATAAGATACACATTATATACTCCACATCATCAATGACTGGCAGTAGGATATTCAATCTTTACCTGGTTCAAACAATACATGGTCCATTTTGTGACAAATAATATCCAAGGCTAAACATGGATGAGAAGAAGTTTGTGTTGTTCTAACACTAAGTCTATTTGGGCTAGCATTTCACTCCGAATAAAAAGCAAAATAGAAATTGAAACAAGGACAGTCATCAAGATCCCCCGCCCATGTTCATTTGTAAAATATATAAATTAAAATAAACATGAAAAACTGGAATATATATCAGCCAATCACGTCAAAGCAGCCTCATTAAATATGTGCGGAATTTGTTGTTAATCTAACTTGGCCAAGGGATTAAGGTAACAACTATACCAACTACGTTTTGTCAAAATCCTACCACTCCTTCAAAAGATACCATGTAGAAAGCAGCTTATTAAAGAAATCAGCCAATCAGGTCAAATCAGGTCACAGTAGCCTAATTAAATATGTGCCACATTCACTTTTAATCAAACTTGGGCAGGCGAATAAGGTAACAAGTGTACTAACCAAGTTTCATAAAAATCTGACCAGTCCTTCAAAACATGATAGGTTAGATTTGTCATTTGACTACACAAGTCTCAAACTACATGCTCTAGAGAAGACAATCTAATCAAATTCATATTTCTGATATCACTTTGTTTCCTGTACCTTGTTTTTATAATATGAAGCCAGAAATCTTATCTTAATGAAGAGCTGAAGGCATGTCATTAATTGCTTTGTTATTGATATGGTATTATGAATAGTTGTACAGGGTGGTCGGGATGTGGACAGGAAATTGCTTGCAATATAGGTCAAACATGTTACATCAATAATGGTTGATTGTTACTACACTTGAAATGATACAGCAAATTTTGAACCAAAAAATTTCTTTCAACCAATTTAAACAACAAACTAACATAATTATGACTCTATATTAAGAAATCTATACACTACAGATATACAGAAATCTATACACTACAGATATACAGAAATCTATACACTATAGATATATAGGTAGTATAAAAAAGGGCAATAGCATAGGCAAGATAACTATGAGAGCCTCTTCACAATCAATAAAACATAGATTTATGAGGTACCTGTGCTGTTTTTTTAGTAAACAAACAAATGATATCTCCCCTTATTAGCAAATATGTGATTTGCTGCTTTTGTAGTTGGTTGGGTTTGCCAGAATAAGAACTAAAAACTTTTACTTGCACTTTGTCAGTCAGTGATAAAGGTGTACAGCAACTTTCATGAAGATATCTTTAACAGTTTAAAAGTTACAGTCTGCACAAGAAATGTAATGTACATTTCATATACCATGCTTTGGTCAGTTTAGGGAGAGTTTGGTTTGTAGAAGTGAAGAAATTTGACAGGTCTGGACTGGGCTATAATTGAACTGATTCCGTTCAGTACATATCATTAACCATTCCGTTTGTTTCACCACTTACACTGCACATATTCAACTGAATACAAAGAAAAAAGCTTTATAGAGTAGAAAAGATTTCAGAGAAGTGAAAACAAATAGTGATACTTGTATTCTATACATGGCTTCAGTAAAAAAGAAAACTATACATTGCCCAGCAATTTTGATAGTAACATGCCATTACATAAAGCCTGACATAGCCCTGGTCAGATGGTCGACTTGTTTACCAATTGATATATTTGAGGAAAATGCTTTTGTTGATCAATATAAAAACTGATCTTCTAGAACAACATTCATTTAATATTTCAGTGTATGTGTTAAAATAACCATTCAATTACTCATCGCTTTCTAATTCTTCATCTGTACTTATTTTCACTTTACCTGCAGCAATTTCATGCTTCGGTTAAATGATAGACTCATTTTATATGGTTTCAATTTGTCATTGGAGATAACTATTCATTATGTTAATTACAATCTTACCGATCAGGGAAGGTATTGTGTACAGAGCCTTCCTGTGACAGGTATATGTAGCAGGGGTGTAAAGTTTACAACTGTCAACACAGGTGTTGATTTCATGGACCACTGGTAGGGACTCTAGTCTAGATCATCCAGATAAGGCCGGTTTTCAAAAGTGATTTTCAGTATATCTCAAATCATTTTGGACACAAAATCAGTTTGATATTCGGAATTGTGAAGGATCAGTATTGGGAAGGTTTTCAATACTATGTAGTTCTATATATTGCAATTTCATTCGGCTTTGAGAAGGATCTGTTTGGGGAAGTTGTACTGCACGTACAGAAAATACCATTATCAATAGCAGACCTCTCCCTACCTTGCTGGTAGACAACACAATATAATAAAATCATAATATTGTCAGAGCTACAACAATGCAACTTATATGTATGAATCATCTCTTCCCTTCTTTGTTAGTAAAACAAATGTTAGTTTGTGGCACCTGTATCTAGCTCTTTCTAACCACTGTGTGTCACAACTGGTTCTAATTTCTCTGAACAATCATTGTCATACTATTGCTGTAAGTGTTTTTTGAAAGAATATGTTTGATCATCAATGATAAAATGATACAATAAGATTCAATAGGATACAACTGGATGTTCTAAATATGCAGGTGGATACTCTGCCTTTATATCCATATCTTAACATATTTTTTAATATATTAATCACTGTCGCTTCTCTTTATTTCTTTATGGCAAGTCAAATGAATTAATATTTTTAAGTCTCTAAAAGTAATTGTTGGCAATGTAATATACTCAAGGAGACTGTTCCAGGTTTTGACAATCCTAAGGCTAAATGAGCATCTCTAAACATATGATGGTATGAAATGCTTACAATGATTTTTTTCCCTTCCCTTCTGTGTCTACTCACATGTTCTAGTTGATGTATCGAGTTCAAAATTTCCCTTTTGTTAAATTTCGATCATGTTGATCTCTCATGATTAAAGGAAATATTGATGTTGCCTCTTAATCTGAAGAAATTATCAACTGCGATAATTATTAATTTACCATTTCAAATACATATATAACTTTAAGGCCCAGTAAAAAAAAGCTAACATAGATGGAAAATCCCAAGACATTACTTATTTTATGAAAAAAGGGAATCACTACTGTAGGACTTGACTTTCGCGATTTTGACAACAGCATTAACTATGCAAAGAAACATCTTAATAAGTATGTGCACACAGTGGGCGTACTGAGGATATGGTAATTTGTCCTTGGCACGGCCTGAAGCTATACTAGTGATCCAAATATGGAATGCCGGTTGTAAACGCGTTTGACAGTTGCTGTGCAAGTCATTTACCTCCCTGGGAAACTGGTTCCCTTTTTCCAAAACCCCGGTTTGCTTCCTTCCTTAGCAGACGAACTGCTCGGACGAGACATGCCTGTGTAGATCTTCGGTCTTGGATCCAGGGAGCATAATACGGCGATTATAGTGTGTCTATATCATTTTGGGGGATGAGCTGGAAATAAGTGTTGACAATATGGCGAAATTGTGACGTGCACTTCCGATACGCTGACTTCCTACTCGATTCTGGGTCAGTTGAACTTTTGAGGGGTCGTAGCAAAAACAAATACTAATTATTAAAAAAAAGACGACAATGATAGTAACACGTTCTAAAGGTACCTTCTGACATAAACAAAAAATTATATGCATGTTATACCTTCAGAATTACATAGTTAGGATAAATTCAAAAGTCAAGAAAGTACTGTTTTGCTTTATAGTGATTGACTGAAACAATGAAGTCTAATTTGTTATTGACATTCTCGATACTCCAAGGGTTACGATCACTTTCGCTATCGTATTGATGGCTTAAGAATTTTACTAGATGACGTATATTTCCATTTGATTTCAATACACACTCCTGTATTGACCGATTTTTATGACCAAACTCTCCCTCCCTCTCTCTCTCTCCCTCCCTCTCTCTCTCTCTCTCTCTCTCTCTCTCTCTCTCTCTCTCTCTCTCTCTCTCTCTGTGTGTGTGTGTGTGTGTGTGTGTGTGTGTGTGTGTGTGTGTGTGTGTGTGTGTTGTGTACTTGTGTGTGTGTGTTGTGTACTTCTATTCAAGTCAGGATCCTTGGTTTCAGATTCAGCTCTATCTTGAGAGCATGTCCGATGAACAACTCAAAGTCAACCTTTAAAATGTACACTAGTGAATCATATTCGAAAATCCAACTTGGTTCAACAATAGTGTGATTTGTTTATTTATCAGCGTCACCACCAATAAATCTATTCCCTCGCTCCTTTCTCTCCCTCTATACGTTTTTCTCCTCCCTACTTTTGTATCAACAGGTGCAAGTTGAAGTATAAAAACAAATGCGTGTTTTTAAAATCTGACATTGTGTGTATTATACAATGTTGAAAATTTTAGTAAAACTTAAAGAGTACCCTGAGTGTAATTATATATATATATATTTCATAAAACAATTGCTATATACAATGTATTAGGAATGTCCAGTATATTTGCTTATTGTGGTTATCTTCGTTTGACGAACTCAAATTATTACCCGGAAAATTTTGTAAACTTTTGTAATTTTTTGTGCTCTACAAGAAACAGTCGTCAGTCGTAGTTGTTTCACATCCTCCCCGTCTTTTCTTTTTCGAGAGTATCATAATTGGGAAGTCGGGTGGTGCGGTGATAACACACTCGCCTTTTACCTAGCCGTCCGGGGTTCGATTCCCACGGTAAGCGGTCACCTGCGCGACCACGTGGGGTTTCCCCGGGTACTCCGGTTTCCTCCTACAGTAAGACCCCTCGCGCGCTCCATCCAAGCCAACAAGAGTGATTAATATAAGTTGGAAAAACTGAATACAGTTTATTATTTATCATAATTGATAATATAAGACAGAATTCTTAGATCTAGGAACATATTTACCCGTATAGTACTAATTACACTGTCATTGTGAAGGCTTACGGTTAAGCCTTTCGTTATCCCTATGAATACCTTATCTGTAACACGACAAAGTCACAACACTCTTAATTAACCAGCGTTCTTTTTGATCTACAGTACTTTGACCAGTGATCACCAACAGGTAGTATCATTTCCACTGGTTTCCGAGCCTAATCAGCACAATTCATCGACAGATTTCTAAGAAATAACAAAAACTTCCATTTTTGTGAGCAGAGACGTCTAGGATGTGTTTTTTTTCTTTAAGTGGAAATGAATCCTCAGATTTTTCTCACTATTTTCTGGTGGTGTATGTGTGAGCAGAGACGTCTATGATGTGTTTTTTTTAAGTGGAAATGAATCCTCAGATTTTTCTCACTATTTTCTTGTGGTGTATGTGTGAGCAGAGACGTCTAGGATGTGTTTTTTTTCTTTAAGTGAAAATGAATCCTCAGATTTTTCTCACTATTTTCTGGTGGTGTATGTGTGAGCAGAGACGTCTAGGATGTGTTTTTATTTTCTTTAAGTGGAAATGAATCCTCAGATTTTCCATTTTTTCTTTACTTCAAATATTTTTTTATGTTCAGTCACTGAATGCTGGTAATACCTTTAACGACTACCGAGATACAACTCTCTAGATGACAAGACAACAGAATGTGAAGGAAGGATTAGATTTAATCTGTAAACAAACAAACAAACAAACAAATCACCCAAAGAACACCAACAGTCCTGATTTGTTTTGTAACAGAAAAGGCACTTGTTTGAATAATTGATTAGATTTCCATTCTGAAATAGGTACTCAAAACGAACGCATTATACTTGTTTGTGGGGTTTATCGCCCTGTGAACAGAGCGCATTGACATCCAACAAGGGCGTATCTGAAAAGTTTGCGCTAGTTTACAATTTTCTTTCTTTCTTTTTTTCTTTCTTTCTTTCTTTCTTTCTTTCTTTCTTTCATAGCAGTAAGAATGAAAAAAATATACGGATCACAAAAAATTAAACTTTGCATAATCGTATGGTACTTTTGAAAGTTTAACAACAAGTATATCAATGTGTAAATGACTCTCTGAAGGGAACAACCTAATGCAAATAATTAAATAAAACCAAAATCAAAATTAACGCTTACTTCCATTAAAACAAAAAGAATTTCACTGTAGTGAAAAAATATGTTATGTTGACATAATGCTTAATTATTTTCACTTTAAGTGTCTTAAGTTCAAGGTAAATATGGCCAATGCAATCTGGATGTTTCTTATCCGCCCTTTTTTTGATAATTAACAGAGTAATCTAAATGCCTACTGCATTGCATGCCTTATACTATTATAGGTAGAAACTAGTTGATGCATCTGATTTTATTTTCCCTTATTTGAAAAGAATTTTAATTACTGTAAGACAAAATGAATTCCACTTAAGTGAAATAAATTTGATGCACATTTCACCTTAATTCGAAACACACTGATTAAATGTTAAAATGGCCAAAATTTTCTAGCAATTTCATATTGGTTGTTGTATAAATGTACCAGTGTATGTCGATGTGTAGGCACATACTTAAATATCGAAGTCCTTGGTACAGTGGTTGTTCAGAAAACGTGTCTTTGAATTCATCGTTAAATTCCACGAACATTGAAAACAGATTTTGAGTACGTGTATTTTGATTTAAATTGGGTTTCACACCAGGATTTCATTTCTGCTGGAATTTTCCCAATATATATATATTTGAGACATATTTAAGATGTTCACGATATTTTTCATAGAGTCTTCTCATGACATTCTGTTATTTATCAATATTTGTGTTACCTCTAGATAAAATAGTATAAACATATAAACAGGGTAATGCTAAGCCAGTGAATATACGTAGAATGTCAATTCAGCTAAGTTAATTACATTCAGCTAAGTTAATGACAAGTCTCTTGAATATATTTACATACACATCAACCCCCTCCCCCGTTTTTTCTAAAATAAGAAAAAATGGAACCTCATATTTGTTGTTTCATGAGAAATAACCATTTTGAGACGGTCCCTATTATCTTCAGAAATCTCGCGATATCACGCAAGGTGCCCGTAAACATCCGGGCATTTCATGTTATTTCAAAAAGACCATGATTTCTCCAAACCGGGGACACTGATGGTCCATTGACAGAGGAAATTGTAATTTGAGACCATCAGAGATTGTCAAGGGAATTAACATAACAGGAAGAAGACATTTTGGTGTGATTATTCTCTCAGATATATATTTATTTGTAATATACTAACATTTTAAAGTGCGGATAATACCAGACCGTAAACATGGGATGTGCTGTTTCGGCCGATGACAAAGCGGCAGTGGAGAGATCGAAACAAATTGACAAAACTCTGCGGCAGGATCGCGAGAAGGCTGCAAGAGAAGTAAAGCTTCTATTATTAGGTAAGTAGTTATTACCAGTGTCTTAAACATAGTGATTGATGTGCTGAGAGCCTTAAACCTCTGTATGGTCCTCTCCATTTCCGGTAAAACAACTGTCATCGGTCGCGAACCCAACCCATGTCACAAATATGTTGTGACGCCGCAATATTCACATGCCTGTTAATTAAACACTTTCACGTTACATTTTTGTTTTACTGCTGTGAATATTATCTTATTTTATCGTCTCTCTCTTATGACATGAAATTTTGTAAAAGTCATTTGATTAAGATAAAATATAGGTCATACACTTAAATTTACAGGCAACACTTTGCAATTCTTTTTTTTATTAAAAGCAAGTTTCTCTTTATACAAAAAATTTTTTAATAGATTTAATGTATAGAAGGCCAAATGTACAATTCCAAAATAATTTTTCATGAATGCATTTCTATAAAAAGTTTTCAAATTTTAACTGATTTTACCTTGATGATTGAAATCTGATAATTTGCAATTCAGATTGTGACTTGTGTACTGGGGCATGGTTTTGATGTTATCATAGCTATCATTTTTCAATTACAACGGTTATGCTAATGCTGTTGGACCATGATTTCAAGTTACAGAACTGCTTTGTCAACATTAGTGTGACATTTTTTGGGATTAAACATCAAGGAAGTCTTTTCCTTTTTAAATACCAAAAAAATCTAGCATTATTAGGCTATGTACTGTTAATTAATTCATGGTGAGATTGACCACAAGGGAGTGACGAATAACTTATCAGAGTGAACGCAATAAAACCATTACCTAATTAATAGACATCATAATTCACTCCCTATTTCTATCACCTATTTGTTTCTAATTAAACAAAGTTTCTTCATAGTTGAGTGATCTGATAAACTGTGAACTGCAACTGTCAAGTTGTTTAATATTGTGCAATTCTAGCCAGCAAACTTGCTTGTGGTTTATAGTTTGATTTGAACCCATTTTTATAGAAATCTGAAGCAAGGACCCCAATTATTTCCAGAAAGTCCATACAAAGTATGCTGAAGGAGGACCCCATTTAATCAGAAAGGACCTCATTTATGAAATACCCAGCACCAACCTTGCTTTAGATCTGTCAAGGGCTGTCACTGTGTCTAGTATTTGAGAGAAAAAACTCTTTTATTGGGTGTTTATAGCTAGCCTTGTTTCAACATGTAACTATATTTTTTTTCTCTGTGTGTGTGTTGGGTGGGGTGGAGAGGGGAGGGGGTGATTTGTGATTTTTTGTCATAATTTGAAGAAATTATGTTAAATATGGCTTTAAAATGAAATTAATCATTTTTCAAAGACATGCATACAATCTAGGACAAAGTCAGCACTGTTATATAAAGAGTAAGACATCTGATGTATAAATTCAGCTGTAAATCATAATGTTTGATAGGGATACTAAGTAATCCTGGAGGTGACCAAGGAACTGGCCCTTTCATAGCTTAATTTTCTGTAAATTTCACATAGAAAGGCAAAAGCATTCTCAATCCCAGATCAATAAACTGGCATACACAGATCATTTTATTCAGCAAAGTTGTACCATTCATTGGGAAAATTCCAACAGGGAAAACAACCTTTTCAGGTGGTGGGTCAAGGAGGTCATCTGGATAAGGAAAGGACAAGGGGGTGAGGTGGTTGGAGCCACATACCTTCACATTCACGATAAAGTGCTAAACAAAGCACAGAAAACATTGTTACCATCTTGTGTGCTTTTTACCATCTCTTCACATTATTTTCACCTTAGTGTACATAGAATTACAGAACAGCTAAAAAAGCTGGTTTATTCCTTTGTATTTCTTAGCCTCGTACACTGGTCATTTGTCAGATGAAGATGACAATGTAGTTATCGAAACATAACACTGAAATCTTCTGTTGGTTGTGTTATAAGAACTTCTATTCTACTCTGTGACACCTATCAACTTTGCTGAAAACAACCTATTATGCTTATCTTGTCTAGGATTTTCTTTGTGTAAATCATGTGCTTTAGAAATGATTATGATGGGAAGCAGGAGTCATAATCAGATTGGTTTTGGATATATGTTGACATCATTGTTTGTTTTTTTTTTTTTTTTTGTTTATCCGGCATATGTAACTTTGGTTCTACTGTTGATATGGGCATGCTTTTTAATACAAGCCAAGAGATGCTATCTGTCATTTTAACATGTGTTCAACAGAAAGTCTAAAAATTTTCCTTTCTGAGTCATATGTTAATCATTTCTATACATCTTTTACAGAAGAAAGTGTTTTTTCTCCCGCCAGTGAGTAATTTCACCTCAAATTAGTGTCACATGCACCGATTTGAATAGACAATACCAAGTAGAAATTATCATGCCTTTGTACATTGTATATTAAAAGGATTTAGAATTGATAGATTGGTAAGTCTAATTGGTCATGGCTATTGTCGTGAACATGTCAGGGAATTAATTGAGAGAAAAAATGGCTTAAGACATTTTTTGACAATTATATTGATCTAGAACTTGCGATAGTTTTGGAGTTGACACATAATGCCAAATTTCTTTTGATTAGATAATATCATTGACCATAATTTGTTTCAGGTGCTGGAGAGTCTGGCAAGAGTACTATTGTTAAACAGATGAAGTAAGTACCAAATCATCCCACCCCGTCCTCAAAATGTCAGGGTTTGCAATCACTTCTGATTGGTTGATTTAACATTACTTTTGTGAGATTTTGGGCCAGAATCTGCAATAACAAAATTGCTTGCATATGTTACAGTGCATTGTTTAATTTCCAATGCCAACCTGTCCATGTTCCCAAAATGAACTTCTATTGAAAAAATTGAACTAATTAGTACTTAATGTAAAGTAGTTTCTGAATGTTCACATGTCTCTATGTTAAGATATCCTCACTATCAATTTAAGTTGTTATCTTCTTGATGTGATTTTAAAAATGAATATGAAGTTCTGACATGTCATTTAATAAATTTTGTAACTGATCCTACTCCTACTCATTTGGGCACTGCTGCTTGATTTTTTCAAAGTTTTTTTTATCCTACTATTGATTAAATTCTGCTCAATCGTGTCAAGTTCTTACTTCTAACTTAGTATGTACATGTCAAGTGTGAGAATTTTTAGAGAAGATTATTTAGAATGTGATGTGATGTGATGAAATAACCTGGAACGGAAATGTGTCAGTGAGGTGTATTATATATACAACAAAACAAATCAATACCAACCATCTAAAGATGGTGACGTCATTGTTGTGAGGAAGCTTAACATTTTATGGTTGAACATCCATCAACATGTGTATAATGTTGACGGTGATCAAATTATGGATAAACAGTATGCATAGAAAAACTTCATAAGAGGAGCAAATCTTCAGATTTAAACAACAACAGTATTGCTAGTTTGAAGTATTACCAATGTTAGAAATATTTAAAATTTACCTATATGTAATTTATGCCAACATACTTGTCTGTAATATCTATTCATTTTTATTCTACCAAACTAGAATTATCCATGAGAAAGGCTACTCACAAGAAGAATGTCTACAGTATAAGCCAGTTGTGTACAGCAATGCCATCCAGTCCATGATGGCAATTATCAGGGCCATGGGACAGCTCAAGATTGAGTTTGGCCACCCAGACAGAGCGGTCAGTTGAATTCTTATATTTTTAATTTTCTATGTGTGAGAGATATCTGTAGAGGAATGTGAATGGACAAGTTCATAAGTTTATCAAAAAAATGTCTTTTACTAGTACTGTTGCCACGGATACAGAAGTCGTGTAATTGCTGGATTTCATGTGGAAATTTAAAGGATCTATCAAAAGATGCCTGAGAAGTTATACTTAAACTCAAGAAGAAATGTGATATTGAAAAGAAAAAAATGAAATGTCACTTTATTTATGAGAAATCTTAGCACTACATGTCATTTTATAATTCATACAGTGATTTGGGATAACTTTAACCAAACCATGGGGATCAATTAAAGCAAGCTTAAGACAATTTGACAGTTATCATGGCATAAATATCATGTCTTATGATATACCATTGTTATTCACTTTAATATAAGCTTCATCTTTGTCAGACCAGACTCTTGGCAATCACATATTCTGTCTGCAGTATTGTAAACTGCTTTGTAAATAATATTTTTCATACAGCAATTCATATTTTTGTTAGGTGTTAATGAATACTCAGTGGTGTGAACTAGTACTGTGCACTGTCACCTATAGGCCTCCATCATTCAAAAAAGGAAAATTCACATGATTTAAAGAGAAAAACAAGATTTCTTTTCAAATGCGTTTGATGTTTTTGCATTATAAGCTAATCTATGTCTATCAGTTTAATATCAAGATTATGAAAGGTGTAAATTTTTCAGCCAATGTCGCCTACACAGGTATTGCATGAATAGGACCCTGATGATCAACTGAAATATTGATTGATGTCTATATAGCTAGTGTGTATATATGAACAGGTGGTTTTTCTAAATCACTGCTAGAACCTGATGATAAGGTTGGACATTACCTGGGGCTAGCTGTACGTTATAGCCATTCACAGGTCACATGTATTGGTCAGTTTGGCTGCAATGTTAACACAAAGCTTGCACACGCCCTTCATTATCAGGAATTCTTATCAATCCATTCCCTTTACCTCTTGATTAGTGTATTGTTGTTAAAAAGCATAAGCTAATCGTATGTAGTTCATGCTTCTTATAGTTCTGAATGAAAAAACATTTTGTAGATGAAAAATCATCCGGAAAGAAACAAGGTACATAGGCATGACTGAGGTATCGTGATCTATATAGTCATGTCCAAAGGTCATCAAGGTTGTTTATGATCGTGCTTCAACCAAGCTTGTACCAGTTACGGTAGATAAGTGTGTTACTGGTGTTTAGTTTTGACTTTAGGATTCTGTAAATAGAATTAGAAGGAAAAAATTATTTCACTTTCACTAAGAAACCCATTGTAAATTAAGTAAATCAGTCAGAATTAGTGTAACATTGTTGGGTTTTCTTTTTATAATAGTTAAAGCTGTTGATCGGTATAAACTTTAGAAGGGAACTTTAGCAGGGTCTGTCATTTATTTTTAAAAAATGGAATAAATCTATGCCAGTCATTTACCAGGACATTCTTACATGTCCTGTAGGATATATGAAGGCTGTTAACTGCAAAGTTCATACTGGTAATATAATATGGTGTTAAACTTATCCTGCACACTCAGCTTTACAACTGTCAATTAGGACATATACTCTTTCTATATGTCAAGTGTGCTTGACACTGTTTCAATTAATATCTGGTTAAGGTACTTTTGAAGTTTCTTGTATAAAATTAGGCAATATTAATTCTCAAAGATTATAGGAATGTGTTATGTTATTCATGTACTGTGTGTACTGGTATTCTGCTTATATTTATTCTATTGATGTTTTCTATATATATGTGTGTGTATCTTGTACAAAGTGATTCTCCTGTCTGTACATTTTGGCCATATTACTGATAAGATCAAATCTGAAAAAAGGACGAAAGGAAATTTATTGTAGATTCTTCAGTTCTGCCAACATCAGGAAGTTCTGATTTTGGTTTGTAAAATTTCAGGAATTATTAATGTCTTGGACCTTTTCCTATCTTGAAAATGATATATGTTGAAAGATGGTCAATAATATATATATAGATTCTTTGATGTAGAGATCAATAACTGAAATTGTGTATGTTGTGGTTAAGTAGGCATATGAGTGGACAGACAGAAAAAATAGGCTGATCAGCGTCATTGCTGCAGAGTCCACTCATACCTAGAAGGGAAAGGGAATCTTTGGTGACTCACTGTTGTCAGTGCTGATGTTTTCATGAATCACATGTAATTAGGAAAGGTGGGGCTATGCCAGCTTCTGACAACACATCAGAGACTGTCTTCATTTGATTTTTAAATTAATGCATAGCAAACAGTGATGATGATAAGCCCAAGAAATATTTCTTTTTAACCGTATTACACATCAATTAGTGTGTAGAGTCTGTCTCCATCATTTTTTACTGAAATCTAAATAAGGACAGGTATATCTTTAAACCTGCAATACTATCAAACCTTTGATTTAACAAAAACACATTTTAAAAAGGGAATTTTATTGTCAAACAAGTATATCTATAAAAGTAAACAAAGATTTGTTTTCTCCTCTATATAATGTCAATTGTCATGTTTGGAAAATAAATCTCATTGATTTATATTAAATTTCAGAACAGTTTCATTGCTGCCATTGTAAGGTAGAGATATATACATTACAGTACTAATTTGATGAACCTGATACCAGGAGTTGATGAGTTTAAGTTGGTGAATATGTTCAACATTGAGTATGGACAATTTTAGTGCATTATTTTCATATTTTAAAAAAAAGTGTGGTAGGGGAGGGGAATATTCAGTGATTTTAATTTCCTATTTGCAGACTAATATTTCCTGTAAAAAATTAGATGTTCATACTTCGTAATATAGCTGCATTTTCATGACTGTTAAAGGTTATGCATGGCTTGTTTCCTATATGATGTCTAGTTCAAGTACAGTCTATATATTATAACAACAAGTATTAGTTTTTGGCCTAATTAAGCACAATGGACACTAGCAAAATATTTGAGTGATTTTCGACACAGGAATTTTACAAATACATGTTCTTTTTATTGTTTCTGTCCATATATTGCATCATAGATAGTTATGTGATGTTGACTAAAGGAGCTTTGGTATGGGTGACAGGTGTCTATAATACAGATTTACATCTAGCTGAAACATAATAGATGGTACATAATAGTCACTATACATTTTATACACCTAGGTTCTATTATAGGATTTTTGTAGGTGTGTTGTGAGAATCAGCTTACCACTGATAACCTGGCATGTTAGATACAGTGATATCATCAGATGCAACATTAACCTGCCATCATATAATCATTGATAGAAAGCTGCCACAAGACTTACATTCATCACACTAGAACAGTATTTCATAAGATTAGAAGGGCTTAACTTCAAGGCTGTAGTGTTCCCTGTGTTAACATACACACATAAATACATCTATGTATATGACAGATCTAGAAAATAAGATAACATCATCAGGAAGATTGAGATGAAGGTATATATTCTCACAAGTAAGGCTGTATAGTACATTGACATGAAATAGATACTGGTGTTGTGATTGAAGAAAAAAAAAACGAAAAAATATTTAAGACAAATAATTATGAAATTGAGATGCTTGTGAACTATCATGCATAGATTTATTTTCTTATAATAGATAAACTACATTAATGTTGTTCTATATAGATAAATTTGGTTTGGTAAAAAATACCCAAAATTTAAAACTGGTACAGCGACTCACTTTATCTCACTGTAACTGTATCTGTCTTAAAAAGCAATAATCAAAAGAATGACAGGCTAAACTGAAAACTGTATTGTGCTGGCCATGGATGCATTATCTGGAAACAGGAAATGTTTATTGGAACATATTTACCTAACCCTGCCTTCCGCGTCATTGAAATGAAATTTAGTTATGTGTTACAATTGTATAGGGTGTTGAAGTCTGGCATTGTCTTGTGACTGTTTATTGCCCTAGTGTCAGGACTAATCAATGGAATACACGACTATCAACTTCAGGTGAAGTACCCTGGACAGCATTGATCACATGATAAACCTACATCAGGAGACTTATTGATGTTGAGAAATATTATACAACATACCATATAATGTATGGAGGTGGTTCTTGTATACCTCACACTTACATTGTAGGACTTAGGTCACAAAGGTATTGTAAAATACACATGTATGTATCCATCTTAAGCCAGAAATTGAGTACTTAAGTGATCTCATCAATCCATCAAATATATTTATTCATTTTCACTAGGGTATCAAAACATCATGTTATACACCTGTAACAGATCATACTTTTTTTTGTGAGTCAATTGACAGTTAAAGGTTAAAAAATCTTAATCAGAGTATCAACACTTACGTAATCTCTACACCTGATCAGATTTTGTAGATAATGGGTTAACACTAAAGGGTACAAGGTCACAATGAAGTTGACCAGTTTTGTTTAAAACCCTGTAGATTATGTCCATATTCCCACCATGATGTTGGAACAAGATTTTAGTAGTTGTGACATGATTATAAGTTCAGAGGTCACAGAAAAAGTTTTCCTGTCTTCAAGGACAAAGCAGATGCTAGTACAAAGGTCACACAAAAAGTTTTCCCATCTTCAAGGACAAAGCAGATGCTAGTACAAAGGTCACACAAAAAAGTTGTCCCATCTTCAAGGACAAAGCAGATATATTATTTTCTATTTTTTTTTTCTTCAAATATTGTACTTTCTTTTTTGTAGAAATATTTATGATATATATAAATATTTATATTTAAGTTTGGAGTGTCAAGTTTAGACAAGAGCAATAAAATGTATTGAGTATTTGATGCAGTCCCACAGTTAGAGAACTGTTCATTGTCCTGAAAGGAAATGGATGTTACCAGGGCAATATTCACATCACCAAGGTCACTGAAAGAGTTATCAGTTGAAAGGTGTAGAAAGGAGATAAATTGTTTCAGAAAATCAATAGGCTCTGTTTCTGATGTCCATTTTTACTGCACTTAGACAATATTATGGAATTTAGCGGGGACTTCTGGTGGATACTATTTTTGGATTAGATGAGAGGGTTTTGACGCAAGTATAAGTGTAACAAACTGTAAATGGGTTCACTAGACTCCATTTAAGTGTACATTTCTGTACTTTTTGAAACAAAATTGTTTACTACAAGATGATAGGGATTATGGTTGTGTTACCACTTTGTCTTTGTGTCTGTAGTGGAAAAAATGAATTCACAACAACTGACTAGCTATATCTACTGATCCTAATATAGAGAAAGTCTGGATATGACTATGTTGAACCTATGTAGAGATCAATGCTCTCCCATCTGTCACTTTCACTGTCATTAAATATATAGCTGTAGTCCTGGTTTGGAACTTTTGCCACATTTTTGCCTCAACATCCTGTTCTGAACTGTTGACATTAGATTTTTTGGTTGTCACTGTAGAAAACAGAATTTGTCCCAACAGTAACAGTCTGTGTGTGCATCGATCTTCATCTGGTGAGCCATAGCTCTGGAATGTGCCTCCAAACTATCACACCAGTTTTGTTGATGTTTTTTTTTCTATTTTATGTACCAATAGATGCTTTAATTTCAGTCCATGGATTAAAAACCCTGACTGCATATTTCCTGCTCAGAAAAAGGGTTATGTTCACAAAATTACAAACATTTTGATGGATGTACCCTAAGCCTACAAGAACATACCTTTTTCCAGCAATTTGTAAATTTGATACATCAGTATCAGAATAGTGACTATAAGATAAAGATGAGAAAGGCAGTTTTAAAACTGAATATGGTTCATGGTAATATATTATACCCCCAGTACTGTATACTTGTAGAGAGAAATAGAGAAAGATGACCCCCATCATAGCAACATGTACTTAGGATTGAGCTGGCTATGTGAAGGTGTAGATGAAAGGCAATTCTAGCTTATCTTATGGAAATCATGTAGCAAGCTCCTGTTAGATGAGGGTCAGGCATGTAAACCATACATTGTATAGCATGCCACACATAATAGGTTAAATGATATTTAATGGGTATTGTACATCCACGGATCAGAAACATTGTTACCATTAAAACATGAGTACGTGTTTACATGTGTTGTTTTGGCTCTTATTGTATCAGCACTACATGAATATTTTTAACATAATGTACATATGTATGTGGTATTAGGTACAGGTGATTTGGAAAAAAGCTTATATTTAACATGTATATAATAATGTATCAGTTTCAATTCAAAATTCTGTTGAAATCAAACTCAACATATCTGATACTGGTAGGCATTTTGTATTTGGTATATATACTGTGAGTTTGATTTCACACAATAATTCAAAACTCCATTCAGGAAGAATACAATGTGTATATAAACATTCCTCAGGTGAGCACAGCTTTTACATATCCTCTTACAAACTTATTAGCCTACTATTTACTATATTGTGTTTTGCAACAAAGGACTCCATGAATTACAATTGAAGAAATCCTGTCTTTACCAAACAACACAGGTATTCACATTGTATTTGGTCCTATATATTATTTGTCCACATTGTAAATATTTATCTAGACAAGGCTGTTTTTAACAACATTCTATTATAGAGATTTAAAACAATTAATAACATAAGATTTGGCACAAAACAATTGTTTTCAACTTGGGTGTCAATATGAGCAGAATTTCCATATAAGGGCACAACCATATTAGCCTATTTTTTGTCATGTTTTGTAAAGATTTCATGCATAACACAAAATGCACTTTGAAATATAAATTAGAAATTTTAATGGTTGGTACATTTTAAGTATGGAAGGTGACATAAAGTACTTCAAGTCAATAAAATACTCCCAAGTTTAGATTTTATGCTTCCATTGGGTACATTTAAAAAAGATTCCTTTTGTGTGATATAGTATATACATTGTAATTAAGAAGCACTAACGTAGTCTTATTGCACTGTCAAGTGAAATATTTTTAGAACTCATCAAAAGAATGATATAAAAATAGGGTATCTGCTTGGGAAAATGGCACTTTGTGGGACAAAAGAGGAAAATTTATGAATAAAGAATACTGGTTTTTGTGTCTTAACAAAAAACAATGTTTCAGAAAATAGGAATTTTATGACTCCATTTGGAAAGATAAGTCATGTTAGTTAGTGTTTAACCACCTACATATCATCAGCTTATTGCTTGTTACTTCTCACCAATTACAGTTGGTGTCATCTGTTGATGTATGGTAGTGGTCATTATCTGCGCTCTGTTGAACTAAAACAAATATGGACTGAAATTTATTGGCAGGAAAAACATTTGAAACCTTTGTTTTGCAGAACTGTGTGTTAATTTATATCAGCTGACTATGTTGATTTGAAACGGTATAATTGGTAACATCATCATTATTCTGAGATGCCAGTCAGATGTAGTTACAGAAATCATGGAAACAATGACCTAAATAGATATAGATTTTGATATTACAATACTGTAATTTAATTTTATGTCATGCTGAGACACTTCCCATCCTTGTCTGCGAGTGAAACTATATACATGTATAAGGAAAAGAAAAAGCTTTCCTGTCATCCATGAAATTTTTAAATGGAAAGAATTTGCACATTTGATGTTTTATTGTTTATGATCCCATCCCTCTAAGATGGTATAATTGCCTTTTTCTGTGATATGTCAGCAGTCTGTCTGTCATGCCTCCTTAAACAATTCTTATTGTCACAATTACTTGTTCTGAATCAATATTTCTTTAAAAAAAAAAGAATAAAAAAACAAAAAGCTGATATGGCCTACACAGGTGGTAATTTTAAATCTTTAGTAATCATGGATGGATCTATCAAAAATTATGATATGTGATATTGTTGTCATTTTGTTGACAGCATTTGGTCAAAATTGTTTTCCAATTCAAACAATTAGTATTTGTTTTTGGATATTTCATTATGTAAACACAACAATGTTGTTTGTGAAAATAGTTTCTTCAAATGGAGGTTAGTGGTTGATTATCCTTTGAAATGTTAGATGATATGTTTTTCCCTTTATTTTAGGAGGATGCCCGCCAGCTGTTTGCTTTGACAAACAACACTGACGAGGGAGAGCTCTCTTCTGAATTGGCGGCTATCATGAAGCGACTGTGGAAGGATTCTGGAGTACAGGAGTGCTTCGGCCGGTCACGGGAGTACCAACTCAACGACTCTGCAGAATAGTAGGTCAAATTAAAGTGATTTATCTAGAATGTAGGCTCCTGTTACAGTAACACCACATTTTCTGACACTTTGTTTTGTTCTTTCACCATCATTTTAAGAAGATAGTGAATAAAGTGTACATAGTTATAGTTATAGTGACATAGATGTATTGTACAGTATTCATCATGCCTTTAACAACCTTGATTATTTAAGGCACAACGGTCCTGATTATTTCGGAGTCACTTAAAAACTATATTCCCACCTAAACAGAAGGCAGAACGGTCCTGATATTTCTGTTTTCCTTATCACTTATCATTTCTGTGTCTTCAGGTCTTTATTAACAAAAAGATTCTGTATTTAATGGAAATACTAATGAAGAATATTCCCAAAACTCCACTCTCTCTGAATTCTTCAATTCTGATATTCTAATGCATATTTGATTTTGGTTTTCTCTAGTTACCTGAACTCCCTAGAGAGAATATCACAATCTGGCTACATTCCCACAGAACAAGATGTGCTGAGGACGAGAGTGAAAACAACAGGCATTGTGGAAACACATTTCACATTTAAAGATCTTCATTTTAAGTAAGTATCTCTATCCAAGGTGTGTTTACTGTTTTCACACTAATACACATGTTTTGTGGGCTCCTAGATATGATTATGTGTTTGGTAAATACATGATAATGTGCTAGTGCACTTCATGGACAGGAGAGCGATATCCATGTTCATCCAGCTACAACAGGGAATGGAAGCAAGACATACACCTATTGGAATGTCAGTACCCAAGGTTTGGAAGTTGTGTTTAGATGGACAATTTTATAAAAACATTCATAGAGCTACCAAATTTGTCATATAATTAGATGTAAAGGTGTGCAACTCCCATCAGAACATAGAGATTTTGATTTTTCTTGTCTGAGGATGTCTCTTTCTGGAGTAAAAAGTAAAATTTAGGTGGATCCAGGGAATTGTAGAAGAATTGTATATAAGCTCATGCTTTGTAGTGGTGTAACAAAATAGGTTGACTTACCAATGTATTGCGATAGCTTTGCTCTCAATAGCAATAGGTCGATAGCATATTTTCAAGTCGATAAATATCAACATAGTTTATTCAGCTGTCGATTGTTAACCATGGTTTTTTTTATAACAAAACAAAATGCTATTTGTAGGTAAGATTTTATAAGAGTTATAGCCATATGATTGCAAGCCTTTGTATCTTTATGAAAGCGCCTTTGGGACCTCAATCGAGATAAGGCTAATTACACGAATGGCACATTCACCTACTTAGAATGGAAACAGAATTTTAAGCACAAGTTGTTACATCGATGAGATTTTATGTATTAAATAATTGTTACATTGCTATTGTTTTCAATATGATCTAATTGAATCCACAAACTACAACAGGGGAGGTGGTGATTTCTTTAAATCCGGGTCCATGTTTTAAACCCAGCCTTGAAATTACCCATTTCCATTAACAACATGGCAGGAGGTAGCGACATTTTGAAAATCGTTTCCAATAAAAACAAAACAGCATTAAGAAAGCATTTTTGTTATGTGAACATTAATGATAAATCGTCACAAAACATATCCCTATTAAAGTACCGTTTATGAAATTACAGGCACTTTTTATTTGGATAATAGCTGTATTATCCTACCTTTAGTTACAAGAGTTATACTATATATTTTTTGACACTGCTCAGCCAATGATGTATAAAGAGTTTCAAACCAAAACACCATACAATTGTTGAATTAATTAATCATCTGTTAAAACATGAAACAAGTTTGAAATAAAGAGGAATTATACTAAATTTATTGTAAAACCAAAGCTAATATGTACACATTAGTCTTAAGTCCAGCTGTGTAGGAGTTTAACTACAAATATCACAGAATAGCATGTTTATGTTAAGAATGAATAATTTGAAAATATATTTAAGTGTAAGGAATATATAACCTACTTGATTGTATGGAAATTGTAAATATTTAGCATTTGCTAAATTGAGCACTCTGGTACATTAAAATGGTTAGTGACTTTGCTTTATTTCTGTGTTAGAAAACATATTTTAATTACCCAAAAAAACTGTTTCACAACAATATCAAACTAGTAATTTTACTTTTGCAATACTGTCCTGATTTTTTCTGTCCTCAATAGTTACTCCTAATTCTTTGGGTGTTACTATGTATTGTGAAAAAATGTTATTTAATAGGTAATACCAGTTTTCCAGCTTATTGACTGGAGAGACATATAATTTAAGTAATTCTTTAGCACATCCTTAGAATTATGCATTAACAAGGGAGCACTGATTTGAATTTGTTTACAGAATGTTTGATGTGGGAGGTCAGAGGTCAGAAAGGAAGAAATGGATCCATTGCTTTGAGGGTGTGACAGCTATCATCTTTATTGTTGCCATGAGCGAGTATGATCTCACATTGGTGGAGGACCAGGAAATGGTTGGTAGATAAACAAAAACTTCCCCATGTTAGTTGTAATCTTTCGTGAAAGATACTATTCTAATCGATTGTTATTCTTTTGGCACAATAACATGACAAAGTAAATTGACTGACCAGCCGCCTCCTATGTTATAGGAATATGTGCCAAGTTAATTTACATTTCCCTTTTAATTGTCAATCTTTCACTATAATATCCTAATTGCCAAGTGTATCAAGTGATGATACAGTATCTTAATGTTAATTTTCGTCAAGGTATTTAACTGTTTTTCCTGTTAAAATGTGATATGTCTGTGACAGGTCACATGTGTGAATTAAGTGAAATCATTAAAACAATAAAGGTCCTATCTTATTTTTATCAGTTGAACCTTTTATCAGTATATACTGAGTACATTATGGATGAAACGCAATAAGGTATTGCTTCCTGTGTATGTGTACATGACCTAGATTGGTGTCAGCTGATGTCTACATATGGCTTATTATGTGAGGACTTTACTTTATTAAGAAATGCTCAGTTGAACAAAAAGTAAAATACTAAAATAGAAGTTTGTAATTGAAGTATTCTTTATCTTTTTGTTGTCTGATTAGACATGAAGACTAGTCTCATCCTTGATTTCCTGTAGGGCATCTGAATTGATTACCTGTATAATGGAAGGGACATAACTCTGACACATGACTGTTAGGCAAATCTATTGTCTGTGTGTGATTTTCAATACAGTTAATTTCTGTTATTTCAGAACCGGATGATGGAAAGTATGAAGCTGTTTGATTCAATCTGTAATAATAAGTGGTTCACTGATACTTCAATCATCCTCTTCCTCAACAAAAAGGACCTTTTTGAAGAGAAAATTAAGAAGTCTTTCCTCACCATTTGTTTCCCAGAGTTTCAAGGTTTGTGTGATTTACAATAGTGATGCTGAACTAAAAATAGACAAAGTAAATTATTTGTTAATATTTGTAGAGATACTTTGTCAGTTAAGTCTCCAAGGGATACTTTTGGTCAAGGCTGATAAATGTAAATGATATATAAGGTAGACAATTTTGTTTTGCAGTTTTGATGTTTAAGGAGATATCCATATTGTAGGATAGATTGTGATGCTCCACTAACTGCGTTGTAATTTGTAAGCAGTTACCGTTATCTTCATTGCAAAAGCTTTCCTTTCTGAGTAGAAATAATTCCATTGCATAATGAAATTCTCTTTCATAGGGGAGAACAACTATGAACAAGCAGCAACTTATATCCAGGTGCAGTTTGAGAATTTGAACAAACGTAAGGAAACAAAGGAGATTTACACTCACTTTACCTGTGCCACGGACACCAATAATGTCCAGTTTGTGTTTGATGCAGTCACAGACGTCATCATCAAGAACAATCTCAAAGACTGCGGTCTGTTTTAAAGGTAGGTGTGAACAAAAGAGAGAGAGTTCAAGAGAAGAAGAAAAAACATGAAAAAAATGCTATGGTTTCCAGCGTAAAAAGAAAAATTCCATTTTTGTAGTGATTCTGAAACCTTTTGATATATGAATGAAATGTAGTTTTAATTGTTCCAACATACCCAGGATTCCTTGTAACATGGAAGGTGTATGAACACTTTTCCCATGATGAGAACTTATGATGATATGGATATTTCGCATCTCTAGTATTTGTATGGTATTATAGCCACAATAATGTCCACTAGAATTATAACATTGTATGATAATATCTAACTAGCCCAATAATGGAACAAAAGATCAATAATTCTTTATCAATTGGGGTACACCAGAAGATTATCTCGACACTCAAGGTAAGATTTTTAAGGTGCCAAACACTGAGTGTCTTGTGGCTGGACGTGGGATACCCATATCTTAATGTTCTTTTAATCTGACAATATAAGTGTGTGGTTACCATGACATTCCTCCAATCACATGTTACAAGGTTTGCTATTAAATTTCATACATTTTTGTCTCGGGGTCGATGTCAAGGTCAATATCATTAGTTAAAGAAATTTGTCAAACAATTATATTATGAAAAAATGTATGAGATTGAGGGCACCTATGTTTAACACTTTCTTGTTTGTTGCAATCTCAAAGTTACATTATTGCTGTCAACTTTACTGATTTACAGCTTGTTTGTTGCAGGAGTTTTTTAAGAGCAGGACAAACATCATTCTAACACTCCCTGAGACAGCAGAGATGTTTTGACCAAACAAGTATTCCTCATCAACTAGGCTTCTGCAGAATGTGCATAACAGTGGCCACACTGACCTACTTATGTCATGGATTTTGTGACCTATTTTTTATATAAATGTGAAATTGACAGATGTCACGTAGTGTAAAGACATTGACCTGTGTGTCATGTTATGTGCTGTTGAAGGGTATGTGGATACCTGTAATCACATGGCTGGAGTACGGTTCAGGCCAGGCGCCAGGGCATTGACACTCTGTCATTGTAACTATGTGTTGCTGTGTGTTCAGTATTTGTAAGAGTTCTGTACTATCAAATTATAAAACAGCAACAAGCCATAGCATTGTGATTGTTCCAACACAGTTTAGTCCCTGAAGACAGATATTGTATTTGCATGTGTTTTATAGATATCACTATATTAAGACTGAAAACATTCTCCATTATGAAACTTCTAATATGAGCATAGAACATCGTGTTTGTAAAAATATGCAGACATATTTTTTTTTAAATAGATCAAACCGAAAACTGCTGAATATTTCCTTTTTGCGAAAAATGATCTGATTTTCTCCTGAAATTTTTTTTGTAAAGAATCAACTTCTGATCAAAGTTCAATGGTAAACTGACTGTAGATGCTCAAGATAAAAATGCTTTCCAAACATACATATGTAAAATATTTTATTTCATCAGCAAAAATTCACCGATTATCTTCCTGTTGCTGAAGTGTGGAGAGAACATGTTATTTTTAAGGCACAGTCACCAAGTACACAGTACATGTAGATATTGTAAAAGGTTAACATGTACTTTTGTGTTTTATTTAAAACAAGCTTTGAAGTATTGACATTTACTAGTATAATCATTCATCTCGAGATATTAGATTAGGAAACATCCACAGACTGATGTGGTATAATGGCATTATCTTATATGTCTATTTACACTGGGTGCTGTTGTTCAATATCACTTTGATATTTTATGGAATTTCTCGTAGTGGTTTTTTAAACTGCTGTGACAGTTAGATAAAAATCACAAGTCCCTCTTGTTTTAATGATTGAGAATATTTCTTTTTAATGTTTGATTTTTCAAAAGAACAATACGAAAGTTTGGATTATTTCTAGTTGACTGTGGCATTTTATCAAAATGGTAGAATTCACCTGTCTATAATTGTAAGTATGAACCAGCACAATAGCCAGTGGTTGGTGATCGTGTTCAATACAGTCTTGCTGGAGTTTAGAGACAATGACAAGGCTTTTATTCTGGACCAATCACAGTCTGTCATGTATTTTTGATAGAGAAATGTTGCCAGTATACTGTTGATTAGTGATACAAAGAATGTTACTTACCTATTGTAGGTGATATTCTACCTATCACAGGTGATTTACCCATCACAGGTAAATTACGAGTTCTATATGATTTAACCATCTTAGGTAAATTACTCATTCTGTATGATCTGCCTATCAAAAGTAAATTACCCTTTCATGTTATTTACCTATCATAGGTAAATTACCTGTTCTGTATGATTTACCTGTCATAGGTAAATTACCTGTTCTGTATGATTTACCTGTCATAGGTAAATTACCTGTTCTGTATGATTTACCTGTCATAGATAAGCTGCCCTTTCTCAGTGATTGACCTATCATGAGTAATTTATTCAGTGCATGTGATTTGCCAGTTATTGCAAATTTACCTATGGTAGACCATTCACTTTTAAGTAATTTACATGTCGCATGTAATTTACCTATCCTAGGTAATTCATACATCATAGCTTAGCTGTTATGGATGACTTACCTGTGGGAAGTGAATTACTTAAGGTGATAACACACTTGGTATTGGTAAAAATTACCTGGCGTGAGTGACCACTTACCTGTTGTAAGTAACTATGTGCAATTGTAAATACACAATGTGAATTGTAAACTATTATTTTACGAATGAATGGGGTGTGCCTGTGAGCTATTTTGTGCAATTATTTATTTATGTGTTTGTAGAACTTTGCTGGTTTTTAGTCTGATGTCAGGCATTCGTGAATGGTTTGGTGTTTTCACTGCTTTAAACGTTATTTTTGATGACTTCATATACCTGATAGTGATTACATGTCACATTTCAGAAGTGAAAACATATCAAACCATTGATTTTTTTCTCTAGAATACTAATGACTAATTCCAGCATCTCTTTGCCAACTCTCTGAGTCACTGATGTTCTGTATTCCACTTTAAAAACACCTTTGCTGTTGTCTAGCTCAATGATAAAACATTTGTATGTCACATTATGTTTCATGAAATTCATCTGTGTTCAGTTGTCAGGTAGTCTATTTTGCTATGATCACTCGTGTGGGTATGGTTTTGTATTGATGCTGTATCATTGTCACTTTTTATCAATCAGTTTGTTATCAGGAAGATTTTATGATGGTGAAGTATTGTATGACAGTGACATTATTCTATCAGTACAACGGAATACAAATTTTGTACAGAAATAAAACGAAAAATGAAAATGTTGTTGATGAAAAGCACTGAACCGGAGATTTACCAATCTAAAATGATAAAAATATGTTATTCTTCCCTAGTTCCGTTTTGAATTCCATTCCAAATTTTCCACATCTGTATAGGGCCAATGTTTTTTTAGGCTGTGCCTGTTGTCTGCTACTTGTGTATCTTGGAAACACTGCTTAAGCTTTATGATGTGTTTTGCAAAAAGATGTTTAGAAATAGAACTGTCCTAGTTTGTTAATAGGAACAACCTATAATCTTGTTTCATTGTTTTGTCCTGTAATCTGGTTCTGGTGTCGGATTGCTCCTGTAATCTGGTTCCAGTGTAACATCATTCTTGTAATCTGGTTCCACAGTCATATCCTTCCTGTGATCTGGTTCCACTATCAGGTTGTTCCTGAAATCTGGTTCCAGTGTCTGATCCTTCCTGAAATCTGGTTCCAGTGTCTGATCCTTCCTGTAATCTGGTTCCAGTGTCTGATCCTTCCTGTAATCTGGTTCCAGTGTCTGATCTTTCCTGTAATCTGGTTCCAGTGTCTGATCCTTCCTGTAATCTGGTTCAAGTATCATATTGTTCTTGTAACTTTATTCCAGTGTCAGATCATTCCTGTAACCTGATTCCATTGTCAGATTGCTCCTGTAAACTGGTTCCACTATCAGGTTGTTCCTGTAATCTAGTTCCAGTGTCTGATTGTTCCGGTAAACTGGTTTTACTATCAAGTTGTTCCTGTAATGTTCCAGTGTCTGATCCTTCCTGTAATCTGGTTTCACTATCAGGTTGTTCCTGAAATCTGGTTCCAGTATCTGATCTTTTCTGTAACCTGATTCCATGGTCAGATTGCTCCTGTAAACTGGTTCCACTATCAGGTTGTTCCTGTAATCTAGTTCCAGTGTCAGATTGTTCCTGTAATCTGGTTTTACTATCAAGTTGTTCCTGTAATGTTCCAGTGTCTGATCCTTCCTGTAATCTGGTTCCACTCTCAGGTTGTTACTGTTATCTGGTTCCAGTGTCTGGTTGTTCCTGTTCCTGCGTAAGATTGTTACTTGTCTCTATGTCAGTTACTATTGTCTACTGTCAGTATCTTTGCTTCCTATTTCAGCTAGATTATATTCAGAGGTGACAGAGTTTGTGAAGTTATTGAGTGACTGCTGAATGGATAATTAATGAATGAACAACATGCTTTATTGCATTTTATTTTGATACTCTTTAGACATTGGAGTTTTATCCATTTCTAACCAAACTTGTTAGCAATCAAATAATTTTTGAAAGGGAACTGCCAAAAAGAATTCAGTGTACTGTAAGTATATTTTGTACTCAGAAATTTTACTTTCGTCACTTTTACTCAACTGTTTTATCTTATATTTGAGTTTAAAAATCATGAAAAATTGGTAAAAGATTTTTGACAAATGAAAAAATTATAAAGGCGACATGTTGATAACTGAGACTTGTAGGGATAGAATTGATCATGTGTGTATTCCTGTACATTAGAATCTCATTAATGTTAAACCATTACATTTTCTACTTAGCTTCTGGGTAAAATCTGGAAAATGATTAAACTCTTGAAAATAATTCTTTTATCTATGGAAGTGCAGTTTTGAGTGTGGACTCGATTACAAAACAAAATTCATTTTAACAAGATATTGTAACTATGGTAAAATGGAAACAAATGAATTACTTCATGAAAGTTTATTTTTAACCTAATCAATATTTTGTGGACATTTATGAGTCATTTTCATTTATGTATCAATATCAGCATGAAAATCGAAATCAAATTATTATCATTCAAATTTTTGAATTTATGTATACAATTTTAGATGAACTATATACAAGTGATTTATTTTTGCCATTATATGTTGTTCAGGGTAAGTATGATTACTAACCTTGAATGTATGTATATTGTCTTCAGAAATATAACAGGTTTCTATTTAACGTGTTAGCAAAAATTGATGAAATCCAGGAAATGTTGATGGCAGTTTTGTCTTGGGTACTATCTTTTCTTGTCTATCCTCTTCTGTGGTATTATTATGCTGCCTTGTATGAGAAATGCTTGTATGTATTGTGAATAAATCTTTGTATTATATTGTAGGAATAAAAGGTTCATGTAAGCATACATTTTGATGTGTTTTTATTCTTCGTGTGTTAAACAGAAAATGTTTGATGATGTGACTTGTTGTGTAGGATACATTTCCTTTACTGGGCTTTTCCCCGTGATAGTGATGATGCTAGATTGCTGTCTGCCTTGACCAGAGTTTATGTCTGGACGTAATCTACCATCAACTGTAAAGGACAAAGTAGTCCTTCAGTTCAGCAGGGCCAGCCAGAAGCCTGATCTCTCCCAGACATCCTCTCTTTGATCCTTGGAGTATATTGTATCTGTTTAGTGCGAGTGTGGACTGCTGCTTAGATCCATTCAAAGTAGGCAATGAAAATCAGCAAGTAGGAGTATACTGATAACATTATTCTCACCCACGTGTCTGATTAACCTGGCATTAACCAATGTATACCACAGTAACTCTAAGGAAGCTCATCAGAAGTGTTGAATAGCGTCGGGAACATTACTGACTTGTTTCGTGTCATTTGTTATCTTGAAGGCAACATATTTCAACATCCTCGATGACACTACTGTAGTGCTAATATTATAGTGAAGATTATTGTCTCTAAAATGATAATTTAATGTCATTATTTCCGTTTATTATGCTGTTATTAATGTTTATATTTCTAAATAAAAATGTAAATATTGATAAAAATTAATGTGATTGTTGGCATTAAATTATCCTTTTAGAGGCAAATTTTCGGTTTATACAAATATCAACACCAGACCTCATAACTGGGTATTAGACAACACAATGTAACAATTTTGCCATGTTGTTACAGCTGCAACATTGGAATGAGAATTATTTACTTCACAATTTTACGCCAATTGTGTCATGCCAATCATTTTGTCTTAATCAAAGAGATCTAAGATTCTGTTGTATTTTCTTGAAAACAATCAATGTAAGATCGACCCTATCACCAGAGGTATCTATATCGGAACCCTTTGGTATTGACTTTACAAATATATCGATAAATTGTACAGTATCAATAACAGAAGAACTATGACTGATAGAAACTACACAGTGCTACACACATTTCCTGACCATCTCGATACAACTGGTAACTTGAAAAGTATCTTTCTGCCACTAAGAGAAATCCGATTAATTTGAGTTATCTCCCTTTAAACAGTTTTCAATGCCCCCACTATGATTTATTTTTTGGTCGGGCATATGCGTTTAACGGACTTCAATTTGTTATCTAGTTGTATGATGATATACAGGTTCCGTTCTTACTAGGGTATGGTAAATCTATTTTCTCCGAGGAATTGGCTTACTCTTTAGACTTCATATTATCTTTTTTATCTTGTCTACTCTTTCATTCCTTCGTTTTGCTGTCATTTGTTGTAATTTTGACTCGAAGCCACCAAATGCTTTCACAGACATATGGTGTATACGTCTCTTGTTCTAATACGGTAATTTTAATAAAACTGAGACAATGGCATTGAACACACGTAACTGTTAGACTTCCTTCTCTTATTAATCTGGTTGTATGATTTAAAAAAAAACGGCTCATCTTAAACACGTGAAATCGACAGCACGTTTCAACGGTCCACGAAAATACCAGGTATGTTGCATGGGGTAATTGTCTTGTTGTTTTGTTAGTAAAACAAAGGAAGTCGGGACAGACATTATTGTTATTGCTTCTATGTATTTCACTTAACCTGGAAATGAAGTTTATTGTACAAATAATATTTTCTTAATTAACTATAGCATGATTAGTAAGAAATAACAGAGTTCACAAAAACAAACATTTTTATTTAAGTAAAAGACATTGTTGAAACGACGATTTCATCTTGACCCATATGTACTTGTACACGTATATAGTATTAACGACGTCAGTTTAAGTCGGCTATACAAGTTTAGAATTTTTAAGTATGAGTTGGAAGTAGCTCGTGATCGAATAAATAACATACCA